TTAGAACAGCCAATTCTAAATTTGATTTTGCAACTACAGTAGCAGATCTCGGTTGATTCCAAATAAGTGCCAATTCTCCAAACATCTGTCCTTCCACCAGTTCAATGACGAACTTATGTTTAAATACTCCATCAATAAAAAAATAATCAATGTCTAATTTTGCCGGTGGAATTCCAGCTGTCATCTCTAATCCCATTTATTATTGAATTTCTAAGATCTTCTTATCCTTCTCCTCTTCAATCTTTACTTCCTCAATGATATGTTACGTCTACAGTAATTTTATTGAATGAAACTGCTCATCTTCTACTTATTTTGAATTTTGTCTTTTGAGTTTCTTCATCATTCCAACTGAAGTTGTCAACCGATTTTTCATCTTCTCTCTTTTTGCTTAATTAATAACAGATATGGGGTGAGTTCTTTTTTATTACTATGTACAATTTTCATACTTTTTTCTACTTTTGTACGATAAATCATTAACTACATATTGATCTAATTATGAATATATGTTAACACTCCCACTTAAAATTATAAAAGCATTCTCTCCTTTGTCACCCTACTTAAACACTGTTTCACCTTATTAAAATGCTTTGTATGTCATCTTCTAACAACATTAAGTGTGGAGTCTATTGTCAATATTTTTTTGTTTCGAATTCATTTCCTTGAAAAATTGTAAATTCTCAGTTGCCTTCACTATCAATAATAATTCCTCTTCAAATCTGTCAGAAGGATCCCGCTTTAATATGCTTGTTGCATATTTTATTAGTTAAGATGGATCTAACTAAGTCTATAATTCTTAGCAAACAGTTCGATATTTGTAGGTGTTTTTGTTCCTCAACCATTGAAACTCAAACAATGGGTTTGTGACTGGACTACTCATTTGGATATTAGTGCTTAGAATTTTTCTAAACAAATTTTAATTGAATGTAATTATAGATCATTTTTTAGCTTTTGCAAAACCAACTTAATTATTGTCTCTATCATAAATACTGTAATATTTCCTGAGGAATATGTCTCCTAATATCCAAGCAGGTCCTTGAGGTTATTGAATATCTAAAGGCATGAATGCTGCTATGCAATCCCAATTATTAACTTCAATTAGAGCTTCTATAAAATTTAATCTAGAAATTACATAAGTCATCCCCTTCATTAACCTCTGTCAATTAGGCAGCATCAAAATTAGTTGGTTTAACGTATTCTTCAGGATCTAAGGTATAGTCAACATCATCAATCTTGAATGTAATTGTAGGTAAAGTATTGATTTCATGACAATGAGATTTAACATTTAAGGTTCTCAACAAAGTACCTAAGTCATCAAAAGGTCCACTCATTATTGATGTTCCAGTATCAACAATAAGTCTACATGATCCATTACACAAACCAATATCCTTGTTATCTACCAAAATATTATCAGCTTTAATCATCCAATAATATTTATCAATAACATCATGATAATGAATATCTCCATCTACATGAGCTGGGTTATAACCTCCCAAAGTAAATTCACTATGAGCAATATCGTTTGCGTCTTTGGCAAAATAGAATGAAAATTAGTTTCTCTCCAAGACTCTCTAATCCATGAGATTATCAAAAACTGGATTGAAATTCTTTGGTGCCATTTTTGGATAGGCCAAACCAAGAATACCATCAAAGTCAAGATCTCTAAAGATTGCTCCATTTTCACTTGTAATCTCTGCCAAATTTTATCTTGGTAATGTAACTTCACCAAAATAAACAGTATCAGCATTCACAACTCCTTTCAAATCACCGCTTCCAAATTCAACATTCAATTCTTAATTCAAAGGCAAAAACGATTGACTATCCTCGTGATTATACTGTTTATGTCTCATGCAGCCTTCCTCTTAGCATCTTGTTGAATCTATCCATAAATTGGCACTCCCTGTATCTAAGACAACTTTAAATGTATTTCCAGGTTATCCTATTCCTAAATCAGCGGTGTATTGAATATTTTTGTAATTATGCATTCTCATATATTGAGGACCTGATTGCTCAGTTTAAGCAAAGGAGGAATCACTTAATTTATCTTGATTTATGGCAATTAGTTTATAAAAGTTTTATTTGTCTTAAACTTTAGTTTCTCTTTCTTGTAATTGAATATGAATTACCTTCTTTTTTTCTGGTTCTAAGAATTTCTAATCATTTTGGCTTATAATCAACAACTCAAATTTACATATTAACTGCATCCGACAAGAAAATGATTAAACATAAGAATAAGGTGGACTTAATCATTTGCAAAAACGATTTTTTAATAAATATTAAAAGTATAAGTTAATTCACCGAAAACTTATCCTATTATTAATTCAATAAAAACAATGAATCCCAAAAAGTTCTTTTTTGTTTTTATAGATAATATGATGATTTTTATATTTCAATCTATCTTAATATGAATAATATGATTGTATATTCATACAAAAAGAATAATCATTATCAACCCAACTACCTCCAATGTTATAAATAGATATAGACAACAGTAGGATGACGAATTCAAAAACTTTTTCAATTTTCCATTCACATTGACCATTTCCCTATTTGTTTTATCCATCTCATTGCTGATACCATTGAGCAATCTATTTTATTCATCCACAGTATTCCCAATGTTTTTACCTTACACTTTGAGGCTATCCAATTAATCTATGCATACATCAAGTTTCTAATCTTGTTCTTGTTGTAATTGTTTCTAATTTTAATACAATGATTTGTTATCCATTTGTTATAACGTCTCTGTGTCCTTATATTGCTTACCCCCATTAGACCTATTATTAAATAATTAATCCTTTTAGGATCTCAAAGACTTATCAAAATTTTGTTTTAATTCCGCAGCTACATTCTACAATTCCAATAATTTATTTTTTCTTGTTTCTCCTTCTTTCTACAATACTTCTTAATTTTAGTTTTGTCTCTCAATAAGTGATTTTAACAATTCTATTTCTCTATCTTTGAATATATATTTAAATCCAGATACCTAGTTTAGAGATGCCTCCTCTAATTTCTCCATCGATAATTCCAACTGGTTGATTGGCATTAATCTTTTATTCTCTTTTCTGTATGTCAGATCTTAATTATTAGATCAATCTCTAAACTCTTTCTATATCACCTCTATATGTATCAGTCATTGAATTTTATATTTGTATATTATTTAATACTCATACAAGAACAATTCCTATTTCTTCTGGTTTAAGCATATTACTCTCCAATTTCCAATTGTAAAGATAATAATTCAATTATCCATCACCTGGACAGAACATTAATTCCTAACATTATCAAAAACAGATACTTTCAAAAACTTTTCATTTTCCATAATATCCAAAGCATTGAATACATCATAACCTTCATTTTTTGCTAAGATCAATGCATCATACATTAATTACACTATAGGAGTTTAAGTAGCCACATTATAATAAGAGTAGGCTGCCTTTAATGATATTTAAATGATATTTTACTCTTAGATGTGTGTGCTTTGGATTTTTAATTACTTAACTTGGAAGATTATAAAAAGATAAGAAATCTGTAACCACTCCTTGTTCTTTTTCAACAACGTATGTGCTTATTACATCCTTTCTTGGTAAAAACCAATGCTTGACTTCATCTTCAGTATATTTAAAATACAATTTGAATTATCTAAAATAAAAAGATTTAAATTACTTCAAATATTCATTTAATAATTTTGTAACCTAAGCTACATCTTTTTTTTTCATAGCCCTCAACCCTTAGGTTTTTGGCTCTTCAGGCAATTTGTATAGTTTTTATTATCTTGCAATAGTTTGTCTTGCAGACAGAGATGAAAATCCAACTTCAATTAATTTCTTGGCATTCAAACTTCTGTGATAGTATCTTGTTTAAGAAATTGGAGTGGGAACAACTATTCCAGCTGTGTAGACTGCTTGCCACATGTTTTTGATATGAACTCTCCTTGTAATCTCCTTGATCAAAACTGGAGCCAATCTATTTGCTCTAATTTTTTTATGAACACACAAGAAGTTGATTTCGGTCATCTTTACTTTTGTTTACTAATTTTCTATATGTAATGTGACAGGAATTCCTGTTATAAATCCAACCAACTTTTAATTTACCTTAACTCCAACAATCCAATCAGGGTGTTATCCTGGTGGCAATAATGCCCATCTCAAAAAATCAATTGAATAATCGAATCTAAACATATTATCATCATCTTCAACATAGTTTTCTTTCAATAATGTATAGACCTAGGTTAAATGAATAAGTACTTGTTGAGCTTGTTCCTCATTTCTCAAATCAACATTACACCATTCAAATTTAGAGATCAAATTAAATGGGTCTTTTCTAACATCTGCTAAAATTCCCTCTTAAATTGGACCAGGCTTTAAGGATTCCAATTCATTAATATTGGGCATAGGTTGTGTTTCCCAAAATTAATGTGGTTTATTTAATTTATCTATTAATTACTAATTGTATTGAGTTTGCTTTTGTACAACAGTAAGTTGTTATTATTATTGTTGTTATTATTATTATTATTATTTTTATTCTCCTTGATCTTAAACTTCGATTTCTTCATCGCTGGATTACTATTATTTTTCCTATTGTTGCATTATTTAGAAAAATTTAAAAATAATTAATCAAATCACTCTCAAAAATAATTTATATGACAAAATATTTAAAAAATAAAACATATTCTCCTCAGGATATTTTTTAAATTCCTCAAATTTCATACCTATTCTCAATAAGTCGACATTTCTTCATGTAATTAAAATAATTACCAATTATAAAATTTAACAAAATAAAAATGTTTCCCTTTAAGTAAATTAAAAATTTTCTGTATTCAAATTTCTGGGTTTCTACTGATGGCATATAGAATATTATGCTTACCCAACAAAAGCTAGTTTTAGATAAAATTATGATACAATTCCTATATGAATGTTCAGCACAGTACTAAAATTAGAATTTAAGAAAGAAATATAATATAGGCGTCAGAAATGTTTAAATTAATATTAGGGTATAAAAGATGATCAATCATATTTAAGAAAATCACTACGATGTGATTGCAACTGATAATTTCCCTTCTATTAAACAAATTCATCTTATTTAATTTTGGGATGAAATTTTCGTTTTTCATTTGGTTTTATTTGATTATCATCCTCTCTAGCTTAATTAAGTTAATGAGGCGTATGGGTTTTTCTTTTTGGCTTTTCTTTCTCACTAAGTCCCTATTGATCTGATTGTAATAAAATAGTCTTGGAGTTTGAGTTTGTCTTTTAGTTTGACGTCTCTTTTTTCTTTTATTGCAATTCCTTGTTCACTGTTCTACAATCCCATACTAGTTATCTTTATTTCTGAATAGATCTTTGAGATTGTTACTATTATTGGAGTTGTGCTTCTGACGATGCTGTCAAATAACTCCCATCAATGTATCTCATTCGAATCGATTACTGAGTATTGTAGTAATCCTCTTGGCTTTAAAATCTCTTGATTTGCTTAGTGCTTCGAATATCTTCCTTGATTTACTATTCGATTGTTTCTTCTTGATCTAACAGAGACATAAATGAATCTTCTGATGCGGCTCTTAAGGCTTAAGGGGGAAATAGATCGGCTTTTATTTTTTGTTATTCAAAACCAAATTAAGGGACAGCAGGAATATCCACACTGGAGAACTCAAAATTGACATCATTGTCTATGCAATTCATTCCAAAACTATATTAATGAGATTAAGTAATAATGTTTTATTAAGTGGGGATGCTTATCTATTGAACATCCTATTTACATGTTTTACATTCATTTCCCATTTTAGTTTCTTTAAATATAATAAATATATAATTATAGGATCAAACAAATTTACTATTTTAATTCATGATTTTATCATTTAGTTTTATACTGTTTTATTTGTAAAAATATCTTCTTTAATCAGAATGATTAAATTATTTATTATATTTAATTATAATTCAGCGGTTTACCGTCATACTTCTTAAAAATAACTTACTCATCATCTAAGAAAGAAATTACAGTTAGAACTGAACTATTCCTTTCCTCAAAATCTGATGGGTCCACAAATATTTTGTCTTAGAACATACCAAAGGTTGAACATTTTAATTCCTTATTAATTATTGATATTTTAGTTTAAAATTGTTTAACTAATACGTTAATACTAGAAATTTACTTTACTATAAGGAAAAGGAAACACAATTTATTAGATGAGACAATAATGATCCATCAGCCCCAGCCACTCTAATAAACAATTCAATTGATGTAACTTGACTATTTTGATTTTTCAATCTTTGAGGATCTACAATCTGAGTCACAATATCTTGAATTTAGTTCAGGTAATGCTTCTCTATTCTTGCTTTATCAATATTACTTAAATCCTCCTAATTATCCATAATTATAGATAATTCTTAATCTCATTAAATACTAATACTGATGCACTAATTTAGATCTACTTCCTTTAACTCTACCTCTCGAATAATATGTTTGACTGAAATAAAACAATCAGCGTATTAATAATGAGTAAATCCTTCTGCAAATTCTATCGAAATCTATCTTGGTTAATTAAATAATCTCCCATCTATCCTAACATTTTTCTCCAAAAATTTTTTCATATAATCTTGTGGAAACATTTCTTTGAATATGTCAGCGTCCATTAATAAATTAATAATTATATTTTCTGATTAATAAATTAAATTCATTCCAAAGTACTCTTAATTGTCAATTTCTTCCGAACCCATATGATAATTGTGTCCCTCAGTCAAAATTAATAATGAAACAATCTAAGTTACAAAGATGTATACCAGTTGTACTTATAATCACTATTGATTAAATTAATATTTATTAATATAATTTATTTNTTGATCTAACAGAGACATAAATGAATCTTCTGATGCGGCTCTTAAGGCTTAAGGGGGAAATAGATCGGCTTTTATTTTTTGTTATTCAAAACCAAATTAAGGGACAGCAGGAATATCCACACTGGAGAACTCAAAATTGACATCATTGTCTATGCAATTCATTCCAAAACTATATTAATGAGATTAAGTAATAATGTTTTATTAAGTGGGGATGCTTATCTATTGAACATCCTATTTACATGTTTTACATTCATTTCCCATTTTAGTTTCTTTAAATATAATAAATATATAATTATAGGATCAAACAAATTTACTATTTTAATTCATGATTTTATCATTTAGTTTTATACTGTTTTATTTGTAAAAATATCTTCTTTAATCAGAATGATTAAATTATTTATTATATTTAATTATAATTCAGCGGTTTACCGTCATACTTCTTAAAAATAACTTACTCATCATCTAAGAAAGAAATTACAGTTAGAACTGAACTATTCCTTTCCTCAAAATCTGATGGGTCCACAAATATTTTGTCTTAGAACATACCAAAGGTTGAACATTTTAATTCCTTATTAATTATTGATATTTTAGTTTAAAATTGTTTAACTAATACGTTAATACTAGAAATTTACTTTACTATAAGGAAAAGGAAACACAATTTATTAGATGAGACAATAATGATCCATCAGCCCCAGCCACTCTAATAAACAATTCAATTGATGTAACTTGACTATTTTGATTTTTCAATCTTTGAGGATCTACAATCTGAGTCACAATATCTTGAATTTAGTTCAGGTAATGCTTCTCTATTCTTGCTTTATCAATATTACTTAAATCCTCCTAATTATCCATAATTATAGATAATTCTTAATCTCATTAAATACTAATACTGATGCACTAATTTAGATCTACTTCCTTTAACTCTACCTCTCGAATAATATGTTTGACTGAAATAAAACAATCAGCGTATTAATAATGAGTAAATCCTTCTGCAAATTCTATCGAAATCTATCTTGGTTAATTAAATAATCTCCCATCTATCCTAACATTTTTCTCCAAAAATTTTTTCATATAATCTTGTGGAAACATTTCTTTGAATATGTCAGCGTCCATTAATAAATTAATAATTATATTTTCTGATTAATAAATTAAATTCATTCCAAAGTACTCTTAATTGTCAATTTCTTCCGAACCCATATGATAATTGTGTCCCTCAGTCAAAATTAATAATGAAACAATCTAAGTTACAAAGATGTATACCAGTTGTACTTATAATCACTATTGATTAAATTAATATTTATTAATATAATTTATTTCTAAAATACTAACTCCTTTATGAGACATTCTGGCTTCATTTAAATATCACCAGCTCCACTAGTACCACTGTAATATAAAGTTAATGTTTAGAAACTATTCAGTTTAATCAGTCCCTCTTGTAACAACAACGCCTATGTATTAATCTCTCATCCAAATTTAATAACCTTAGCCATAAATTGTGAGAGTATTGATTTTCATTAATTGTTATTAAAGTAAAGACCAATTCATGTTGTCGATTTGGAATAGTATGATGATATTTGGAGAAAAAAGGTTGAAGACCTTGAGAAACAATTACGAGAACTATAAAAACAGAAACCATAGCCAGTGGTTTAAGCTCCAGGTGAATTTAAATTTTATTTCTAAGAACCTGTCCTTGAATTGAGAGCAGGTGCAGATACTGAGGAATTGGAAAAATAGATATAATAGCTATAATTGGAATTGTATAAAACAAAGGAAGATTATGAGGACTTATTATAAAAGTACAATGACAACCTTAGTGAGTTAGAGCAATTGAAATGTAATATCTAAGAGTATTTTATTTAAGAATAATTGAAAAATCATGTTTGTACTGATAATACTGCTGAGTTAAAAAAGAAAATTGAATAACAAGATAAAGAAATCTAAAGATTGAAGGCCTTACTTGCTTCTCAAGTGCCTGTTGGTATAATTTAATCTTTTATTTAGCAAATGATGACTCAGAATAATTGAAACTTTATTAATAAAGAATCTCAGAATTAGAACGCTAATTACAGGAATCTATTTTACAGGTTGAAAGATATAGATAAGAGAATTCATAACTATTATCTTAATTGAACTTCTTTAAGGATTAAGTCAATGAAAAGGATGAAAAGATAAAGGATTTAGAAAAATAAATTGAAGAACTCAATAATGAATTAGATGGGATGTAGGATGAATAGGAGGAGATTATTGAATAAAGAGTAGAAACTATTAGAAAAGAATTGAAGAGTTGGAAGGATAAATTTTTGGCTTTAAATGCTCAATTTCATGATTAATAGGAAAAATTAATGCTAACTGAAGCTGAGTTGGATCACATTAAAAAATAAGGAGGAGCTGGAGCTAAAGTAAATTTAATAAATATCTTAATTATTAGGGTAGCTAAGTAATAACTACAACGACTACAACAAAATAATCTAAATGAAAATAAGTACATTCTAAAAATAAATATACATTTTTTTTCTAATCCTGTTATCTAATAAATATCTACTTTGTTTGGTTATGATATCCTCCTCAATTAGGTTTTAGATTACTCTTTAAAAAATGAAATATTTTATTTGAATGTTCCTCTTTTAAAAATAATTATTATATTAATTATCAAACTACTTTTATAAGAAAAATCATTAAAAGTCGAGGAATTTTAAGATCTTAAATTATGATTATTATCCAAATTAGAATATTAAAAAGCTTTAAAAAGAAACAATTCATAATGTTTTTCTTTAAAAATTGATATCATGCTCTAAAGTTTTGTAATAAATAATAAGGTCATTTGTCTTATTTTTCATTCTATAGAGAATTTTGAATAACTTTTGAGCTTTTCTCTTGCTATTTTAATTGATCTTCTTTGTTCTCTAAGTTTTAGTCTTTTTGTTACTACTAAGTTTTGTAATTTAGTCCATTTTTTCCACTTTGCATTCTCATTTTTTATATTTATTTGCTAATTTAATTTATTTACTTGTTTCATGATATCAAAGAAAAGGATTTTTGAAATGAAGCAATGAAGTAATATTTAAGTATTTGAGCTGCTTAATTTTGTAAAATTGATTGCTTAATATCCGTTGATGATATAATTGTAAAATATAAATTCAAATTTTTTCACAACTAATGAATTAAAAGAATAGAGATACGCCATCATTTTTGAATAAATATTTAAAGAAAGATACAAATCCCAAGAGACCTTTTGAATACTAAGCTAAAACTTAAGAAAAATAAGATGTATCTCCAATGGAAAAACAACCAAGAAGAAAAACTATTGAATAAAATTTCTCAAGTTTGGTGGATCAATCAGTTAGGAAATGCACAATTCTACCAAATTATGAGCCTTCGAAGTGTTCATCTGGTAGAAATGGCATAATCAAGGCTTATGCTGCAAATACAAATTAAGGATTAATTAGAGATTACAATGAAGATAGAGTTTCAATAATTTTGAATATAGTGAAACCATAAGATAGAGCAAGTGAAAATTGGCCAAAATGTTCATTTTTTGGAGTCTATGATGGTCACGGAGGGTCTACTTGTGCTGATTTTTTGAGAGACAACTTACATCAATTTGTGATAAAAGAATCTGAATTTCCTTGGAATCCAGTTGCTGCCATTAAAAAAGGATTTGAAGCAGCTGAGACTCACTTTTTGGCTTATGCTTTGAATTCCTTTTAAAAGGGTATACCTGAGAGAAGTGGATCTTGCGCAATAGTTTGTTTGGTAGTTGGAGAAGTCTGTTACGTGGCAAATGTGGGAGACAGTAGAGCTATAATGAGTTCATAGAAGGGGAAAAAAGTAACGAATTTATCTATTGATCACAAACCAGAGACTGAAATAGAGAGGATATAAAAAGGAGGGGGAAAGATATACCAGACCCATGGAGTGAATGAAGATGGAGAATAAATAATTGGACCAATTAGAGTTATGCCAGGACGATTATCAGTATCTCGTACTTTTGGGGATATTGAAGCTAAATTGGAGTAGTTTGGAGGTAATTCAAGAGTTGTGATATCAGAACCTGAAATAAAAATCCTTAAATTAAACTCTGAACATGACTTTATTGCTATGGGATGTAAGACATAATAAGTTATCATTTAGGTGACGGCATTTTTGATAAGTTGAGTTCAGAAGAAGTAATTGATATTATTTGGTAAGATTTAAGAAATAATGATAAATCAAATTTGCATTCTCTTTTAAGTTAATCTGTAGATTCTGTATTAAAAGAAGCTATCTACAAAAAGAGTAGTGACAATATAACCTTACTGATCGTGGCATTTTAGGTTAACTAAATAAAGGAGGAACTTAAAGAATTCAGATACACCATTAGTAATTCAGTTGATAGAATTGAGGATAGTTCTAATAATAATAATAGACCAAGATTAAGGTAAAATTCAATATTCGACAATTTAGTTAACAGATGTAAACAAGAGGCGATGAGAACTATTCTGGATTCAGTAATCAGCATAGCAATAATCAAAGTACTTCATATTTTAATAACAATCATAACATTAAATTAAACATGTCAATTAATTTGTAAAGTAGATTGTTTAGATAATTGCAATCCAAAAAGAATATCCAAGAAGAAGCAAAAAGTAAAACAAAACACAGTTATATTCTTTGAATAATTAAAACGCTAATAAATTTATTTAATTTTTATTCAACCATATAAATATATGCTCACTTTGAGAGAATTATAAGAGCTACGCTAAGTAAATGATGACAGAAAGGCATTAACAGATAGATATGGAATGGGATTCAATAACCCGCTTTCAGCTAGAAATGAATATTAAGGTAAGCAGACATTGAGTGCATGGGATCCTCTTACAAATAAACCTCAAACGCTTATTGTTAATAATGGGTCTGATCCTATTGTGTTAGACCACAACACACCTAGACAAGTATTCATATTTTATTGATCATTAGGAAATCACAAAAAACATTGTATTTTAGAAGGGTTTCCCGTTTTCGACTAATTAACCTTCAACTAGAAACCCTTAAATATAAGCTTAAAATATTCCAACTACAATTTCTAAAGTCTAATCTGTATAACCTCTTCCATAAAATTATATGCATGAATATCATCATAGAGAAAGACCTTATTTACTAAAAAGCGTTGAGGAAATCCTAAGACCTTGGAAGGCAAAGGAAATTATGTATAACCGAGAATTAAAAGCCTTATAGGATAAGCTTAACAAAGGAAATTACTCGATGACAGATAAAAGGACTTTGAAAGTGGATAATGTAGCCAAAAAACTAGAATTATAAAATGAAGTTGAAAAATTGGAAGCCATCCTAAAAAATAAGGATGAAGAGATAACTAGATTAAAGATTAGAAGCCAAGAAGTAGAAGAAAAGCTTGTAGAGATAACTGAAGAAAGCTCAACAGAATTCAATAAATATCAAAAGGAATTGGAGGAATGGAAGAAAAAGTTTAAAGAACTTAATAATTTATATCATGAATGTGAGGAGGAGTGTACCATGAAGGAAACAGAAATCGAAAGCTTAAAAAAAAGCAAATTGTCTGTGATTAAAACGTAAACTGTTTAAAAAGTTGGAACCAAACCATAAAAAAATATGGATAGTCCAAGAGCAATTATTTCTACTGTAAGCGACAAAGATTCAGATTATTATTGAAGAAAGATATAAATTCAATTTATTTTTTATTTATCACAAAAGAAATAACATATTCTATTGAGAATCTTCAGTAATAGAAATCAAAATTTCAATCAGAATTTGGAACTTCTTGAAAAGAATATCCCTATTAATTTATACTTAAATTTCTGATCTATTGGAGTGAAAATCTGTTATAATTATAATAATTTATTGTTAAATAACATTAAATGTTCAATAAATATTCAAACTAAAGATATCTATTGTATTAGATCTACATTTTTATTTTACAATTAAAGATTTTTGAACACTCTAACAATTTACGAAAAAGTTATTTTATCATTTTAAAATGGATCTAAAGTTTCATAAATTTGAGTGCATTCTTCATTCTTCAAATTTGGTTTAATGCTTTCAGTCAATTTAAAAAATTATTACTAACATAATCAAAATAAATAAATACTTGGTTGATAATTCCATCTTTATCATGATCAACAGACTCAAATACTACACGTAAATTTGCTAAATATGATTGATAGAGATTCATAAAGTATTCAAGAAGAATTTTTATAAAGACAGAAAACTCATATTTGATGGGTTCTTTTTAAGTACTTGGTGTACTTTGTTATTCTATTTAATTGACCTTTTTAATTGGACTTACACTGACTGCAACTTTAATTTAATGCATCTTTAATAGGTTTAGTATAGTTTCTCTTTCCTCTTCCTCAAGAATACTTTTAAAAATGTCAACCACTTCCTGGTGAGTTATGTATCCAGCCACTTTTTGCTTAACCATTTCCTTAATTTCTGCGACTGGCTTTGTTTTATACTTAGCTTACAAAATGATCTAAATTTAGATGTCTAAATTACAAAGAGTATATGCTCAATTTTTTGTTTACGAGTAGATTGCAATAGTCTAAAATCCTCATCCAAATTATTTTTAAGCATTAATCCAAATACAACTACATCATTGTCTTCAGATATATATCTCTAGATTGCATTAATGATGCAAGCAGCCCACTCTAAAGCTAAGTTCTACCTTTAATATATGTTAAATACTTTTAATCCATATTTGTAATATAGGTAAGTGTACATATGCTATTCAATAGTTTCTAGAGGCAATTTGTTCTCATATTGTCGAATATCATGTTTATATTTGCTCTCATAAATATCCAAAATGATCTCTTTGAGTTACTTTAGAGTTAATGGTCTGAATGATTAAGGTTATACTAAAAGATGGAAATCTGATAAAGCTTTTTATCTCTTCCTTTCAATGAAACTGGGGCTTTCAGTTTATTTGTAACTGATTTCAGACATAATATTTGAAGATTTTTCAACTTTTGAACTTCTGACCATAGTCTCTAAGTATTTTTTGTTTTCTTGTTGAAGTTATTCATTTTAACATTTATCTTCAGGTTCTTATTGAAATGACTGCATGTCAATGGATTTAGTTAAAATTGCATTTTCCTCTTCATCAAAAGTTTGGCTTTCCTTTTCAAATAATTGTTGATTGTCAGTCTAAGTTGCTTTAACAAGCATTACAACTTATTGAGTTTATAAATTAGAAAAGGACTAAATATCTTAGAAAGATTGGTTTGCAGATTATATTTATTTAGAGCTATCTCTATTGGATTGCTGTAATTGTTATTATTATTAAGCAAATTAATATTCTAATTAAGAAATTATGTTATTGAGATTTTCCTTCTCCTCTTCCAATTTTTGCATCCCATTCTATAAAGTATTGACTTGGAGTTACAAAGGATTAAGCAGCTCAAATAGTTAATCTTTCTACTACAAAATTTTATTTTTCTCACTCAATAGACGATCATGCTCTTCTTTAAAGAGTTGAATTTCTTTATTATAAGATTTCACAACTTCACTATTTTAGATAAGTTATTCAATTTCAAGAGTGTCTTTTTAGATTTTTTTATAATCTTTTAGATTGTAAATGACATTTGTTAAATCATTAAAGATATTGGAATGTTCCTACTGCAAAGCCTTTAAGACTTATTCTAGCTTGCTATTATGGTTACGAAAATAATCAATTAATTCTCTGAAACAGATTTCATATAAATCAAATTTAGCCTAATTAGATTAATTAGATTACTTTGAGAATATGGGTATCAAGAAAGTGTTTCGAATGTGTTTGTTGAACTTTTGTTTAAAAATCTGTCATCACATCTTTGACATGGTCAGCCAATTAAGTTGAATGTGTTTTTTTTTGATTGGAATTATTTTCCAAATTAGAAATTTAATTAAAAAGGTTCTTTTAACTTAATTAGATAATGAAGTACTTCCACGTTGTCCACATCTTCTTAATTGAAAGTGACTTCACTTTAGCATGATTTTTCAGATCTTGCGGATTGTTTTTCAGAAGGTCTGTCGCTATCAAGTTGATCAAAAAATTTAAGTCTTCTATTGTTAAGTGTGATTAGATTGGGCAGCTATTGGATTACATATTTCTCTTCATTGATATTTCTCAATCCAATCTATAGATGTATCAATTTTGGCATAGTTTTCAAAGCTTTGATAATGGGGAGGATCTACATAGATTGTTGAAGCAATTACATTATCAAAGAGATTATTGGAAATATCTAAAGTTTCAACAGTGCTCAAAGTCGAGAGATCTTCAGGTAAGGTATGTAAACGATTACCATGTAAAATTAACTTGATTGATGCATTATCATAATACTTCACGTAAATTGCTGCATTCCGCCAAATGAGGTAGCAGATCTTTTAGATTATCAATTTATTAAAACTCTAAATCAACAGTTTAATTGCAATTTTTATTAGGTTTTTGTCTCAACAGATCTACATCTAAGTCAATAATCTACTTGTTTTTAGGACAGACTCAGTTAACAGTTGCATTCTCTTTTTAGAATCCTCAAAGTCAAATTTCTCTGCATCTGCAATGTGCAATGAAATAGCTAAGACTTCTTTGGCAATCTCCTTTTAATTCATAATATATATATATATAAAATTTATTATAATATATAATTTTAGAGTTAGTATAATACCCAATTGATTAGAGTATCAATAATTACTAATTGTTATAGATATATCACTATATAAATTAGAATAGCTTAGTATTCTAATTGTAAGTTAATTATTTTAGAATTTGATTTATTAAATTTACAAAATGATAAAATCAATAATTACTTTAATGCATTATCAAAATTTATGAGGGTATTTTAAACTTATAATTATATAAGTCAAGTAGCAAACAAGTTATTTTTAAGAATAATATAAGAAATTGCTATGTCTCTGAATAAACACATAAAATTTTATTTAAATAAATTACTTAATTTCAACAACAAGTTTTGTTTTTTTGCTTCGTGGTTTCAACTGCAGGATCATTTAGTTAAACGTATTTTCCTTCCAATTAAGGATCTACTTTTTGGTTCTTTTCTTTTTCATCTTATTTGGAATCATTTGATATTGATGCAAGATATTTTTGATACTCACTTCCTACCCTAACTCCAAAACTCTATTAATAGTAATGATATTAACTTCATTTTTAGGGTCTATGATGCCTTTCTGTATTTTAAATAGAATGATTTCAGCCAATTTAGTGAACATCTATTGAATTAGATTAATATGGAATATTACTTAGTCTACATTGTAATTAGTCTTGGCACTTGTTTCCATAAACCCAATTTCATTGTCTTATGCAAATTGTTTGGCTTCTTCAAATGAGACTTGACGTCTTTAATAATAATAAGAAGAGCGTTACTCTTATTCTAGATCATTTTTGTTTCCTACTAATAAAAATGTGATTTGCTTATTGCCATTTTCTCTTGCATCATCAAGCCATTTCACAACATTTTCAAAAGAGTTTCTCCTAATTATGATTAGATCTGATTGATTACTTTGTAATGTCATAGACAATAATAGCAGCAGCAGAGGATCGATAATAAGATCTAGTGATTGATCGAAAGGACTCCTACCCTGCCTCAATAATAATATGATTTTAGATACTGTGTCCCAAATGGACAATTTGAGAGCAACATTTTAGATGCGTATGATTCTAGCTCCAAATTCAACTCCTATAGTGACATCATGTTTTGATCTGAATCTTTTGTCTATAAATTGCATCAAAAGGCAACTCTTACCAACAGCTTAACAATTATCATCATTCTTTACCCATATCTCCAATGATTATGTATTTGAAGAGATACACGAAACTGGTATCGAATTTATCGTTCAAGTTGCCTGTTGATGACATTTTTATTAATAGTTTAGATAATATTAATAATCCAATTGATAGGAATGAGTGTATAAGATCCAAATAAAAGCAATAGTGATTAACCCGAAGGAGATATTGATTAACAAGATTCAGAGAAAGTCTTGACAAAGGTTAAGAGGGATTTATTAGAAAATGTGAATCTAATTAGAAGGGAGAAGAAATTGAATTAATTATACATTGAATTGATACCTGACATTGTAGCAGAAAGGTATGCATCTCACTTGCTTGAAAATGGTCATACAGACGCTGAATTGAAGAAATTGTATTATTTAATCATTTAAATAGAATCGGATTTTATAAGTATGATGAAAAGATATTGGACGATATTAAATTGATTTATATTGTTTCCAAATTCGAAGAAGATACTATACCTCATGCTTAAGTCATCTATGATTATTTCATGGAGATTGGTTAATTGTTCTTTGAGGTAGAAGAAGATAGAAAAATACTGCTCTCTAATTAAATGAATCACATTTCAATTGGTGTGTCATATGATGATAACTAAGTTGCTATTGTGTATCTTATAAGTCATAAAGATTTATGTATTACTAAAATTGAAGACAGTAACGATGGATGTATCTTAGTCTATGGAAAGATGCTTGAAGATGATGTTGGTGTTTATGCCTTATAAATATTGCCATTTACAAGTGACTCTGGTAAAGCAACTGATAAAAATGAAAATAATAAGATAGGGCCTGAACATATTGAGTTTGATCGATAATCTAAATGTTTCGTTGCTAAAATAGGAAACCAAGGGTAGCCATGCACATATGATATCAGATAATACATAGATTTGTATACTAGAAAGTCACCAGAATCAATTCCTTACATGAAAAACACAAGGGATAAATTAAACTTAAAACATTTAGATTTAAAACTCAGAATTCCAGTTATCTTCTATCCTGATCCAAGCTATGCTCAAGTAGAGTCCGAGGCATAATAATCTCAATAATAAGAAGAGTAAGACGAATAAAATCTATAAGATTCTGCTATTTAAGAATTAGATGATACTGAAAATAAAGATAATTTGTCCTAAGATGGAATTTAAAAATAACAGGAAGATGAATTAGTTCATAAAAATTACATGTTTAAAGATATATCCAATTAGGATATTAAAGATGAATTGGAAATTGCTATTGCTGAAGCACAAAGATAACTTGATGTGCTTTATGATCACAATGTCAATTTATAATATAAAATTAAGTAAAATAAAAATTAATAAGATGCTTATGTTGATAAAATTGGGGATATGACTATGAATGAACATAAATATTTAAATACTTTAGCCTATGTACATTAAATCAGATTAGATCTCTAATAAACATAGGATAGATACAATTAAATGGCATAGGAATTGCAATCAAAATTAAATGAAAAATCATAAAAATGTAATGAAATTAGATCGGCCTTTTTGGATTTGAAGAGATAAGTTGCACTTAAAGCTGCCTATTCTAGAACATATAAAAAAATACCAGAAGCTAGAATATCTGAATGGGAGGCGTAAGAATCAGACAAAAATAAAACTTTATAAGAATTAAGACTTGATGCATTAAGATAGAGGAATATTTTAACAAAATACCAAAAGTAATTCAAAAAGAAAGAAGAATTAGCAGAAGGATTACATCTAATTGATTTTGAATAATTAAAGATCGAAAATTAAACTTTAAATGAAAAAATTGAGGAGAGGAATGAGGATCTACAAAAATTGAATAATAGAAATATGAAAACTGTGCTAATGTTCACTCATACTAGAGAGAAATTAGGCCATGTTGGATAAAAGTTTTAGGATTAAGAAAAGATTAATTGTAACACTATTTATCATTAAATTTTAGATAAAAATAAGAGTACTCTAGATGGATTACGTAAAGGTTTAGGAGATTAAAAAGACTACAAGGATAAATTAAGAACTGAAAATCTTAAATTAAAGCAATAAACAGGGTAATTATACATATTAATACAGAATTGTGAATCATCCTGAATTGCTACAAGATTATAGTAATAAGAGATCAAATTATGATTAATTAAGAGATGAATTAGAACACAAAGAGGTATTACTGTTTTAGTAATATGTTTAGTAAAAATTAAAACACATGCAAAGGATTATTGATGAATACTAACTTCATCTAAAGTAGAGGGAGCAATAATGATGAAATAAACAAAGAGTTAGTTTCTTAATGATTTATTATTATTTAAAATTAATTATTTTTTTCTGAGATCAGATTTGCTCATTAACTTTTGTTACATTAAAGAATTGAAGAGAATAATAAATAATATGTTATAAAAATATAAATATTATTTGTTAAAATGAATGAGAAAAAGAAATCTGTGTTTTTTGACAAAAGGGACGAAAATTACATTCATTTAACTTCGCCAATTTACTTTTTAGAGATGTTTACAAAAAAGAAAATAAAGTGTGATGTTATTATACCTCAGACTATTATTTTTTCAAAAGGTACAGCGACATTATGGTTATTCAATTCAAAGACATCTCCTACTCCACTTATATTAAAAAAGAACTCAAATAAATTGAATTTTGTAGAAATTTGTAGAGTCTTATGCAGAGTAAAACAAAATGAAGATTTTCGAATTGATACCTTAACTACTCTATTAGACATTATCAAGGCTGGCAAGAATGAAATAAGTGCGTTTGCGAGAATAAGTAAATCAAAAAAATCAATTACAAAAGTTGATTTGGTGAAAATGTTTTTAGATGGAAATGTTAGTGGTTTATAAATATTGCAGGAGCATTTAGAGAATTATTCAAAAGCAGGTATTAAAAATCTTATACGTTAGATGAATTATTTTACGTCGAATACAGACAAGATGTTATTAATTTGCCTGTCAGTTATAGATTTTTTAAAAAATCAACCTAGAAATAAGTAATATTGTAGCCTTTACAAAAGAAATTATCATAATTGCACATATAATAATAGACATAGCATTCCGACAGTTATGATGAAAGTAATAAAAATGATTAAGTTGAGTATGTGGATTGCATGTTTAAATTCTTTGATAATTCAATGAATTAAACATTATCCAAAGTAATTGAATAATTGTAAATTTTAGATTGTCAAAAAGATAGTTGATTTTTTGGAAAAAGCTTACAAAGTGAGAGTTAAGAAATTGGTTGCTAAATTTATGCAAAATGATCAGTAGATGATATATTTCCTTGGTTTGAAGGAATTGTTAGTTGATTTTCAGGAAAATGCTCCATATGAAATTTAAAGCATGAAAAATGAATTAAAGGACAATAGTTCTTTTGAAAATTTCCTAATCCTAATAAAAATGTTTACGAGATTGAGAGATAAAAAACCAATGAAGATACCTTAAACTATCTATGAAGATGATAAAGAAATCAGTCAAAAATTATATAAGAATCTCATAGTATAAAAGTGCGTTGGTGATTTTTGTGATTACATAATGGAAGAGAAGAATAGAGGTCCACTTTAAATACGTAAAAATATTGTTACAGATTACAAGAAATACTTTGGGAATAAAAAGATGAATGAAGAGAAGTTTACAGTTACTTTACCACATGAGATCTCTTTTTAATTGATACTTAGAACAAGGGAATGTTCCCAAGAAGTGATAGAGGTGCTAATGAAAAATAAGATATTCACAAGAAACTCAAAGCATCATTTTTAAGAGTTTGATAAAATTAATACTGATGAAGAATACCCATTTAAATTCAACAAAACAGAAGTGTATAATCTACCAAATCTCTATAAAACTGTTAAAATATGTAAAAATTGTTTCGTTGTCTACTCTTTGGCTAGCAAATATTTTGATCAGAGATTATCTAACGATTTACAATAAAAACAATGGATGAAAAGGGATTCATCCTCCTTAGCCTAACAAAAAACAAGTTTAAATGCATCGAATTAGTAATTATCATAATTAGAGAGGTCTAACATAAAAAGAAATGATTCAAGGATTAGATAAGACCAAAATTAATCATTATAAAAAATAAAAACTCAAGCCTCTTAAAACAATGCAGAAAAAGATTAAAGTGAAAACAGAGTTAGAAAAATATAGAGTGCAAAACAATTCAGAGTGATACAATCTGCTCATTCCTAGGCTCCAAAAACATTTAAATTATTTATGCCTAGCTAATAACCTCAATTGGAAAACACAAAACGAAATTCTTCAAGTTCTAAAACTAATAATATTGACATAAACAGATTAACTATGGGCTTTCTTAATTACACTAAGCCTCCAAAACCAAATAAGATTTAATCTGCAAAATAACAATCTGGGAGACTTCAATCTTAAAGAAGTTAAATGGAATCTTAACATTTAAAGAGATCAGATAGTTAATCAGATTAATTTTAAAGGAATAGAATCAATAAAAGTTAGAGATAGTTGAATTCAAACAGATAATCCTTCTTTTAGGGGAAACTAAGAGTGATCGAAGTCCCATAAACTCAATATAGTTTATTAGATGTTTGCCAACTCTATGATTTAGAATACCCCCCTGAAAGTGTTCCAGATATATTTTTGGAGTCAGTAAATTACTTTTGCTTTGAATAGTGTGCTATCCCATATTTAATATTACAACACTAGGAAGAGGATTAAGAATTTAATAAGGACAATTAAAGTGGATTAGATCTAACAGAGAAAGAGCATCAAATAGTGATATTTTTGGGAGATTTCTTTGATAATTCCTTTGAATATCTAGACATTATGTAATAGAATATTAAACCTAACACAACTATCTTATTGATGAATTTGCCAGGTACAACTATTATTTTCATTGTAGGGTAGTCCTATACAGTGTTCGATCCAAACATAATTCAAGACAATTTAGATATTTCTTTATTGTTGGATTCACTGCTGTTTGAACTATGTTAGAAGGATATCATTAAAAATAATGACATCTATAAATTCATTGGATATGGATATGGTGGATTCTAAGTATTAAGTTACAGTAATAAATTATACTAAATTAGTGGCACATGTACAGAGCAATCTTCCTAGAATTGGAGGTCTCTTAATAATCAATGCGTTTTGCGAAATAGATGATATGTTGACAGATACATTGAAGAAATCAAAGGAAGTATTCTAAACTTGCCCAAATGACATGCCTGAATTGGGATTCCACTTCTGGAATTCCCTCATTTAGTCTCATGAAGAAAAGTAAGATCCACGATATAACCCAATCTCTTTGAATGGAAGATTACACATAATAAACGGTATATTTTTTAAAATTCAATTAAGGCTTAATTAAGTCATAAAATGTTTGGAATTCCTGCGGTTAAGAAATCCCCATTAAGCTTTATCACGGTCTTAAGAATTGTGTTGTCAATATAAAGCAAGCTCATCTAATTAAAAATAGTTCTTCTTCAAGTAACTCTTGTGAAATGAATTTAATTAATTTTGGGCACAAACTTTAAAATTTAGAAGAATTGTTATTTGAATTCCTCTGAAAAATTATATGTATGAATTATGATTATCATGATAACAATAAAGCATTTAAGTCCTCTTACTCTATCTCATTTAGCAGTATTCAAAAAGGAAATATAACTTAAAAATAGAAATGTTTTGTTGTTTCTAATACATACTTATAATCTATAAGAATCATAAATCAACATCCCCAGGTGCTCAGTCCTCATAATCAGAGCTTTAATCTTTACTTTGTAAGGACTCCAGATCTTTAAAGTGTAGATCCAATGAAGTATTGAGATCGATTTGATTTTAGTTTGACTTTTTTCTTGGGTTGGTTTCAAATTCATAGAAATCGGTGTAAAACTTGTCCAATTTAGAGCTTAGCTTGTCCATTGCTTTCCTTTAATTTTATTAATTATTGAATAATCTTAATTAAATTTGTATTTCACATAAAATTCCCATCAAATTTGGTTTAATTAATCGGAATTCTAATTTTAAATGTATTTAATTCTTTAATTTAATAATATTCAACACAAATTAATAAGACTATCATTATTCATACTTGACCTCAATTAAATCCTGCATTAAGTGCAACTATAATGTAATAATTTAAAAAATACCATCATAAACAATTATTTTTCTTTAATTTTAATTAATTCTGCAGCTTATTTGTGCTGAATTTTTAATTATTCAATATTTATTGATGCTGCTTCTATATTTTTCATAACAGTGTCAACATTTTCATAACTACTTATTTATTTTGATAGGTTTTCGTAATGTTATCTATTAATTTTTATTTATTCTTCAATCTGATACACACTTTTCAGATGCTCTATTTCCAAATCAGTTTATTTTACACCTTCGACTAAGAAAGTCACTGTGATAAATTACTTATCGATTTATTTAATTCTTAATTTTATTCTCTATCAAAATTTTATGCCTCCAATTATCTGGCTGCCTTAGCTATTTAAAATTCATAAACAGCTATGTCTTTTTAAAATTCAGTAACCAATTATTGTCTTTTTATTTAGTCGATTTATTTACAATTTTTCTTCGCTCAAAGTTTCTAATGGTGCAGTGATTTCAATATATTTTTTAAGGATGACCTTCAATTGAGCATCTTTATAAATCAATAAATCTTTTATAATCCTTTCGGTTGAATCCGTGTCTAATTTGTATGGTGGCTGTAAATCTCGATTCATTCTGTGTATTTACAATTATATATATTTATTAATAATTAAGTATTGTTAAATTTCGATTTTATATAAAGTAAGGAAACTTTATGAGTCCCATTTCAGCTATTAGTTTTGTAATCAATAAATATAATAAAATTTTGATTATTAGTCTATTTCCTCTATTTTAACTTAGTACTTGGTTTGAATTCAATTTTTATATTGATTAAAACATAATTAGGATGGTGTTATAATATAAATAAAACCATTTCAATCTAACAGCTCTGGCAGAATTTCTTCGGATTTTCCTATCAACCAGAATGTATTTCCAACTTCGATAACGGGTTCTGGATTTATTTCAATTATTGTGGCTTTCTTCTTGATAAATTCGCACACCATAGTTTTTGCAAAATGAGTTTATAAAGTTGAACCAATTACTATAATGGTGTCATACTTTTTTGATAACTCTTATATTTCGGTTATCCTGCAATTTTCATCTAGAATCTCATCATCAAGTAGCAATAAATGAGGTCTTCCTTTTGATCCACATATAGGGCATTTTGGAATTTCGTTTAATTCTAAGTCTGGAATATCATAAACAGTCATTAATTCCGCTTCTTAAAATGTACATTCATACAAACATCTCATATATTTGATATTACCGTTAATTTCATAAATCTGTTTGTTATAACCATAATTAATCTCTTCAGATTCAAAAATAGAAACCAATAAATTATCAATACTTAGATTAACAATCAAAGCATCCTTATTTTTTTCTTTAAAATTCTTTATAGCAAGATGACCAGCATTTGGTATTTTATCTTCTGCTAATTTTTTAAATTATTTATGCCATTCCCAATATATTTCTGGATAATCTACTAAGAAATCTTTAGTTTTTAGTTTAGATAAAGGGTAATTGCATTCTCCTTATATCCATACTCCATTCTACTCTTTTGATGTAGGAATACCACTTGCTTAGCTAAGACCTGAACCACATAAAATCACAGTATTCTTAGTGATTAATTATTTTGCTTCATTTATAGTCAATTCTAAAGCAGTTTTTGGATTATGCTCACTTGCCCTTATACTATTCGAAATTAAGGATTTTCCTATGCTTTCAAGTAGTTTATCCATTGTGACACTAAATGTTTTTTAAAAGTTGTCAATATTATCAACAGTTGATCTTGCCTACTCTTAGACATCATCTATTGTTTAGAATGTAAGTTTCATTTTTTATAGAGTTTCAGTTGATCTATCCTGAGATTCTTAGATTTCTTGCTATATTTTCTCATACCTCATTTTTTCTTACAGTTGTTTTTCATCAAGCTCTTCTTCTTATTCTTAAACTTTTTAATCCATTTGTATAAAATGAAAATTTATTCAAAATTTATTAGTTTATATTAATACATTATCAACAAAATTTTACATCTCACTTTCCGAAATAGGATAAGAATCCTTTTTTTTTAATTGTCTAATCATCCTCTTTAATTGGACTTAAAGGAGTATTTTAAGAATTTTAATTCTTTTTTTCTTTTTTTGCAATTGAAGTTTCAAGTTTCTTCAACTTAGCCTGAAAATACTCCTTTTCAGTCAATATTTAATTATATAATAAAGTGCTTTCTTATGCTTATTTTTCAGCTCTTTTTACTTCTGATTTTAAGAAATTTACCTCTTCAGCCCAACTTAACTTGGCAGTAATAAAATGAGTTTCAAGCTTATGTAATGATTATTTTAACTATTCCTAGTCTATTCTCAAATCTCTTTCTTATGAATAATCAAGTTTTCCTTTTCTTAAGTTCTATATTTCTAATAATTGTGCTTTAATCTCTTATTATAAGACACCAACCAAATGTTCATAATTTTCGATTTCTTCTGCTAATTATCTAAATAAATAATAAGTTTATTTTACTCATTTTGGTGTTTAACAGAATGTAATTCTACCTTCAATTATTCCATCTCTTAATATCTTCTTTTAGTATTCACACTTGCATTTGAGATTCTAGATGATGCAAACATATGTCCTGCTCCATTTTTTGACTGGGGAGTTTATGGAACTTATTGATGAAAACTATCTTCACTCTGTTAAGTATTATGTGGTTTCTCTATTGAAATTTCTTCGGTTAGTAATTCACTTAGGAGATTTCCTCCTTATCCTTACTCTTCCTATTATGAAGGCAATCGCTCACTAGGTAAATGAATCTTCTGCATTTATAATTACTCTTCATAATAAAACTTAGTTTCTTGCAATTATTATTCTAGATGATTAACTTATAATTCTAAATCATCAATTTATTGTTATGAGCTATTATTATATTGTCTAAGTTCATCCATATCTTGAATCTATTTTCTAATATTATTCTCCAATTTAACATTTAGTTTAACTAATTCATCTCTTTGCTTTTAAAGAATTGTTTTCTCTCTCTATAAATTAGAATATTATTTAAATGCATCCTCACACTTTCTGTCACTTTTTAATACTTATTACAATGCAGATGATAATTTTTTTTGCATCTCAGCATGTCTGCCTTCATAAAAACTAACTTCCTTATACTTTTCATCCTTAACTTATTATAATAATTTCTCCTAATTAACTAATAGCTTATCTTAATTCTTAATTTTCTCCTCATATAGATTAATCTAATGAAGCAGATCTTATTCAACAGATTTTGATTCATTAATTTAATGACTAATGCTGTCTAACACTCGTTCTGTAATTTCATGCTCTAATTTCATTAATCTTTCATCAAAATGCAACTAGTCTTATTCTATTTTCTAATTCAATTCCTATACTAATTATTTTAAATTTTAAATTTTAATATCCTTTTCATCATCTACATCAGAACTATGAACTTAATCGTGAAAAGTCTCTTAGATCTATGATGAACATTCAAGTTGGCTTTTTAGATCTTATATAACTTTTTCTTTTTCAACAATTAATGCAATTGCTGTTTCTTCCATTTTAACTAACTATTATTTTAATTCATCAATTTCCTCATTCTCAGGCTTTCTTTTTAAACTCTATATTTCTTTTTGCAATTTCAACTATAAATTTATTAACATAATAAACTTCATTTGCTTTATATTCTAACAATTTATTTTCAGCTTCTGACAATTTTTATTCAAGTTGAGTAGCAAATGATTAAATTTCACCCGTTCCTATTGAACTAATCTAGGTGTTTATTTCATTCTCCAATTCACCTGTTCTCTTCCTCTCTCTCTCAAGTTCATTTGATAGCTTTTTTTATCAATATAAACAATACTTCTAATATCTGCTGTTTAAATTGAAATTCTTAAACCCTTAATTATTTTTAAAGTGCCTCTATTTCTACTTTTTAGGCTTGGATCTTGCTCACAAGCTAAGGCATGAATCATAAATATTACAAACATTTCTTCATCATCAGAATGATTGTTGTTAGACATAGGTGTATATTATTAATAATTAAAAAATAAATATTATTTATATTGTTCTTTAGCAATTATAGAGTTTATAAATATACTTTAATTGTGAATTCACTTAATAAGTGTAAAAATATAACACCTATAAAGAATTTGCAATTTGAAATTTAAATTATTGGTTGTTTTTAATTTATTACAAAATTATATTAACTAGTAATCAGTAATGACCAATTCGAAAACAAAGGGAATTCATTTCTTAAAATAGGAATCAATTCAATATTCTGCAGATTTTCGAAAAATTAAAAGTAGAATATTTGTACTGTAGAATTGTGAGAATGATTGCTACCAATAATCTGAGGAAATAAGATTGCAATAGGTTATTGCAAATTTATTTAGTTCATTCAATTAAGGTGACATCAAGCAAGCAAATTACAGTAAGAATTGTTATATTGCAAATCCTGCTATTATAATTATATTTTTAATATAATTTATTTATAAATAAATTTGATAATTTTCAGATCATGTATTAATCCCAAGAAATATTGAGTGATGAAGAAGATTTTGAAACTTAATAATATCTAATTAGGCAAAGACAAAGTAAATTTATATTTACAATTTAAGTTGCTGAATTACAATAGTAGTATTAATCCAAAAGGCAGGAGTTAGATAAATATTTAAAGACTGAAGAATCCATAATTTCTCCTAGAATATTCAATTATGAAACCAACTACTCTACAAATTAAACTTTGAAATACCAACTACCTCCAGAGACTAATTAGATTTCAGATATTGCATAGAAACAATAAAATCAATATTTAACAAGTTTTTCGTCCTTGAATAAAAAGTCATAGATTACACCTACATCTGAAAGAAGATCAGAAGCATAAATGAATTCAAATTTTAATACAAATAAAACATCCAAATCTCCGATTCAAAACCCAATTCTGTAACATAATAAAAAGATAATCATAAAGAGAGTTAATCATGAAACTTAAACTCAATTAACTGTCTCTTGTAAAATACCAACGAATTCCAAATTTAATATTTAATTGCAATAAACCATGGACCCAAATTTGAATAAGGCCACTCAAACCACATAAATTTTAAAATAAAAGAATTTAGCGTAGAATACAAAACCTAAGGCCTAAGAAATACCTTCTATTAATAAATATACTTAAAGATTTAAGACTGAATATAACTGTACAAAAGAGTAAACTGAATCAAGTAAGGTTTAGCAGAATGGAAGAAAGGTTCCCATGAACAAAAAGTAATTTGAATAATGGTACAAATCTTAGTAGAGTTGGTATTAACAATAGTTATTCTAGGGTTAACAAAACTGAAATGAAAGTCTTTCAATAAAGAATGGAAAAGGAACAAATGAATTAGGATCTTGATTTTCATTAATAAAGCTTCAGCCCTAAAATATTAAAACATTCGTAGGATATAGTAAATCAAAAATTCTCAGGTTGCTAGTTTATGGAGAGATAATAGTAATATGACAATTATTTAAAAATGAAATAACAAAATAGAGAACATGAAGAAATACTAGAAAGACAATCTTAGAAATTCAGAATGAGTCCCATATCTAAGTTAATAGTTAGAAGTGTGACTCCAAAATCCTATAGGGATTATTCTAAAAATCATACTGCAAATACATCATGGTTTGGAAACCATAATACACAATGTTATTAATGAATACTATACTTTAATAAATACAATTATAAAATGAAAATTCTAATTACTTTATTGTTTATTCTAGAAATTATTTAAGGTGTGGAACAATGTTAATGTTCCAATTTTACTCAACCTTAATACTGTACATCATTTTAAGGATGCTATTGGAATGGAAAAAATTGTTATCAACCAAATTGTACAGAGATTACTTAATAATCGAAATGTATAGCTCCTTTATGTGCTTGGTATTTGGACAAATGTCATGATGGATAGTAGTGTAACTTTTACACAGATAAACAAATTTGTAACGAAATATTTGGATGTGTTGCAAATGATGGATATTGTCTTCCTTACGAAGATTGTAATTTTCAAACCTAAGACAAGTGCAATGGCATAACTCCTACAGGAATATAATGTTTTTGGAATTCATAAACTCAGAATTGCATCAAATTTTAGACTTGCAATAGATTGTCATTGGATAATAATGATTGCAATTCTATACCTTATTGTATATAAAAGAAGAAATAATGTGAAAGCTTTAGTAACTTAAAATGTTCTGATATGGAAAGTGTATTTCTATCCTAATTATTAGGAATATGATTGTAGCAGAATGGCATCATATGAATGCTCATGGTTAAATGATCAATGTGAATCTGTTGCTTGTTCCACTTATACAACTCCATCATCTTGCAGTGTTAATTCTTGCACTTGGAATGGATCAACTTGTTTATATTGTCCAGTAAACTTTATGTATACATATTTTTCTAGGTTGATAATTCTTATAGTAATTTAATAATCACTTTAAATCTACTTATTTCGATAGTGTTATTTTGAAATATAAGATATATATAATTTATAAATTTCATTGTTTACTTTTAATTTCCAAATTAACCATTCTTTCTAAACAGTTTAAGTAATTTGTAGAAAGATTTGGCATCTTATACAAAGATTAGTCTAATAAATATAAAATGTTTATTACATTTTTTAAGCTTAACCTTGCTCTAAAACCCTTTAATTATTTCATCTGAAGACATTACACTATTTTGAAGTTAATCATTACTTAATTAACTCATGGTATTCAATATTTTGGAACTGTTGTTTATCACACTATTTAATTTCTTATAATCTTCAGGTTATTTAAATTCTTTTTGTTTCTAACTCGTCAAAGAAGTGTTTTGATTTTCTAAATTGATAAACATTGGACTTTAAAGAGTTACACCTCTTGGAGTTGTATCAATTTTAATTAATTTCAATTAAGATTTTTTTGATGACTGCAAACTGCATTTATCTGTTTTCAAACGAGGTATATGACTTCTCATAGTAGTAATACCCTAATGAGATCTCGCTGTTTATTTGATCAATCTTAAAGTCTAGTCGATACTAAGCACATTTTCACCATTCTTAAATTTTTCAATGAAAAGAGAATTTTATTTTAATCTCATATGTTTTTTCTGTTCCAACGATGGCAATTAGGAATTAGAACTTTATTAGGTAACTTCAGCCTAAATTACATCTTCGATTTGAACATCAGGCAATTACTACACAAAATCTTCTTGTATATGGTTTTTTATCTATTAATAATTATATGCTCTGTGCTATTCACTATAAACCTCATCCTTAATAAAATTTAAAATATCTTAAAGGTTCCTTTTAATATCCTTAAATACTCTTGTTTCTAAACAATTATCATTGTAGTCTGCATTTAGAGTAAACTTCTGCTTTTTAATTTTTCTAATTTTGGCTAAAATAACATCTATTTTTTTCTAAAAGGGCAAACAAATGTCAAAAGACTCATTTACTTAATAAAGTAAAAATTTAGACAAGAGGAATTCCTAAATCTAATTAATTTATATACTCTAACATCAACTGATGTGATGACTTTCCCTATTGCCTAAATATCCAATCTTATCTATTATTGCACTTATTCAATAGCATCTGATTTCAATTCTAAAATTAGATTTAACTTTTCAATTTCTTTTCTAAATTATTTGAATAATAATTATAATTGAATTAATATATCTCTATTTTTAATAATTTTAATCGATCTTAAAACTAAATATATACAAATATTTACTAAAATTAAATTTGTTCTTTATTGTTTAAATATCTATTTTTTCAGTCTACTTGCTAATTTTAGCAAACTTTGAATCTCTCAGAATTGTTTTAGTACTATTTTAATATTTTAAGGCAGGATTTAAAAAGTAGATTACTCTGTCTTAATCATATGCAACAGTTGGAGTTTAGAGATCAATGGTTTCAAACTTAAAATGTGCACATTTAATTTCCTAGACTCCATACCAAGTTGTGGATGTTTTTTCAAGTATGAAATCAAAAGTCACTTGACCCAATCTAAATGAACCTTAATTTTATTAATATGTATGATATTCCTTAGCAGTTTCAAATTTCTATTCATTACATAATAGTTATAAATACTCTTTAGTCGATGTTTTTTAGAATAATTCTAAGCAATTTTAGAAATGCCAATTAGGAATCAAATGAAATTACACTTTCAAAATCATTCATAGGTTCTTTACAATTTGTTAACATATCAAAATACTAATTATTTTCCCTTATATAGCATTTTAGCTTAATTTTAATATCAATTATACAAACATTTTATAGTTAAATCTATTTTCAAAAGTGTTATTTTTCTCAAGCTTTTTTAATTCTTCCAATCTATAAAATACATGTCCAGTAAAAATTAATAATAACCCTGGATCCTGGGGAGCACCAATCAAACAATGAGTTCTTCCACTTTTGATATCTCCTTTGAGTAAAAATCTAAAAGATTGCAAATCTATGAAAGCATCAACATTATATTGAATTAATTGTGTGTACATATCCATGTTTGTGATTGTTGACTTAAAAATGGTTTCAAATCTAAGCTAATTTAATTATCATTACTCGTAAATGTCTTTGACTAAAATGTGCTTAAGCTAGTCTTCCATTTAATGATCTCTAATAATAACGGAATATAAATCCAAGATATCAATAGAACCTTTTAATATGTGGAGAAAAAGATACTAGGTTACTGCCGATCAGCAAAGTCTGGATTACGTACTCGTAAATATTTTAACATTAATATTGATTAAATTGTATTTTCTTTTTGATTATAAATTATATTAAAAACTCACAGCTCACTCTTCTTCTATAATTGAGCAGCAGTTGAAGCTAATTTATCAGCAATTTCATTTTGATCTCTCGAAATATGAGTATATTTAACCTTCTTAAATAACTAAGCATAATCACAGATGGCTACTCTAATGTCTTCCAAATGTTTTTGCTTAAAATTGATCTTACTGTTCATCCCATCTATTACAAGCTAATAATCAATGATCTCAATACTTTACTATCTCCAAAACACTCTAAAAAGTTTATTCCCAAGTTCAAAGTGTACCTAATTCCAAAAAACAAAGCCAAAAACTCAGCCACATTATTTGTTTACTTCCCCAAAGGTTAAGTGATTTCCTTTATTAGTCTCATTTTATCAAACAATGCTATGCCAGCACCAGCAGGACCAGGATTAGATTTACTTGCTCCATCGAAATAAAGTGTATAAAGACTCTCTGTTTAAATTGGAATAATTTCTAGATTTTTTGGATAATAAAATAACAGATTGGCAAATTACTAATCCAAATACTCCAATTTTACTAATCTCTATCTGCTAATTGATGTTTTCTTCATTTTATCTTCAATCTCATCTAAAATACCATAACAGTCCTTTTAATTTATATCATCAATTTTAAACTATTTATCTATCTTATTCTCCTATTTGTATTTGAATTAACTATTTTATATTTTTGTATTTTCTACATTATAAGTCTTTTCGAAAACATTTTATTATTAAACACTAATTTCTCTTATTTATCCATCTTTTTAGCTAAACAATTAAAGAGTTGCAATACCTTCTCTCTCTTATTAAACTGATGTCTGAAATCATCATTTACTACAAATTTTCAACATGTTTCAATTCCAATAATTATTATGCCTGAATAGCAAATTATTGTGCTTTTTCAAACTCTTTGAAATATATTAATTTATAGCCATCAGGTTTTTCAAGTTTCTTAATGGCATATCTTTCTAATTAGAATACTCTAGGTTTCAAAGAATAATCTAAGAAAACAATTGCTGATTTTAATTTCATATAAATATTATAATTACAATTAAACTCCAAATTTATATATTTAGAAATAATCTATTCTTGGAGTGCAAATCTAGAATGAGAGTACTCTAAGATATATTAAAAATTTATTAATAAAAAATAGATTATCTTGTAAAGATTTGTCCTTATGTAATTTAGTCAATCAAATAGATTTTGATCTATACATATATAGATATTTTAAACATTTCTCTGAATTGATTATTTTCTTTTAAAATTATTAACGCAATTCTTTATAAATTTCATATTAGTGCCCCTGAATTCTTTTTTCTATTTCTAAAAATAGAAAATTATTCAATATTTAATCTTAATACTGATATCATTTTTGATTTTGAGATTTCTATCATTATTAAAGTATAATAAACGAATCGATTCTCTTATTTTAACCAAATGGCATTTAATGTCCAATGAGATTGTGTGCACTTAACAAAAGTGGACTAATAAAATTTGAATATTAATAATAATGATATTTTTTTTGTTATAAACTGTTTTAGCTAAATAACTTACTAATCTTACAACTCATGTTCTATTCAATAAAATATCTGAATCAGAATAAGTGGATATTGTTGTGACAGAATAGTTAAATATCAGAGATTATCCTTAAGCAAAGTATGTTATTGATGCTAAATTGGAATCAGAATAAAAGGGAAGCATTTGTTATGTTAAATAAGGATCAATATAATTTGGTGATTATTAAGTATATAGTTAAAAAATATTTGACCTACCTAACTTAGAAACTAATGATCCAGAATTATTGCTAAATATACCTGTTTTGTTGAATATGGTGCACATAAAAAAAGCTTTTGCCATAGTTACAAGCAATAATTAAATACTACTCTACAGGGTTAATTAAAACTCATCAAACATTATAGGACACGAAATTCAATTGGAAGCGAACTATTCTTTTCAACATCTGCGTCACGAGGCAAAAATAATAGAACCTCCATAAATTATATACACAGACTAAACACAATACATATACTTAATATATGAAAATTAAATCCTTGGAGGCAAAGTGAATTATGATAATCTAAGCTCATTCGCTCTTAGAAACGTAACTAATGAAAGACTTGATAATGATAATTATTATTTAGGCCAGATAAAAGTATTTGGTTGGCATATCTTTATTCCAGTAGGAGTCGATGGATTAGATATTTATCAATATAAAGAAAATGGAGATTGGTCTTTCATTGGGAATATGAACTCAAAAACCTTATACAATAGTTCAAGAAAAATTAAGATAGTTGATTTAGTATTTGGAGGAACAGAGAATGAAAAATATATGTATATCCTTGATGAATAACGTGGAATCATAAGATTTATAGTTTCATCTAATTCCTCTGGCTTTGATGCTTAATATGATTCTTAACTAGGTATTATTACAATCCATAATGGAAAAACCTTAGCAGAACACAATAATAGCTATATTTTAGTATTACAAGAAATAGGAGTTATAAATACTTTAGTTGAAATGGGTCTTCATCAAAATAATTGGTTTAAAGTGAAAGTTCATTATTTGACTGGTAGATATTCAGAAATTGACATATTACCTGAATTTACTATTTTGAGAGGAAAAGATGAACACAGAATAATAAGAACAGGAATTTATGAGAAATTTGAACCAAATTTTGTCTTCACTTAAAAGGATAATCTAAACTAGGAGAGATAGAATTCCTTCTATGAAGAATATGTCTTTATACCAAGTCTCATAACTATGGATTTCTATGATGTTGATAAAGGAGCACTGAATTCCAGCAATAACTTTAATTAAAACATTACAAACTCGTTCTTGGTTGGCATTACTTCTTAATCAATCGTTTACTTGCCATACATTGTTGAAAATCCATACATTAGATGCAATCCAAGAAGTAATAGAACTGTAGGAAGAACATTTGATTATAAATTAACAATCAATGCAACTCATTGCCCATAAAAAGAAAAACTAACAGGAATTCCCCCTTAATTAATCTTATGCCAATATGTTGATGAATTCAATCTTAAAATTACCAATGGTGATGGCATCATTTATGACACAGAATCCATGGCATCAATCATTATGGGATTTATAGTGCTTTTAATAATATTATCTATTCTATTAGCTTACTTATATACAAGATACAAATTAAAGTAAAATGGTCTACGAAATGACATATAAGGGTTTGGAGAAAGCGGTGGTAATCGGGAGGGATATGATATGGATCAACAATACACATAATAGTGATGTGAAATAGCACTTAATTTGTTCTAATACATATTTTATTTAAATTTAGGAGTTACATCTTATTGTTTTTATTTATTCTCCTATTCATTTTGTTTCTCAAAAAGGTATTTGAACATCTTTTTATATTCAAGTTCTTTCTTTTACTATTTTAATTATTGTTATTTTAATAGTACTTTTTTTTTCTTTTTTAATCTAAATTTTTTTTTTTCTTATTCTTAATTACTTAAATAAACTATCAACTTACTAAATTGATTATCTTAAAAGTTATATTACTACTTCTACTTCTATCATTATATAGAAGAAAATTTGGTAGTCATGTAGTAATTATAAGTTTTTAAAACATATCAGATCAAATCTTCCTAAGCTACTTAGTTGTTCTTATTGGCTTCAGTTTATTGACTTAATTCCCTTAATTAATTTAAAACATAGTATAAAAGTTTACTTAATAGATTAAGTAAAAAAGAATTTCAAACCAATTATAATTATTTATTGCTTTAAGAAATTAAAAAATCAGTATTATATTAATAAATATAATTAAATTTAATCCAATGAACATTTAGGAGCAATAAAGCAATAGAAAACAGTTGTAAGCCAAAAAATTAGGTTATAAGACATTTAAATAAGATAGCATTAGTGTCCTTTCCTACTTCAGGCAGAGATATTTTTCTAACATAGGAATTAAAATCTTTAAATCTTTTAAGAATTTCTAAACACAATTATATTGCCCATTAAGTGTTTGAATAAATTTCAAGTCTTTGTATTAACGAGGTTTTATTTTATTAAAATTATTTCTTATTAAATACTTGATATCAAGTGGTGATTTTAATTAATTATAAATTTAATTTGTGTTTAAATTAATATAAATTTGCAGTAATAATGAACCAACTCCATTAATTTGAGTATGAAAAATCAATTTTTAAAATGACCTGCATAAGAAAACACCTTTTAAAAGATATCACCTACTTTTTGTTCTTATTTAAAGACTATCTAATTTTAAGTTAAGTAAAAGATAAATTTATTTTTAAAAGGAACAAAATTCATAATAACCGAAATATATTTTTAAGATTAATCTTGATACAAAAGTGTATTGGCAAATGGAGAAATAAATTTATCACCAAATAGGATTGGAATACAAAGGAGAGGTGAAATATTTTAATGGTGATTGCGAAGGTTTAAAGTAGCTAAAAATGTTGTTAAGAAATAAAGTGATGTATCGCAACGTGAGTGACTTCTACATACCAGTCAAATAATTAGGAAGAGGAGGTTCTTCAAGAGTAATTGCTATTTTAAGTTATAGGTATATTTAGTCACAGACAAATGGAATAATTAACAATACGCTTCAAAAAACGTGGAAAAAAGATATTTGAAGGAGGATGGAGGATTTGTAAATATATAAATGAGTTTAGGAAGCATTATTTAATGAAATAAATTTGATGGCAGCATTAAGCCATGAAAATATCGTGAAATTGGAAGATGTTTATGAAGGAGAGAACACATTTTACATTATTTTGGAATACTTAAAAGGTGCATCACTTCATGATATGATCACTAAAGGAATTTTATAATTAGGATGGGATGAGATAAAATCCATAATGAGGGTAATACTTCCATATAATTCAAGTCCTTATTAACTGCAGTAGTACATATGCATTCCTAAAATATTATGCATCGAGATTTGAAGCCTGAAAATATCATGTTTAAGAATTTAAATGATATAAGAGGATTAAGAATTGTAGATTTTGGATTGGCAACAAGTACAACAGTAGCCAGTTATCCATTTCCTAAATGTGGTACTCCAGGATATGTGGCACCTGAAATAGCAAATTTGAAAGACCTTTCGAATAAATATGATAAAATTTGTGACATTTTTAGTGCAGGTTGCATTTTTTATAAATTGTAAATATTCTAATAATTCAATTAGAATCACTTCCAAAGATTTGTTTCCTGGCAAAGACTATCACGAAGTCTTAAAATTAAATAAAAAGTGCTTGATAAATTTAGATACGTTAAGCATCTACTAAACACCTTAATCAGCAATAGATTTAATCTTTTAAATGCTCTAAATTGATCCAAAAAATAGAATTACTGCACAATAAGCATTGGAACATCCATTTTTTACAGAACTATACTAAGATAGAAAAATAAAATTCTAGTCATAAAAAAAGACCTTAAGCAATAACTCAAAGCCTTGGCAAACGTTAACATTTAAGCAGTAAAACTCGGATCGATTATAATTACCTTAAATAAATCAAGATTCAAAGAATTAAGATGAAGACGATGTTGGCATTGAAGATGAAAAAGCCACCATCTAAATACTGCCCATAAATAGTCCTAGGTTTGTTCAATAAGCAAAAATTAAAAATCTAGCTCTAGCTGAAGGCTCTCCTAAGGAAATGCCTAAAAAAAGTGCCTTAAAGAAGTTCTCTACTTAAGAGTTCGAGCATCTAACTCCTGATACTCAATCGCCTGATTCTGGGGGCATGAATTTCTGCAACAGTCCCAAAGTCATCCAAGATGCTGTTATAAAGAAAAATTTTACTTTTTCTAAATATAATTAATAATAACAAGCAATCGATGAAGTAGATGATGAATAAAAATTATGATTTTAGACTGAATTTTTACCACATTAAAAAGTCCTTTATATTTCAATTACAATTTATATTTATTACTATAATTTAAGTACAATTTATCTGGATAAGGATGCACACGACATAAGTATCCATATTTCATCATAACTAGACACCAAGAATAACAAATGATAATTTATTGGACTCTGTCTCAGAAATTAGATTCGGAAATAATGATATATTTGCTACAGGAGCTTGGGATGGCTATATCCGCTTTTATTAAATCCTTTCTCAAACTGGCATATAAACACAAATAGCTCTTGACTTTAAAAGCGTCATAGATTGTCAAGAACCGTAATATAATTTTTATATTCTTAGAGTGCTTTCTATTAGTTGGAAGAGAGACATGTCAATGATATTTGCGGCTTTGGCAGATAACACAGTTAGGGTTTATGATATTAAAACAGGGCAGAATATGGTTTTGGGTTATCACGACGATTGCCCGGCGAGATAAGTATTTTGGAATGATGAATTGTAAGTTTTGGTATCTTTGGGCTTTGACAAGAAGCTAAGATTATGGTCACTTAAATAAAACACTATGGGGATGAAGCCATCTCCAGTTTATGAATTAAATTTGACTAGTATACCAACAGTGGGAGAACAAGATTAAAATGAAAGGATGTTTGCATATGCTGATATCGACTGCAAAATTAAGTGGTTTTCATGGGATAAAATTAGAGGCAACTTAAATAGCAATATTTCCAGGAATATTTTTGAGATTGAAGATTCAAAACTAGGAAACAGATCATAAATTAGCACTTTATCAATTTCCCATAATTCAAAGTAAATGGGATATTGTTCAGTGGATGGAAGAGGAGCAGTAATGGAAATGAATGATAGATTAGAGGGGCAAAATAGAATTGTATACAAGTGTCACAAAAGAGAAGAAGATTCAAAATAGTCATTTAAATCAGAAAAAATTAATACATATTATGTTGTTAATTCACTTCAATTTAATTGCAGATCATACGATTGGGTTAGTACAAGTTCATCAGATAGCACTATAATATTTTGGGATTTAAAAAAGAAAAACAAAATCACAACCATACCATTTGATGCTCCGGTTATTGCGAGTCAAGTGTCTCCAGATGGCTACTTCTTAGCCTATGCCACTGGATATGATTGGGGATAAGGGCTAGATGGAATCGATAATAGATTTTCAAATAATGTTGGAGCTGTTTTTATTGAAAAACAATAACTATATTATGTTTGATAAACTTAACTCCAGTATTGATAAATGTAATATAAATTCTTATCTGTTGTCTTATTTTTAGAACATATAAAAAAAGTTGGATTTTAGGTGCTCATATAAATTATCGATATCCTAAAATCTTAACTGCTGCTTTTATTAATATTATTAAATTCCTCCCTTTTTTGGGTTCTTTCAATATTATTAGGGTATCAAACATTTTAGTATATAAAATATAATATTATCTACTACATCCTTAATAAAAAATTTTAATGTTGTTATGAAGAATAAAAAAGAACATTCTTCTTTTCATTCTTTTTCTAACATATTTATTCCATAGATGAAATATTTGTAATGTGGGATTTTTAAATTAATTTAATAAAGTTTACCAAAATGGGATCATCTTTGTGCTTTTAAGATTCTTAAAAATCAAACAATGAACTCAAATTAAGATGCAACAAACAATATAGATTAAATGGACCTCCGCATTTATTCAAACCAACTCCAATAGTAAGTGTTTTGATGTTTGATGAATAAATTGAGAAGGAGGAGTCTCCATAAACTGAAATTTTAGAATCTCTAAACAATAAATAAAATGTTTAGTAGTTTACATATATGGCTCAATAGTCAGAAGAGATCGATAGCACTTAATCAAAACCTTGGATAAAAAAAACTTATGCTATTTAAACTATTAATGTATCTAATTTTAAAAATGATGAAAATAATAATAAAAACAATAATTATCAATTAAAAAACTCCAGTAGAGAACAAAATATATCGTCAGAAAAATACAAAAACTTGAAAGAAGATTCAAATGTTTCAATTTAATTGGGCCATTCAGGATCAATTTCAAATAATACTTTTGATAAAAAGTAACTTAAAACTAATTGCCAAAACAAGAATAAATGATAATTGATTATATTTTACCAAATTATAGACATAATATTTTCTTAATTAATATTCCAGCAACTTCCACCACTAAAAATTCTATAAATAACTTCTTGTATTTTGAAAAGCAAAGTATAAAAGATGAAATTTCTTTAGAATACTTATCATATAATAAGACTCTTAAATGATAGTTTCAATTTCCTTCTCATTCAATCATTTGTTGATCATATCTTTCCCCCTCCTCTAAATTTTATTTTCCAAAATACTAATTAAAATTATTCCTTAATAGTTAATTAATAGAATTAATGCATTATTATGACTAAGAATACAAATTCTTCTCAATATCTAATTTAGAATTGTCTTTTCTAATAACAGTTTCTAATTTATTTAAAATATAACTAAATTAGCTTTATAATTCATTAATAATTTTGATATATTTATGAGTATTATTTAAAATACTTCCTAAGAAATTAGAATTAATAATCTTTAGATTGATTTAAAGCAATTGTCAACCAATACTAATTTATATATGCTTTAATCACAAGATGAAATAGCATCCTTAAATGACAAGATAAATCAGATCATCAATTAATAAAATCAGCATGCTTCCGTAAATAAATGATTCTATAGCTAGAGCTTAAATGTTATTCAAGAGAAATTGAATCAGAGAGTAGAAAAAATTTTTTTGGAACATGAAGCAAGTTTAATAAATAAGATAAAAGAAATTGAAGAGTAAAAATTAATGTAACACGAAGAGGAAATAAAAAAGAGAGAAGAAATGTTCAATAAATTTGTGTAGCTTGATTAGCAGGTAGATAAATTGGATAAAAAATTTGAATTAAAGGCCAACGACAAGTTTATAGTTAGTACTATATAAAGTAATCTAATGAATAATCAATTACTTCAGCAAACATTAATTGATAAAGCTATTAAGTTAATTGATGATCTATTAAAATAGAAAGTTGAGGAAATGTAAAAATGGACTGACGAAAAGATTTAGTAATAATATTATCAGATATAAAACTTTTCCACTTATCTCAGAAAATCAGAACGAGTAGTTGAAGAACTCTAAAGTGCCATTACACTAACCAAAAATTCAACTATAGAATTTGAAAAGGAGTTTACATAATAGATCAACGACATTTCTTAAAAAAACCAAATTTTTAAGGAAACGATCACGATCCAAACTAAGGGGTATTAATTCCAAATTATTGTAGAATGCTTAATCAAAGTTCACAAATAAAATAATAATTTGATTAGTTAGAATAAAAAAATTAACTTGAGTTTTAAAATATACAAGAAAAACAAAGTAACATCACAAATTAAATTCAAACTAAGTTCGATCAAATCAATCACTATATTCAATTTTGTTTGAATAGTTCAGAACAAAAAGTATATTCTTAATGCAAATAAGAAGATTAAGAATTAATGGAAAAACTTACAAACTAGTTTGAAACTAGATTTAAAACTCTTCAAGAGAAGACAGTCTCCTTAGAATAAGAACTAAATAATTAATCAGAAATTTGCAACTAAACAAAAGAAAAATTAAATAATTTCTTAAAGAGCTAATAGGTTCATTAAAGGTTGTATCAAAAAAAGGATGGAATGCATCATTACAATTCGAAATAAAGTGTAAAGGATTAGCTATTAGTTATTGACAATTTATTTAGATATATCTCATAAATATACTCGCAAATACATAAATCAATCAAAACAGAAGAAAATGAATAACTCTAAACTATTCAAGATTCTACAAGGCATTCATAATCATGTTCATAAGTTGTCCTCGTCGTTGAACAAACCTAATCAACAAAAAAAATACATGTATCTCCAAATAAAAGTCCTGATAGAGTTGAAAAAGTAACAAGTGATAAAGTGGATCTGAAGGACTAAAGAACACTGGTGTCCTCTGTAGAAAGAAATAAAGGGGAAGTTCATAAAAATTAAGATAAAAGTCCTTTTACAACTCTAGAAAAACCGAGTCATGCTGCTAAAGTTGGGGAAGACATCTTTAGTGATTAAAAGTTATAAGAATCAAATCATCACCCATTGTTAGTAGTCGGAAAGAGTATCATTATTTAATTATAATAGCTTAATTGTTGGATATAAGACCATAGTAAGATTTATTTTCTTTACAATAAAAAGTCAAGAAAATCCAGGGGATCCTAGGGGTCGACTTACTCGGCTAAAGACAGAATAATAATATTTATTAAGGTTAAAGGTGTAATTCTGCTTCCAAAAGACTACCCAAGATAAATTCAAGAAATTTAAATTTTAGCATTGATTGAAATGAAATTAAAAGCATCAAAAAATCATATTACTCTTTAAATTTATCTAAAACAAAGAGGTTAACAATTTATAAATTTCCTTATATAAATAAAATTGTATTTCTCATGCTTAATTTAAAAAAGCATTCCGAATAAGATGTGGATTCTTTGATTGATTCAATGCTTAGATTGATTGAATACATGACTAATAACCCTGCTATTAAACGTTAGATTTTTGAATCCTTCAATTAAGAAGACTTAGAAAAAATTTTGAAAAATTTGAATGAAAAAAAAAGCATTTTTCTTCGTAAAGTTTCTTGCATATTTTTATGTATTGTTCTACAGAATGAAGAAAATTGTCAAAATTTTATGAGATCTTTTGATCTAATTCCTATAAATTCTAAGATAGCTTTGAATGGTATCCCAGAAAAATTAAGTTTGCACATGACAAGTGATTTGTTATAAAAGCTCAATTAAATTTAACCATCTGAAAATAGTTTATGTTGGTATTATCCTTTGTAAATGGCAAGGGAGAAACTGCCAAACTTATCTTATTTCTAACTTAATTCAAAAGAGTTGAAAAAATAAATTAATGATTTTGTAGATCCATCAGAATGTATGATTGGAACTACCTATAGAAAGCTACCAATACAAACTCCTTATTCAGATATTTAAAATTGGAGCAATAGGAATGAACATCATCATAAAATGAGCATCTCTCCTGTGAATAAATAGATGGCTTCTTTGATTTTGCCGTTAAAAGAAATAAACAACCCAAAATATTATTAGAAATACGTAGCAAAATCTTTCAATCAATAATAATACAAGAACCTACTTAGTAATACTGAGAGAGCAGAAACTTCTTATGAGAAACAATAACCAAGATCATAAATTCCAAAAAATAAATTTTTATGATGCCAAAATTCTAAATGAAGCTAAAGTTTGCATTTATATATGATTAAAAATTTTTACTTATTATCAACTAACACTCCATCTTTCTTCAAGTTTAATTATGCTTAGTAATACATATTATTATTATAAAAATTATTATATAGAAATATGGATATTGAGTAGAAGAGAAAAATTAAAGTCAAAACAATATCTCAATAAGTCTTTGAGTTCGAAGTACCTCAAGATGTATTAAAAAATAATATAAACGTAGATAACAATTGCAGACTTAAAAAAAGAAATTTTTGAGAAATCTTAAGTTCCTATAGATAGATAAAGATTGATCTTTTTGGGAAAGGCACTTCTTGATAATTAAAAATTAAATGAAATAAGTATTTAATAAATAGAAAATTAGTTAAGGAAGATGATCAGACAATTCATTTGATGGCCATTACTCATCCACAATAAACTCAATAGGCATAATAAAATTAAAATCAATAGTAACAATAGAGGTTTTAATTTGTGCCTGGAATTCAAACTACTACATAAATCCATATAGGAGGAGGAGGAGGAGGTAATTGTTTTATGTATATTTCTACATTAGATGGCTAACCATTTATGCCACCAGAATTAGCAAATATTCTATCTATGTTTGGACCTCCAATAATCAGGACATAATAACAATAGTAACCGCCGTAATAATAAGCTTAAACTACTCAATAAAGTTAATAATAATAACAATAATAGCAATAATAATAGCAATAATAGCAATAATAGCAGTAATAATAATAATAGTAAAATTTACCAAGTTAACCCACACCTACTAGATAATAACAATAAATACCTTAATAATAAAACCAACCATAATTACAATAAGTAACTTTATTACCAAATGACTAATCTGGTGTTGGAGTACTTCTTCCAACAGAACAAATTCAATAATTAAGTAGAATACTGGGCAATTTTTATTAGTCTTCATTATTTGGATTATAATTTTAATTACCCTAAATGACAGAGCATAGAAATAACATTACAGTGTTGGGTCATTATCTTCATTAATTATGCTATGTTCTTTAAAGATCTTTACCAGTCTTATAAAGAGTATCAGATCTGTTAATGAGGGAACCATTTTTAACTTCTGAAACATAAAGAAGAGAAACAATGCAGCTAAGTAGAGACTCAGCAACAGTTGTCTAATCAATAAATAGGATGACTAGTGATTTATATTCTGCTTTGCTTCGATTTTTAGTTCTTGGATCTGCTCCAGGATAATTTTAATTATAGGTACCAAACTAATTAATAGCTCACAATCATCACCGTCATCATCATGGAATTATCAATGTATAACATTAACATATTGCCAGAAATCAATAATAATAATAATAATAATAATAATAATAATAATAGTAATAATAATAATAATAATAATAAAATCAATAAACTTAATCATAATCAACCTAGTAATCATAATCAACGTAATAATCCTAATCATAATCAACTTAATAATAATAATAACCATAATAAAATTTGTTAAGTTCATTAGGTCAGATGTTAAATTAATTTTCATAAAATCAAAATTTATAATAAAATAATTAACAACAGATACAAGTTGAATAATAAGGGGATCAAATTATTATTGATGCTTAAGTTTTAGAGATTGATGCAGGAAGCGAATCAGAATCAAATTAAACTGGATAGTAATAATAAAATAATAATCCTTTAAACGCTATCAATAATTTAGTGAAGTATTTATTGTTTTTATAATTTAGCAACATAATTAATTTAGAATAATAATAAAACCAATTTTAACCCCAACAATAATTTGGATCTCAGCAATAATCTTAGCCATAAGGGCAAAATTAATAACCCCAATAACAATAGAGTACCCAGAACGTACCTTAATAAGCACAATCGATTATGTCTGGTTTGCTTGGAAATCTAGGGCTAGGAGGTCAACAAGGAGGAGCCAATTTATTGACAATGACTTTACAAGAACTTATTATGTAAAATTATTCAAATCAAATGGAAGATGGCGATATAGAAATTTTATATATATTTTCATAAGTTAAAGTAGCGGATATAATGGCTGCACAGTTCTCAGGCAATTATTCATTTTTAGATGGATTACAAGGAAGCATTAAAGATAATTTACATAATTTAATAAGCAAAAATGAAGGAAGAATAGAATTAATCGAAAAAATAGCAAATTCATTTTTATCTACAGTAGTTCCTAAAGGAAGTGATTAGAATTTATTAATCGAAGGATTTGAACCAAGAATTACAGCTTCAGAAGCTCTGGTAAAACATATCAAATAATTTTTCTTAATAATTGAAAAGGATTATACAAATAGTGTTGAAAAGTTTAGTGATGCAATAGTCAGTCAATTCTTTAAAATGATTGGAGAAACTGCTTATGAAGTTTCAGAGGGATTAGTTCATGGTCTTGATGATTACAAATTAGTTATTTAGTACTTAAAACTATCATTATTAGGGCAAACCTTTAGGAGTTATTAAGAAAATCTGTTGGTCAAGAAATGGCTATGATATTTGGTAATATGCTCTGGGGCATGATAGAAAGGTCCTATAATTAACATAAAAAATCTCTTGAATAATCGCAATCAAAAATATAATAAGAAGAGTAGTTAACAGAGGAATAAGTAAGATTAATTGGTTATAAATTTAGTTGTTAAAGGAGATTAATGAGGCTAGTTAAGCTTGCAAATAAAATAGCCAAGTTAATTTTTCTAATGAATATAAAAAAGGAGATCCAGACTATAAAGATTTTGATTGATATATTTGGAATTTGTATGAGAATATTATTATCTAATTATCTACTTGTTATTAAATACTCTAGAATAATCTAATTATTTTTAGTTTGATTTTATTATTAGAAGAAAAAAATCTTTTAAGTTAATTAAATGATTAACCATATAATTGAAAGTAGAAATCCTATTTTTGTTTCCAAAGTCGATTAGTATAAGTGTATATCCAAAATTTCATATAATCTTTTTATTGATGAAACAATGGCAGTATAATTATTTCTATAATTCATATGAAAAGGAAAGTTATTTCTTAAATGCATAATGAAGTTTGCTGAATCTTCTTAAGAATTTATTTATAATTATTTTTTCCTGATTAGTATTATATTTAATTAATTTTTTTAAATAAATGTCTAACAAAATAGAAGAAGAGAAGCCTGTATAACAACCATAATAAATACAAAAAATCTTTGATGAAGATGATGATGATTTCGAAGAATTTGAATAAGAGGGTAACTATTTGAATATGATAAATGATAGATTTGGAAGTGAATCATGATTTGAAAATTGATATCAAATAATGGAGAGAGGACTGGGATGATGAAGATCTGACAGATGAGTTTTCAATTTAATTGAAATAAGAATTAGCCCAAAAATGATATATAATATTAAAAATTATGGACTTTTATTAAATAGCTGCTAAAAATTACTTAAATTTGAATTCTGCTGATAATGATATTAACATTAAAATTAGATATATGAGAAAAGATGTTCTCAATACCAATTATACTTTAAGTAGGAAGAATTTAATAAAGATCTTACAAATATGCCAAAAGAATTTAGAGATAATTACCTTTATTAATAGAAGAACATAATTTATAAGAAAGAGGAAAGAAATAACCTATCGATGGTGAGGATATAATATTTAATTAAAGTTGATCAAAATTCATGTTGGTTATGAGGATCTAAATTTCAAATTGAGAAATTTTGTCTAAATATTTTTAAATCCAGGTGTGATATTAAAGGTACAAATTAAGAAATTTCTTATGGCTTAAAGGCAATAAACAGTTAATCTTGTTTCTTCTAACTTTTGAAAATATGTTGTAAATAAAATACATTGCTGTTTTATATTTTTTTTGGTTATGGCTGTCTTTGTTTGTAATAAATCTAAACCTATCCCAGTAAACGAAACATAGGTAAATCAAAAACCATTTCAAGTCTTTGAATTTGTTCATTAATCGTTTATCTCATAGAATATTTGAAAGGAATTTTCATTATCATTTCTGATAAGAGATTTAGAATTATTTTATTTGCAGATTATATATCTGATTGCATCTAAATAACAGAAAAATTTAAAATTAGATTTTATTATAGAATCAAGAATTATTCAGTATTTTGTTCCTAAGTGAGATGATCTTTAGGTTTTTAGATTTCTAAAATTTATTCTATTTTACTCTATCAAATAAAATATTTCTTATTTAGAGAATTTGATAAGAAAAACTGGAAAAAAATTAAAATTTGTTCTTAATTCAAAGACTATAAATTTTTAGCATAAATTATATTTGATAATGTATTTTATACGCTTAGATTATAATCAGTAGTTTTTTAAAATATTAAAAAAGTCTTAAGGTACTTTACTTTAAACAATTATTTTCCTTTTGTTCTTTTGGTTCTGGTTTTTAAAGATTTTTTTTAAATCACAAGTATTTAGTAATAATAAATCTAAAATTCTTTCTGTAGATTATGGATGCTCTTTATAACCACCGCTCTTAATTTTATTTAAGTCTTCCAAACATTTTTCGATGCTAAAGTTGTTTTATTTGGCATTAATATTTTCAGATATGACTGGTAATACTGGAATCTTGATTTTATCCTGGTTATTATGTTAAGGTGATTGTTTCTTATTTAATACAGGGAGAGAATATCTTTTCGGTTATTTATCTAAGTTATTGCTGATTTAGAAAGGGTTCTAAGAAGAATAGTTATTATATTTACAGAACCTCTTTGAGAACTTTTTCATTAATTATTTTATTATCGCCTCTTTATCTATTCTCTTAAATGCAATATAAACTTTTTTCTAATGTTTTTATTTTCTTTAATTCTTCTAAACTTACATCAACAGAATTGTTGTATCTAACATTATAGCCTAATGAATCCCTTCCCAATTTTGTTGTTTTGTGTTTAATTTGATGTGGTTAAGTTACTTTATAAATCTAATGGATGGTAGTTTTATCGACTGACTTCCTAGGACTAATTGCAGGATGTTAAGTATTCACATGAACCGAGTATTTGTTGTCATATTAAATATGAGTATTATCTATAGAATTTCTTAAACGAAGAGCTAAGCTGGATCTCATAATATAAGTGTGAAATTTAAGTTTATAAATCAATTATAATACTCTATTCATTAAATATGAATTCCTAAATTGTATTATTACTGCTTCTTTGTTTTAACGATTTCTATAGGATTCGGGTTGTTCTTAAATTTGATAGTCATAATTGTTGTTTGTTCCAAAAAAATGAAACAACTTTGATTTAAAACTAACAATGAATATATTTAAAAAATATTAATAAAGTATCTTATGTTGCAACACTTCTATTTTACTAGATACATACTAGTTTTAAATAAATTTGTATGTATAAATATTCGAAGTCACTTTGAAAATAAAAGTATGAAAATCAGAAATAATATTCTCCGATTACATTCTTTATTATATTTTACACTAAAACTAGCTCTAATTAATTGTAATGCAGCTATATAATAATATATAAACTTAAGTACATTTATCGAAATTCATACTAATTGCTAAAGAAAATAATAAAATTCTTTAAAAAAAATTAATTAATTACATGGACTAGTATTGGGGGAATGCTAACACTCAAAGCAATTATTAAAATTAAGAAACAACTCAGGATATGAGACCCTTGAAAGGATATAAAAATTAGAATTAAAATATTTAGAACTAAAATGGAAATTATGATTAGTAAGTAGAAGTCGCGCCTCTTAAAGGGTATAAATAAATGAACAAGGCTTCTGGGGCATACTTTAATTAGTAAAATTAAGACATGCCCAAAAGAGGATATTAAAAACATAATAAAAAACATTAATCAGAGATAACATACTATAACTAATAAGTGTAAGTTCCGAATCCGCAAACTGATTAAGGATGTTACTCTAATTAATATCAATAATTCAGTTAATATCCTGAAAGGTAAAATACGGAACAATACAACAATAGAGATAACCAAAACAGGGGTTATTTTCGGAATACGTAGAATAATACAGTATATTAGCGAGATGATAAATATTTCTAAATGCCTTAAATGCCTTAATATTCTAATAATATTTTCTATTAATTCCAAACATAGTTCTTAAGGGCTAATAATTATTATGACATTAATGAATTAAGGGCCAATTTTAGCTCATTAAGATAACTAAATAAAAATCATATGCCTACTCATAATTCTCATTTTGTGCTGATAAGACCTAAAAATGGATTTTAAAATATTCATAAGGCAATCAAGTATGGGGTTTGGTGTTCGACATCTTAAGTTAATCAAGAACTATCATAATTATACAAGGACAAAGGTCAATCTGTTTATTTAATATTTTTTCCTTTAGGCTAAACTTCTAAACTTATAGGAATTGCATAAATGATAAGTGATTATGATCCTAAAGAGACTTATAAATACTGGGATAACGATGGAATTTATAAAGGTTCTTTTGGATTAATTTGGCATTCAATAAAATATGTCGATCCAGAAATAATTCCAAAATTGACTTATGAGATTCGGAGAGGAACAGTAAGAGAATTCGATGTTTGGTAATTGAGAGATGGAAATTAAATTGGATATTAAGATGCAATGAAAATATTTCACATATTTAATCAGGCTCCTGAGAACCCTTCTGTTTTTGAACACTTCAATGTGTTAGACATATAAGAAGTATATTATATATTTTAAAGGAAAAGGATTAAAAGAGAAGCAATAAATTGAAAAATTAGGAAGAAGAAGAAATTTAATTAAAATAAAAAGGATTAAAGAAAAAATATTAATATTGATGATTTTCTATAATTGATTTAATTTTTATTATATTATGAGCATCACTTAACAGGAAGGCAACCCTTTATTGAAGGATTTGGAGAGAATTAGAAAAAAAACTAAGATTTCTAATAAAGTAATAAATGGTTAGCTTGATCAAATCATTACAGAAATTGAGGAAGCTAAAACAAACAATGACTTTTCTTAATTAAAAGATAAATTACAAGTATAATATTTATTAAGGAAGAATGAAAAACCATTGACAAAAATAAAATAAACAAATAATGACTGCTATGCATATATTTCGAAGTTAGGAAAAAACATGGATAAGGTTTACAAAAAAAATTTACAATATGGATAAGAACATGTTGAGTTGGATTAGAATGTTCTTACAGAAGTTAGAATTTAAAATTATAACTTTAGTTAATAAAGACTCATCTACTTAGAGATGGCGAGTTTGAGGCTTATGAGACTTTAGTAAACGAATCAGGTTCAGTGGACTCTAATTTCCATCAATTTTTTACTGAAGCTCAGAGTATCGTGAAAGATTTAAAAGAAAAAAAATTAGATTCAGCTATTTAATGGGCAGAAAGTAGAGAAAAGAAATCTGTTAATAATCTTCTTTATGAGTTATTGAAACAAAGAGTAATTTTAAGAGCTCTATATTTTAGGTGATATAATTAGTATAAACTGAAGGTATTAATGCAGCCATCAATTTTATGAGAAATAGCACTTCATTTTAAGAATAAAGTTAAGGCAGATTATATGAAATATGCTTAATTACTTATTCATTATTGATATGGCCAAATGTTGAAAATACCAAATACTTCTATTTATATGATAATGAAAGAAACTGGCCCAGGGTTCTGAATCTATTTTTAGAAGTTGCAGCTAAATCTTAAAGTATAAACAAACTTAATAATAGATATTTTAACTAAATCAGAAATTAGAACTGTATTTTCAGCTGGTTGCTTAGCCATGCCTAAATTAATTAAATATAACTAAATCACAAGAAGTAATAATTTAGAATAATTAATAGATAGATCTTCTGAAGTTCTTACGAATGACATCCCTATAGATATTGAAATTGGGAAAGAATATAAATATCATTCATTCTTCGTATGCCCTGTTTCTAGAGAAGTGACAACTTCTGATAATCCTCCAGTACTATTAAAATGCGGACATGCCATTTCTAAATTATCTGCTCATAAAATGATTGCAAACAAATAAAAATTTAAATGTCCAACTTGTCCAGTTGAAACCAAAGGAGTAGATTTACCTGAACTAATATTTATTTGAAACATGTCTAAACTATGATTTTTATTTCTCACTTTTTAAAAGAATTAATATAATATAATAATTTCAAATGGGTAAACCGTTAACAGCAGAGCTCATAGTTCAAAAAACAAAAAACGATCAACTTTTCTAAATTAAAAACCTAAATTTATGGGGAAACGACATTGATGATTTAAAAGCATTGAGACAATTACCAAATTTGGAAGTGCTTTCATTATCTGTGAATAAGATTTCAACTCTCAAAGATATAGGCTGTTGCCAAAAATTGCAAGAACTTTACCTTAGAAAAAATTGTGTTAGTGATATAAAAGAATTGAGATATTTGGTTCATTTACCTAATTTAAGAGTTTTGTGGTTGTAAGGTACTCAATTCAAAAATTACCTTAGACAATCCTTGTGCAGATCATCCTAATTATAGAGAAATTGTAGTTAAGTACCTGCCAAACTTAGTTAAACTTGACAATACTACAATAACAAATGAAGATAGATAGAATGCTTAATCTGTCAATATTTTAGAGGATGATTTTGAAGAATAAACTTAGAATAGCAATATTTTAAATAGACCGAAATCAAGTCTAAAAGAATCTCCTAAAAAACAACCATTTATTTTCAACCAACAAGAATAATAAAGGCCTATAACCCCTGATATCACTTCAAATTAATAGAATATTTAAAATAATAATAAGAACATAGAACGAAATGAAAATATACTATGTGCTGTTCTATCTTTAATTAAAGAGCTCGACGATAGTTCTTTGGAAGTTGTAAAGAAAGACATAGATAGAAAGTTACAGAAAAATAACCTTAAGCGAATTCTTTGAATTAATATAACAGAGCTCATTATTCATTCCTTTTTTTTGCTAAAACTACATCATTAACAATAAACTTACTTTTTAATTTAATTGCATTAAGTTATTGATCCTCTTCTGAATCCTATTCATTTGGAGATTGTTTTTCTACTTAATTGTTCTCAACTTCTTTATCCTTCTTTTCAACATCATCAATTTTCTGTAGTTATTAGGTTTTTAGTAATGCTTTCATTTGAGCTATGAAATCCTATTTACTCTATAAAGGCAATTACACTTTCGATTAGTCATCTATAGGTATAATATTTTGCTACTAATCATCTTGGTTAGTTTGTTATGCCTAAAACTAAGACTCTTGAGATGCCAGTGAATTTTGGTGGATATTGTCATCTCTAATTTATTCGTTACCTTTTAAATGTTATTACTAGTTATTGTTGTTGTTTTTAGTGTGTTCAATTTCATTCTCAATCTCCATATTGGATTTAATCATACCTCTATCTAATTATTGATCTTATTCTTTTTTTGAATTTTGATCTACTGATGGTTTCTCTTAATCATTTTTTTAGATATCCTTATCTTTATTGTTTTCTTTTATATCCTTCCCATTTTCTTTTTCTTTCTCTCTTTCTTTATCTCTTTCTCTCTCCCTTTCTCTCTCTCTTTCTTTTTCCTTCTCCTTTTCCTTTTCTTTCTTTTTTTACTTTTTTGATAATTTTTTATCATTAGATTTGCTTCTGGAACGACTTCTAATAAAATAGTAATTATATATTTACTTCTTTTTCTTTTTTTTATCCTCTTTTTTCTTTTCTTTTTCTTTTTCCTTATCCTTGTTTTTCTTCTTTTCAGATTTATTTTTTTTATCCTTGCTTTTTTTTTCCTTAGATTTACTTTTTTTTTTTATACTTTTTTTTTTTTTTTTATTAGGTGATGGCTCTTATTTATCTTTATTAGTTTACGTTTACTCTGATTGAATTTATTATTGAGGTTATTAAGGTTATTATTAGGATGGTTAAATAGAATTCTACTTTTTTGTTTCCAAAGGTCTTTCAATCTTTTCAAGCAAGCCATAGATTTCGCTATGTTAAATTACATAAGCTACTCTATTGGCTTTAGCTAAGATTCTTCTTGCTTGTCTAAAATCCATCTTTTCGAATTCATAAATATTATATATGGTGGCAGCTACTTACTCTATTTAAGCCAAAGTAGCTTCTAACAAAATCCACCATGGTTAAGTGGGCATGGGATGATTACAGACCCTCAATGCTAAATACAATGCTCCTGCTGCAATAACTTAAGGTGGAAAATGTACGCATAAATCAGTCATGTATGAATCGTTCAAGTAATACCAAGCCTTTTGAGCCACCTGCTTATCGACCTTAATAAAATGATAAAATGATTCTATGAACTTATGCGGATGATCTGAAACTCTAAATAATTCAAATCCCAGTTCCTTAAGAATTAGTTTTTCTTATTTAATTATGATGTCCCTAGACATAAATATTAATTTTACAATGGAGCTTATTTTTATTTTTGAAACACAGAGCTAAATGCACCTGCTATATACCATGTTTTCAGTAAAGTTTCTTCAACCTTGCCTGCCAAATACAATGAAGCCATTGAAATTTCGCGGTAATCAAAATCCACGAAAGAATTCCTAAATATTTTGACATCATTGGTAATACTTCGCAAAAAATCTATGAAATATTACTAAGCTTGTAATGGCTGTTGTTAATGGTAATTTTAAGTGATTGCAGGCTTGGAAACAAATTTAAGCACCGTGCATCCTAAGAGCCTATTCATCCTCATAACTNTGTTCAATTTCATTCTCAATCTCCATATTGGATTTAATCATACCTCTATCTAATTATTGATCTTATTCTTTTTTTGAATTTTGATCTACTGATGGTTTCTCTTAATCATTTTTTTAGATATCCTTATCTTTATTGTTTTCTTTTATATCCTTCCCATTTTCTTTTTCTTTCTCTCTTTCTTTATCTCTTTCTCTCTCCCTTTCTCTCTCTCTTTCTTTTTCCTTCTCCTTTTCCTTTTCTTTCTTTTTTTACTTTTTTGATAATTTTTTATCATTAGATTTGCTTCTGGAACGACTTCTAATAAAATAGTAATTATATATTTACTTCTTTTTCTTTTTTTTATCCTCTTTTTTCTTTTCTTTTTCTTTTTCCTTTTCCTTGTTTTTCTTCTTTTCAGATTTTTTTTTTTTTATCCTTGCTTTTTTTTTCCTTAGATTTACTTTTTTTTTTTATACTTTTTTTTTCTTTATTATTAGGTGATGGCTCTTATTTATCTTTATTAGTTTACGTTTACTCTGATTGAATTTATTATTGAGGTTATTAAGGTTATTATTAGGATGGTTAAATAGAATTCTACTTTTTTGTTTCCAAAGGTCTTTCAATCTTTTCAAGCAAGCCATAGATTTCGCTATGTTAAATTACATAAGCTACTCTATTGGCTTTAGCTAAGATTCTTCTTGCTTGTCTAAAATCCATCTTTTCGAATTCATAAATATTATATATGGTGGCAGCTACTTACTCTATTTAAGCCAAAGTAGCTTCTAACAAAATCCACCATGGTTAAGTGGGCATGGGATGATTACAGACCCTCAATGCTAAATACAATGCTCCTGCTGCAATAACTTAAGGTGGAAAATGTACGCATAAATCAGTCATGTATGAATCGTTCAAGTAATACCAAGCCTTTTGAGCCACCTGCTTATCGACCTTAATAAAATGATAAAATGATTCTATGAACTTATGCGGATGATCTGAAACTCTAAATAATTCAAATCCCAGTTCCTTAAGAATTAGTTTTTCTTATTTAATTATGATGTCCCTAGACATAAATATTAATTTTACAATGGAGCTTATTTTTATTTTTGAAACACAGAGCTAAATGCACCTGCTATATACCATGTTTTCAGTAAAGTTTCTTCAACCTTGCCTGCCAAATACAATGAAGCCATTGAAATTTCGCGGTAATCAAAATCCACGAAAGAATTCCTAAATATTTTGACATCATTGGTAATACTTCGCAAAAAATCTATGAAATATTACTAAGCTTGTAATGGCTGTTGTTAATGGTAATTTTAAGTGATTGCAGGCTTGGAAACAAATTTAAGCACCGTGCATCCTAAGAGCCTATTCATCCTCATAACTCAAGCCATCTGCTTAAGTCGGAGTCTGAATGTCCATTGGTATGTAAATGTTTTCATGTCCTTCTGGGGTGATTGTTTCAAGTGATAAATCAGAGCTATGTAAAAATCTTTCTTTTAAACGATGAAATAAATATTTTTTTTCATACTACTCTTTTGTAAGGCCCGCATTTTGCTCTATGCTCAAAATCTTTTGACGATCATGACTCTTTAAAGACATTAATTTTCTTTATTTAATAAATTATTATTAAACTATATATTTCAAATACTTTTTTCATTAGATATATATATTTTAAACAAAAATCCCTTATTTATTGCTCAACTAATAATTAAGTAAATTATATATAGAATAGATCAGAATTTTTTATAATTCGCTTTATTCTTCTACTGCCATTAAATTGCTTCCTCATAAACAGTTTGTTATAAAAGCTCTTTTTTCAATTCCATTTTGTCCCAAGCCCAATCAAAATAGGAATTGCATCTAGGCTCGTCTTCCTTCGAATGCAATCCTTCAAAATATGGATGGCTCAAACATTGTTCCACTGTGTATCTTTGAAAAGGACTAAAAGTTAGCATTTTAGAAAGCAAATCTAAGCAAGTTGGATTCACTTTTTAAAATAATTGATTAAAATTTTGTTTAGTTCTTTTTGGCAAGGATCTTCAAATATTAATTAGATATTACTTAATATATTTGATGGCTCCTTCATTAGTAATATATTTCATTTCTTCATTTGAAGGTGTACCTAAAACTGCGATTATCCTTTATATCTACTCTAAATAGTCTTTTCCAGGAAATAAAGGAGTTCTGCCAAGAAGTTCGGCAAATATACATCCAACACTCCATATATCAATGGCCTTAGTGTATTCCGATGCCTAAAGAATTACTTCGGGTGCTCTATACCACCTTGTTACTACATATCTATGGATTTAGAAGAAAATTACTCTGTTTTATTTTCATCTTCGATTTCGAACCCTCGAGCCAAGCCCAAATCACATATTTTTAAATCACAATTCTTGTTGACCAATATATTACTAGGTTTTAAGTCTCTATGCATAACATTAGCCGAGTGAATATATAACAACCCTCTCAGAGTTTGATACATAAAATACTGAATATGTTCCTCAGTTAAATCTTATCTAGAATATATAACTCTATGTAAATCTGTTTCCATTAACTCAGTAACGATATAAATATCATTATAACCAGTCTTTGTTTCTGGTTTAAGGATGTCCACTAAACTAATAATATTTTCATGTTAAAAAAATTAAAGTAACTTAATTTCTCTAACAATTCTCTTTGCATCGATCAGATCATCAAAAGCATTTTATATCTAATTACATATGATGATACCTTTTTTATAGCAACCTTTTTATTTTTAACTAAATCGACACCAGAGCAGACTACACCATATGCTCCGTGCCCAATCTATTTTTGACATTCGTACCGATCATCAACAACAAATTAAGTTCCTAAAATTCTTCATTTAAATACCCCCAATTTCATAAATATTTCTACCATTAATACTCTTTTTTTTCTAATGCTTTGTATTAAGGTTGATTTGCTGTAATGGCTATGATTTCATAATCAAAATATTAACGGTATTATTAATAATAAAATAAAAGGAAATAGATTTAAAAGAACCATTAAACAAAAAACCAGCTATCTCACATGATTAAAATAAAAGAATTTTTCTTTCATTCATATCTGAACCCTTAATGTGAAAATTAAATAAAAGTTCTTTTCTATATAGTAGTAATTCTTGCATAATAAAAAATTGACTGCTTGGAAACATCTTCAAATTTATACTATCATTTAAGAATTATTTGTCTTTAAAATGGTTGTTTATTTTGTAATGATAGAAAAGAAGTAATTTTAACTTGATTAAATTTTTAGAAATTTCGAAATGTTTTACTTAGATGTAAGGAGTAAAACAATCTAACTTACTTGGTTCTATTAAAGGTATTTTGTTTATACAAGTAATATGATGCTTTTTGATATTCCAAATTTATAAGAAATATCTAAATATTGTTAATATAACTTTGATATTAATACTTTCGTATCTACATAAAGTATTTAAATGAAATTAGAAAGATTTATTTTATAGATTCTACATTAAAATCTTACTAATGGATAGTGTTTTAATTGAAAAACTATGATTCTATCTTAAAATTTAAGTTAATCAATCTTTAAATAGAATTAAGAAAAATTAGATCAGTTTATACTCCACTCCATTAATTAATATTTAGAAGGAATGTATTTATTTAAATACTTATTTATTTTTCAATGCAATAAATTATTAATGATTATATCATATACATTTGTTAAAAGATTATTTAATTCACATTATTATAGAACATATTCATATTAAATTGGTAATTCTTCTATTATAAATAATAAAATATCGCAAAATACTTTAATAAAAAACCACAACAATAATATACAATAGTGAACTGAAATGATTTTGATAACGAAGTTTTAGTACAAAAATGATATTGTTTGGAAAAATAAAAATTGACGAGCTTAAAAATTATAAAATTTAAACAATTTAAATTAATTAAGATTAAGTATTAATTGCATAATGAGTAATTTATTGATGAGTATAAACTGGTATTTCTGAGATTTAATTTTTATTTAATTGCAAATAAATTTTATTTAATCATGTACCTTTCAGCAAGAACACAAGGAAGATTAGCAAACTTAATCATCACAATCGCAGAAGGTGAAAAGAAAACAGAGATGGTCCGTTAGGTGTTAGCAGAACAAAAGATGTTTGAGCCATATACTGCCTTTAGAAGATTAGATCAATTGAGAACAGGAGAATTAACTGTTTCTGATATAGTTGAGTTCTTGTCGGATAATAAAATATATCCTACTAAGGCTCAATCTGATTATCTATTTAGAAGACTCGATCTCAACAGAGATGGAAGAATCACTTATCCTGAGTATGATATTTTTGTAATCTGATTAGCTTCGTCAAAGCAGTTTTGCCAAAGGAGGACTCTAGATTAAGACAAATTGCGACACTTAGGGATAGTTATTATATTGAAGTTAACATGTTATTACCAACAGAAATAGAATGGGGACTTTCTAGAGTATTCTAATAAGAAATTTAAAACTTTAAGTATTATAATAATTTGAAAATATAGTTCAATAACTGCTGCCTAAGAAATATTAACAGCAAGTGCTGATTTCACATCCTTGGATGCTTTTAGATGTATCGATTAAGTATTTTTGGGATACATCACAATTGATACGTAATAAGTTATCATTTAAGTTTTAGTTTATAAGATTTTTTAAGATAAAATGGTGCCAAATTGTCATTTGATGAACTGACAGCCTTCTTTAGAGTTGTTGATTCAGACGAAGATGGAAGAATAACTTATTCTGAATTATTGGAGGCTTTAACTTTTGTTCCAGATTTCTTCCAACAAGAGAGATAAATAGCTAATGAATTAAGAAGAAGTAGAGAGAGAATCATTCAAATTGAAAGAGAAAGAGAAGTCTTAGAAGATTTGAAGAAGAGTAGAGAAAGAGTAGATGAGCTTAGAAGAAGCAGAGAAAGATTGGAACAAATGTAGGATTTGAAAAGAAGTAGAGAAAGAATTGAATAACTTGATGAATTAAGAAGAAGTAGAGAAAGATTGGAAGATCTTAGAAAAAGCAGGGAAAGATTAGAGGACTTGAAAAAGAGTCGGGAAAGATTAAACTAGTTAGAGGAACTAAAAAAAAGTAGATAGAGAGTGGAAGAACTAGAAGAATTAAAGAAAAGTCGAGAAAGATAAGCTTAAATTGATGAATTAAAGAAAAGCAGAGAGAGACTTGAGGATTTAAGGAAGAGTAGAGAAAGATTGGAACAATTAGAATAGGAAAGAAAGAATTAAGAGAAGATTGAAGAACTCAGAAAATCAAGAAGCAGGATTGAAGAATTGTAAAACTAGAGAAAGAAAATTGAAGAATTAAGAACAAGTCAGGAGAGATTGGAATAATTAAAGAGATAAAAGGAAGAAATTGAAATAAAGAGGAGCCAAGAGAGATTAGAAGATTTAAGGAAAAGTAGAGAAAGATTAGAATAAATTGAGGCTTTGAGATAAAGTAGAGAACAGCAAAGAGCTTTGGAAGAATTGAGATAAAGCAGGGAGAGAGTTGAACAGTTAAGAAAATCTTAATTGAGAATTGAATAATTAGAAAATGAAAGATAAGTGCTTGAAAGAAGTAGATAATTAGAGAGAGTAGAAAGAGAATTAGAATATGAACGACAAAGAAGCAAGGAGAGATTAGAGAGATTAGAGTTGGAAGCTGAGTTGGAAAGAAGAGCTAGAGATAGAGCACTTGAGTATGATTTAGCTACATAAAGTAACTTTGTTTAAAGCAGAATATATGATACTCCTAAAAGATACAAATGATTTAAAATATCAATTTAATATAATTTTTGGATCAAATTTTAAACTATTATAAGAGCAAGTACTCTTTTATAAATTCAACACATTTCTAGTCTGCTTAATTTTGATCTTAGTATAGGTTTTGCATTTATTTAATCAAATTCATTATTTCTTAATTTCTTAAAACTAGATTTAATTATTATTCATCAATTAGCTTTTTTGATATTAATCTATTTAAAGGGTCTTAGTTTGCTATTTTCTCAGAATCTACCATAGTACTATTCCCTTCTTTGTTATCTGAATGAGAATAATTCTTTTATTGTGCTTAAAATATTTTATATGCTCTCTGCTCAAAAGCATTGCTTGTTGAATTTACAATGTCTTTCAAGAATAGGGATGAAGCATGCTGAAACAGAGGGTTTTAGAATAAAAATTCAATGCTATAATTTGCTTAACATTATTTTTCATCTCCTTTTAATTCCCAAATACTTTTTAGCATTTTAAATACAGCATTATTTTCTGATATCGAAGTAATAGTGTAGAATTACGGATGTTACTAGATAAAAACTTTTGAAATATAAGAGGATTTAAATAGTTTATAGTCAACTTCTAATTCTCCTTCGAAATAATTAGATTTATGATTGAAAGTCTTACTTTAAGAACATCCAGGTAAAAATTGATAATAAGCATCTACATTCTTAACAATTTCAAACATAAATTTTGTTGGCACTTTTATAAATGTTGTTTATTGATGTTTTATCAAATTTAGCATAAACAAAATTTAATAATTTAATCAATTAATTTGAAATGCATTTATCTTGATCATGAAACTATCCATATTCATCTATTCAATTTTAATCTAATCCCCATTTTAATTTAAGTTCCAATAAATTATTTATCACCTAAAAGGTTCAATATAATAAATATCAACTTCAATGACCTTTTTAACAAAATACCAAATTAATATTGTTACGAAAATAACATGCAGTTGTCTGGAATATAGACTGCAATCATAAAAATAAGTAATAGATTTGTACATATTGAACTTTTTAATAATAAAAGAACGTGCTTCATTATGATTCGTCGATTTATTTTGTTTCGAGTTATCAATAACCCCTTCTCTAAAAGGAAAATCAGTTTGATGGAAGAAAATAATTGCGATTTTAAAAATACTTATACTAATAATTAGTTGCTTTTAATAAAATTTCACTTACTAGAGAAGATAATTAATTTATAATTTACACAACTAATAAAATAAGCATAAAACTATAAAAAAAAGTTGCATGATAGTAGTCAGAGAACAGAGATGAAATAAATTTTACCTACTGATAATGCTTATGAAAACTTTTATTTTAAAGATATAATATAATGAATTATGCTTTAGGTTGCTAAATTGAAGTAACTATTAATTTCATTAATATCAAGCAATTCTCAATCTTATAGAGAATTCAACTGACACACTAAAGCCAAAAATTTATAATTTACTTTTCTAAAACTACTTATTAAGTATGTATATGATAATTCATATTTCTTTTGGGAGATAATCTATATATAAGAACCTTACTTATTGAAAATTATTTTTGGAAAGTTTCTTTTGCCAAGTTTCATTGATATTGGTAAAGATATAGTTTTCTGAAATTTTCCTAATTCTTCAAGTTAAACTCAAGATAAATTTTAACTGAAATTTATTCTGGAAGTTATAAAGTTTAATATTCTAATTTTATCAGTAATTTATTTATAATTAATTACAGAAGCATAAAAAATAATTGCGATTCAAATTTTAATTTGAAAATCAGATAAATGTTCTTTTTAAATAATATTACAACATAAGATATTCTTTTGATTTATTTCTAAGACATATTTGAATGTCATTTGGAGTTTTCTAATTAAATAACAATATCCGAAATTGTTATTCTTTAAAAAAATAAATTTAAATTTTGAATATGGATTAATAAATGAGTTCTCCATATAACATTGATTAACATAGGGAAGAGAAGAAGGAGATCTTATTTGAAAATTTAGATGTGCAAAGCTTTGAATGGAGACCATATAAATGTTTTATAATACTATATTTATTCAATGCCACAATTGCATTGCCGGTTTTTACTTTTAAATTGTTTTATTTATATGTTGGATAAATTGTCAAAAGCATCAGGTTCTTTAGAATAATTTAAGTATTTATTGAATACAATTTGTTTTAGTGTTTGAAAGCCTTAGTCTTCTTTGTTTGTGATCTTGCTATGATGTTATCAATTTTAATGATGTATCTTCTTGTTGGATTACGATATAAATAAACAATAAATTATGAAGATTGGGCAATTTCTTGCTTAATATTTCTACAATCTCAAATTTTAATGTCCTCTTATGTTTTAACAATTTCAATTGACAGGAAAGAAATGGACTTTGATTTTCTAATTTCTGAGGCAAACATGAGTAAGTTAGGTCTTGGAAGACTGTATTAAAAATTATTGCATTAAAATCTGCCACCAGAAAAAAAAGAAGAATTGAAACAAGAAAATTTATATAAATAGATTAGAGAAGCTATGGAAACAGAAAATATTGATAGCACTCTCTATTATATCGCCCTTGAATCTGATCCTGGCATTTGTACAATAGATGATATTATATCGTTGAATGATCACTCGATAACACAATTAATTTGTAGAGCGAGTAAAATATTATCGACGTAACATGATATTCCTTTTGAGAAGAAATAATTTGAATAACCAATTAATAAATTGAAAATCTTAAAAGAATTAAGAGTCCTAGGTTTCAGAGGCTACAGACATGCAATAGATAATTTCCTTTGGCCACATTACGATTACATCAAAGTTAAATAAGATAAAGATCCAGCATCTATTCTCTTAATCTACTTAATAGTATTAATGGCGAAGGGAAGCTTTCCCCTTTATCTGTTGTTATCAGCAGAAAATGCTTTAGATATTGAATTCGTTTATTTTGTATGTTTCTTAGGAATGTATTTAAATATGATCATTTTGCTGATTGATTTAATTAAATGTAATGATATTAAAGGAAAAAGATATATACTTAATGTATTACAGACTATGATTATTCCAAACAAAGCTCTAGACTAAATGGAAGATGAAAATGATAGTGGAAAAGATGAAATTCCAGATGACTTGCCTTACAATTCAGATTTTAAATTAGATTTTAGCTGTAATTTGAGTTTAGAGTCTTGGGATAATATGAGAAGATTGACTCTATTAATAGATAATGATTGGATGGACTATAATGAAGCATAAATAGCATTTGTTTTCCTTTACTTTATATACTTGTACATGAATTTGTCGTCTGTATTTCTTGACTTTGATTTGATTCCAATATTGCATTAATTCTTTTAAGATCCAATTTTACAATGGAATATGATTGTAGACTTTACTTGCCTAGCAATATTATTCTTAAATAGAGTATATTAAGGAACTTTTTATAATTAGACCTTTGAAAATATTATTGAATCAATAAAAAAACTCGAAACTGTTTATGATGATAAAAAAGCATTATTTGATTTCTACTTTAGTAGCAATTTGATGGAAAATATCTAAAATGAAACATACAGAAAAATAACATAAAAAATTTATTGCTCCTCCTGTGATAAGGTAATTTACGCGCTAGCTTCTAAAGGTATTTAAGAAACTCCCCTTTAAGTAAAATATAACATCATAAATAGGAATTTCTGATGCTTGCAAAATCATAAGCAAAGTAAAGAGTGTTTTAATTGTGTGCTACAATGAAGAAAGTGAAAGATTAAATCGAATTTGATAATGAAAATTACAGTCATAAGATGCTCGGAATCTATAGATCAAATATTTGGACTGTTATCTCAACCTTTGGATTTTTAGGATACATTTTTTTTCGCGGAAAAATTAAAGGATATCTTAATAAGCATAAAGCTAAGCAACTCTGATTTTAAGTGTAATTATTTATATCAATGGTATTTGATTGATATTAATAATGATAAGGAGAAAAGTTATTAATTTTTTTAACCTAAAATAATTTAACAAATGTTAAAATTAAATGGTTAACTATTTTGTTTTTAATTTGATCTTTCTAATTTATTCTTTTTTTATTTCATACTATTATTAAGTTTAGATGAGTATAATAATATATTAATGATCTTTTAATTTATATTATTTAATATAAGATATTGTAAAAACAGCAAGTTGATTTGAGGTTCTTTTATCCTGAATTACTTATTTTCTTATTAATAAACTTTGAAACTTTAATCATCTATATTAAGTTATAATTCAATATTTTTAGCAGATTATTTTTAATTATGATAAATTTTTGATAAAATTGATGAATCAATATTAATTTTTTAAGAAAGTTTATACTGCCTCGTTGCTTTTCAGATAATCCTAATGAAGTAAGTCACTGGGTTCACTGCTTTCCAAATTGATCATCTTTATTTTTTCTATAGTTTGATTTAGTTCTTTAATTGATTGTTTCGCCATTTGTAACTCTATATAAAGTGTTTGTTTTTCTTTATTCAAAATCTGGTACTTCTTATGTTCGTCTTAGACATAAAGTTTCTAATTTTCAAGTTCCTTTAGTTTAAAAATGATATCTTACTTATATCATTGATATGATGATTTCATTTTTCCCTTCATTTTAAAAGGAGGAGTCTTTCAAATCATCAATTTAGGTTAAAAGTGATTTAATTTTGGTCGATTAAGTTTCAACAATACTCGTTAATCTTTCGTTGTCGTCGATTAAGGTTTTGATCTAGTCAATGGGCAATTTTTTAAAAGTTTCTATTTATGATTCTAACTATTTATTTTTTTATTCTAGAGTCTAGATAATGCCTTTGTAATCGATCTATTCAAGTTGTTTAATTTGTATTTATAATGATTCATTTTCTTTTTTTAATGAACCAACCAATCTAGTCAAACGGGCTATTTCTCTATCAGTTGTCAAAGATTAACTACTTCCTTGATTTGTTGGAGTTTCTTGACTTAATTGTCTGAACATAGAAAAAGGATTGGGGGATTTGTTAGAATCACTCAATACTCTAATCAGTTATGATTTTTGCATTTTTGATAATATTAAAAATGATAGTGTTTTAAAGTAATCATTCACACACCCAATTTAAATCTGAAGGTTTCCAATCCACGATTTCCTTCTAATTAAACCATAAATTAATCTCTTTTTAAGCTGACTCACAAGAATCGCTACCATGAATTAAATTTCTTTATAGTTCAAGTGCGTAATCAGCTCTAATTGTGCCTGGTTTCTATTCAATAGGGTTTCTGCCTTCTCCAAGCATAGAACGAATTTATCTAACAACTAATTAATTTAAATTATTGAATACCATCTTTGCCTTGCCATATCATAGCAATAACCGGTCCTGATAGCATATAACAGATCAAGCACGGAAAGAAAGGCTTGAACATGAGCTCCTCATAATGCTTCTGTAGTAATTCTTAATTTGGTATTAACATTTTCATGGCCACCATTGAAAATCCCTTATCCTCAAATCTCTAGATTATTCTCCCTATGATTCTTCTCTAAACTCCATCAGGTTTTATTAGAACAAAGGTTTACTCCTTTTCCATTAAATAGTTAATTAAAAATTTAAATAATAACTCTTAATTTCTTAATCTTTATTTGCAAATAGGTAATCTTGAAATCAAATTTGTGATAGAAGTTTTCAATATCAATTAAAAATAATGTAATTAGATTTGCAAAATTAGTCTTTACCATCATCCTGATCCTGGAATCAAAAATATATTTCAGAACAAATTGAAAACTAGAAATTTGATTTATAACTCAAACTAATATAATTCAAGGTCTTCTATGTTGATCAATCTTTTCACCCCATCTCTTTTCTAATTTATCTAAATTCTAAACAGTTTCGTCATATTTTCTTTTAATGTTTAAGTATTCATTATTTTTGTCATTCAGTTCTCTTTGTTTTCGAGTATTTTCATTTTACAATGCATTGACTTTCTACTAAAGATTCAGATTGTCTCTTTAAAGATTTTCAAGTGAAATTTATAAGTCTTGTTATCTCAATACAGATTCTAAATATAATTAACTTATTACTTCTACTGTCCTCTTATTGTTACTTTTTGTTTTATTAATCTTTTCTCATTTCTTCTAAACTCAAATGTAGTTATTCTGCTTCTTCTTTTCTTTTCTTTAACATTTCATTTAATTGCTATTACTCTTATTTTGATTAATTTAATTCATTCCTCAAATTAGTTATAATAGCTTGATTTTGATTTTATAAAATTCCATTTCTTAATAGTTCTTCTTAAGTATTGAAATTTTGACTTCTGATTTTTTCTATTTCTAACTTCAGAGCATCTATTTATTCATTTTTACTTTGAATATCAATTTAAAGTTATTACTCTCTTTAATCAAAGTCTTAAGATGATAAAGCATTTCTTTTATCTAGCATTTTTAATTATTATTCCATTGTTAATTTAAAATCAATAACTTCTTACTCCTTTATTTACAACAATTCATCGTTTTAAAGTTTTGAATTCTTTAACCTTCTCTCTAAATCTTTAATGCTTTCTTAACAAACTTTCTTTTGTACTTCATATTAATCTTTCATGTCACCCATTTCTTCAATTAATTCATTTAACTATCTCTCTTTCTCTTGAGTTCTTCTCCCTTGTAATTAAATCATTTCATTCAATTCTGTAACTTGATACTTCATCTCCTATTGAGTTGATTAATAAATTTTATTCAACCTACCACATTCTACCCTTAAAGCATTTTCAGTTTATTTCAAACCTTCTATTTATTGAAGTAATTATTACTATACTGAGTTCTACTATAATAATTATTAGTTCATTTAATCGTGTTTTTATTATAAGATTTAATGTTTATCTATAGCTTTTTTGAATTCTTATTTCTAAAATTATATCTCTTAGTTTTATGACTCAAGTTTCTTTTCATTCATTTTCAACTCCTCCTATACTTTATTCTTTCTTATATCCATTGATTTAAATTCATCAAGCAGCTTTTGATAATCTTATTTTGATGCTTGCAATTTATCCTCTAACCCTTTTAATTGTTGTATATAAATATTTATCTATCCTTTCGATTCTCTTTCAATCTCATTTCTTGATTTTTATAGATTGACCACTTCTTTTTCTTTAATACTCAAAGCATTCTTTAGCTATTCATTTAGGATTTCCAGGTTATTGCAAATTTAAACAGATTAATCCTCTGAAATTGCTTTTTCCTTCAAAATTTACTTAATTTTTTCATCTAGTCTTTAAATCATTTCATTTTTATTGTCAATTACCTTAGAATCAACTTAATTATGAGCCATTTCGGCTTTTAGATTATCATTTTCTATTTGCAACTATAATACTTTGAGTTCAAACTATTCTGATTATTTGGAAGTACTTGAATGAATTGATTTCAACATAAAGGGAGATTTTGGTATATCTTTTTAATTTACTTTTTCAGATAACAACTACTTATACTTACTCTCTAAAACATCAAGTTCCTTTTATAATTAAATATTCTGTTATTTATAATCTTAAATTTCATTATTATTTATTTTATTTTGATGAGTTTATACATCTGCCTATAGTAGTTTCATCTTTAGTTCTTCATTTTCTTTTTAATTTATTTATAAACATTCGAAAACTCTATTGAATTCCTTGTTTGTTTAATTTGCCTTGTCTTCGGCTTATTCTCTCTTCCTTTATTCTTCAATAACCTTTTGTTCTTGCTCTATTAAATTTTTGTTTAGCTATAAAAATCACAATATTTAATTACTTTCTGGTTTTCTTAGACTAAAGCGGTCATTTTAGATTATAACTATTCTAGAATTGCTTTTAATTTATTATAATCTTCAGCCATATTTAATGTTTTTGTATCATTCTCATTAGGTTCATCATTGGATAGTTCTTCAACTTTTCTAAAATTAGCTAATATTTCAATCATTTTATCATTGATATTATCAGGTAGTCTTCCATCAGTGGCAATTCTTTAACAACATGACATCAAATCTCGCAATTATCCAGAAATTTTAGATATTTCTGATGATATTTTTGGTTTCTATTATAAGAATCCATTGTTTTGGGATTATAGCTTACTATTTCCTACGGTAATGTGATAATCTGTAATTGAAATTTTGGTTGAAAACCCCTAATTTTCTTTGCCTTCCTAAATAGTTCCATCCTTTCTTAGAGTGTTGCTTCTTCTATCCGATGTGCCATGTTTATTGCTATCACTTTAAAAGTTTCCAGCATAAGTTTTCTAGTATTCATACTTGTATGTTTCATAGTGAGGTTTCAGTTCATTTTATGATTTCACTAATTCTTGGGGGCTGTATGGCTTTAGAACATCGCAATTTTAGTTTAAGGTCGTAGTATTTAATTTATATTAATAAGAATTCTCTAATTTTTATGGAGGAGACCGTTAAATTGCAGCATTATTTTAGTTTACATATTTACCATCAAAGAGGGGAGATTACATATATGGGGAAGGACCATATGTTAATATTTTAGCTTGTGATGATGTTTTAGGACAATAGATTTGTTTATCTGGAGATTGCATTGAAAAGTTTGCTACATCCTTTTGAAGAGAGGACTATCTATTAACTAAGGAGACTTGAGTGGGCTTTTGTACACTTTTCATATTATGTTGTTTATTTATTTCGGTTAAAAATTAATATGTATTTAATTAGTATTATTATTAACATTTCTTTGTAATGATGATTTGTAGAAATGAGTTGTTCAAACAGATTTATGAGGTTGAGATGGATTTGCAATAAATATTTATTTAATATATTTATTTTTATATTTAATATAATAATAAATGGACGAGAGGGAAGAAGAGAAAGTGTTCATATCATAATTGCAAAAATTTTGGGAATAAAGAGGTGTAACTATTAAAATACCACAAATTGGCGGTAGAGAATTGGAGGTTTTCAAGCTCTATAAAGCAGTCACCAAACGAGGAGGTTTAAAGGTTGTATCAGCCAATAAATTATGGAAAGTAAAATTTTAATTTTAATCTGAAAAGGAAATCGTAGATCAATTCTCGTTTCCAGCCACTTGTACTTCAGCCTCATTCACATTGAGGAATCATTATCAAAAATTGTTATTGGCATATGAATAAAAATATTTTTTTGGAAAAGAGGATGGCTACATCTATGATGAAGAAATGAGTTCCAATAGAAAGAAGACTAAAATAGGCTTTGAAGAAGAAAATCAATAGGCAAGTTATGCGTAATAATAATATATATATAACAGTGTAGAAGCAGAGGACAGACAACATCAAATGGAATTCAGTGGATAACCTCTTAGTACTCTTTTGAATCAAAATTATTTAAAGGTGGAAAAAGCAGAAACCATATTTTTTATCAAGAAATCTAAAATATAAGCATAAGCAAGTGAAGTTAAAAGAATTATGCTTGCTTTTGAAAGTAGAATTGATGATGAACTCACATTCGCTATCAATAATTTATTGATGTATTCTTGCAATTACTCAGTATAACAATAAATTTTAATAATTTTAGTAAAGCTTTCTCATTGACTAGTATCCACAATTACTTGATACTATTACTTCGTACATTGAAGATACTATTAAATAAATTAGTTACCTCAATAAATCTTACTCTTTTAAAACTTGCCTATAGACAGTAGGATAACAATAATTGGAAAGTTTAGGCTAATAATCGCGAAAATCTATGCAAGTTCAAACTGAATTAATCAAAAATCAAAATGTTTTAGAGAATTATAACTCTCATATATCAATCATCATGAATGATCAAACAACTGAAATGGCTAAGCCAAGTGAACTGATCTATTAGAAAAAATACATAGATTTGATCTAAGGGAATTATGAGAAAAAAGCAGAGTGTAAACATTTGGAAAAATTGAGAACTTTGTTTGTAGCTTTGAGAAATTTAGCTATGATTAGATCTAATGAAGCTTGCTTTATGAAATAAGACAAGTTACTTTCCTTTTTTTATTAAATTCTTTTGTCTGGAGCAGATTAAGAATTATCTAAATCAGCATTAGAAATATTCTCAGTCTTATCCAAACACATACATCTAAAGTAATCTGTCTACATGGATACCTTTATGTAGAAACTAATCGAAATACTTAATGGTGAATCATATGAGGATATAGGTTTAGTCACAGAAACTCTGAGAAATATGATATCTATCTCAGATAACGAATCCATCATTGAAGGAGCCATTGGAGAATATATTGACTAATTAGCAAGATTATTAATCTATTAGAATTAAGAATTGAGAGAAATTGTTTTGGAGTTCTTCTGCTACTTAAGTGATTTAAAAATGGCAACAAGGTTATCTATAGCCAAACATCCTAAAATATTATAAAGACTTGTTGCCATTTTGAGCATTGGGTAAATTAAGAACAACTCTCTTAAATAATAAGATCAAAGATCAAATCAAGATAAAATCAATGAAAAGCATGTCAAATTAGCTGCCATCACTCTCAATAATATATCATAAGCTCCAGCGGCAAAATAATATTTGCTTATTTTTGAAAAGTAATTCTCATAATATATCTTAATTAGGGAATTATTTTTGGTGGCTGCATCTGATGAAACAGTCACTCCTCTGCTTTCATAAATTCTTTTTGAGTTATCATTGGTAGAATGAATATTTTAATATATTTTAAACAAAAGCTAATAGATTTATAATATTAGAATGAGATTGATAAGTATAACTAACTACTCCCTTTATTGATTATTTTTAAAAATATTATTAAGATTCCCAAATTAATATTTGAGAAATCATTTAAACAAAATTTAAAAGATATAATGTAATGAAAAATACAAAAATTAATAATTAAAATATATTTGTTTGTTTTACATACCAATTAAATTTGACATAAGTTGTATATCTCTTGATTTTTCAAATTTTGAGTATTTCCTATTCTTCCCCATAGCATTGATAAAATAAATGAGGATTTCAAAGTAATGTAAATTCTTTAGGTGATAATATTTTAATTAACATAAATAAAAAGTGTTATTCAAAAAAAAAAAATCAAAAATATTGTATATTTTATTACTTGCTTATATTTTAAAAATTCAAACTAAAAAATGAACACTCGTTAATTAACTTATTTTAAATTGCATCTTATCGCATTGTTGATTTTAATTTTTTAATTAGAAAAGCTAAGAAATCTTCATTATTCATATTGTTTTTTGGTCATGGATTTTAACTATTTATTCTAATAATAGATAAGTCATTAACTTGTCCATTATCATTTCTGCTTTTTTCTGGATTTTCCTCCCTTTTTGAGGTTTATTAATCATATCAACAAAAAAAAGATAATATAATTGAGATATCAGAATAGTAGTATCATATTGATATTTTTGATAATTAGATAGGCATCAAATTTCAAATAAAAGACAGGAGATACATTAAGACTCAAAATTAGTACTTTTTATTGTTGATGTATAAGAGACAAGCAAGGTAATCAAGAAATTGATTTGGAAAATCCACATTAACAATTAACAATTTTAGCATTTCCTTTTCAAGATAAAATATCATAAACAAATACTAAACAGTGTGTTTTTAAATGTATTGATTATAATAAATTTCACTTTTATGAAGATTTTAAATAGGTTTCCAAAATACAACATTCTTGAGATTTAAATAATGGACGCAAATCACCTCCTTTATAATCTATAAATTCACCTTTTAGGATTATGGTTCCTTGTGTTTTTAATTTTTGAATTTAAGAAATTGTTATAATTGGAACATTTAGGGCGGCTAAAGAATAGTGGAAAAAGGATACCAATTTCTGGAATGACATTATGAGTAAATTTCAAAGGTTTAAATAATGCTAGAATATCTGTTTCTCGAATATGTAAATCAGATGCTTTATAAATATATAAAAAATTTATATTTCCTATATAAACATCCAATGAATATAAAAGGATGTAGTCATCTCTACTACTTCTAAATGTTAATTTAGTACCATCAGGAGAGTAATTGACTGAATAAACATTACCTTTAAAACCATCAAATTTTGCTTTTTCTAATCCTGTCTTAACATTCCATAAATGTATAGAGTTACCTGATCCAGATGCTAATGTAGTACCATCAGGAGAGAAACATACTTACAGAATTCCTTTTGAATGACCATCTAATTTGGCTTTAAGTTATCCTGTCTTAACTTCCCATAAACAAATAGAGTTATTCGAACACTCTGATGCTAATATAGTGCTATCAGGAGAGAAACAAAATAAATTAACACAATTTTCATTATTTTCTAATTTTAACTTTTATTAACCTATCTTAATATCCCATAAACTGATAGAGTTATCATAACCAATAGATGCTAATGTAGTACCATCAGGAGATAAGCATATTTATAGAATTCCCTTTGACTAGCCTTCCTTTTAAACTGTCTTAACATCCCATAAATGGATAGACTTATCATCACCACTAGAAGCTAATTTAGTACCATCAGGAGAGAAGCATATTTATAGAATTCTCTCTGAATGACCATTTAATTTGCATTTTTATTATGTTGTCTTAACATCCCATAAATAGATAGAGTTATCATCAACACTAGATGCTAATGTATTACCATCAGGAGAGAAGCACAATTATAAAATTCTCGTTGAATAACAATGTAATTTTGCTTTTTATTATACTATCTTAACATCCCATAAATGGATAAAGTAATCATAACCACTAGATGCTAATGTAGTACCATCAGGAGAAAAGCATATTTACAGACATCCCTTATAAATACCATCTAATTTGGCTTTTTATTATTCTGTTTTAACATCCCATAAATGGATAGACCCATCATAACTAACAGATGCTAATATAGTACCATCTGGAGAGAAACATACATATGGAATTCCCGTTTTATGACCATCTAATTTTGCTTTTTATTATCCTGTCTTAACATCCCATAAGCGTATAGATGGATCATAACTACTAGATGCTAATATGAGACCATCTGGGGAGAAGCAGATTGAATGAATCGAACTCGTATGACCATCTAATTTGGCTTTTTATTATCCTGCCTTAACATCCCATAAACAGATAAACTTACCATTATAAGACGCTAATGTATTACCATCAGGAGAGAAACAAACTGATTTAACCTAATTTGAATGACCTTCTAATTTGCTAATTTATTATCCTGTCTAAACACTCCATAAACGAATAGAATTATCAGAACTACCAGATGCTAATGTATTACAATCAGGAGAGAAACAGACTGAATTAATCTAGCTCGTATGACCATCCAATTTGGCTTTTTATTATCCTGTCTCAACATCCCATAAACTGATAGATCTATCATGAATTCCAGATGCTAATGTAGTGCCATCAGAAGAGAAACAGACTGTATAAACACCACCAGAATGACCATCTAGTTTAGTTTGTTATTATACTGACTTAACATCCCATAAATGGATAGAGTCATCATAACCAATAGATGCTAATGTATTACCATCAGGAGAAAAGCATATTTACAGAAATCCCTTTTAAATACCATCTAATTTGGCTTTTTATTCTTCTGTCTTAATATCCCATAAACAGATAGATTTATCATAACTAACAGATGCTAATATGAGACCATCAGGAGAGAAACATACTTATGAAATTCCCGCTTTATGACCATCTAATTTGGCTTTAAATTATCCTGTCTTAGCATCCCATATATGGATAGACTAATCATAACCACCAGATGCTAATGTAGTACAATCAGGAGAGAAACAGACTGAATTAATCTAGCTCGAATGACCATATAATTTGGCTGTTTATTATCTTGTCTCAACATCCCATAAATGGATAGACTTATCATCACTACAAGATGCTAATGTAGTACCATCCAGAGAGAAACAGAATATATCACTCGTATAACGATCTAATTTAACTATCTATTCTTTTTTTGTAACATCCCATAAAACTAATTCGTTATTTGAACTATTTAATGCTAATAAAGTATCATCAGATGAGATACAGATTGATCTAACCCTTCTACATATATCATTTAAATTGTCGATTTATTTTCCTGTCTTAACATTCCACAAAAGGATAGTACTATCAAAACTAACAGATGCTAACATAGTGCCATTTTGAGAGAAACATACTGAAGCAATACTCTCTCTATGGCCAATTAAATGACATATTTTTTTTCCTGTTTTGAGATTCCATATATATGCTTATTTTTTGCAACTAGAAACTAATGTAGTACCATTAGGCGATAGGCAAATTGATTATATATCCTTCATTTTTATTTTAAACTTTATTTTTCTGGTTTTAACATCCCACAAATGCATTGTATTATCAACACTACGGGAGGCTAATGATTTACCATCTAAAGAAAAAAAAACTTATACCACCCTACCACTTTGACCATTTAACGAAATTCCCTCATTTATACCTAAACTCCTCCACTTACAATTTAATAATTTGGCTTAATTCAAATTTATACCACTAATATTGACATTGAGAAATTCAGATCCACTTAGGTCACATCTTATCATATTTGCTCCTATTAAGGAAATATTTCTAATTCTAATATTCTCAAAACATTATTCCTTCAAATTAACTTTTCATTAAAACTAATAAATGAAGAGAATTAGATCCACATTAAATATATCTCTCATCTAATGCAGTGAGTCGAACTAAAAATTTTAGAAATTCTATAATTTTCTAGTCACTTGATATTTTTATGATCAAATCTTTCTTAATTTTTTTCTTCATCTATCGGGTAATTTTGCTTATTAAATTAATGAACCATAATTTTTTTGAGCACATCAATTATTCTCCTAATATCCTTCTTTTCAACAATGAATTCTTTATCAGTCAGAGATAAATTTTCTAACTTTAATTTTTCTATAGTTACAAAACATTGGTCTGATTAAAGAAATTCGAGACAGTCTTAAATTTTCTTTCTTTTTAATATTTTAGTTATGATAGGGAAGAATACTTCATCAACATCTTTAACTAAAGCCAAAATCCCATACAAATCTTCCTCTTACTCTATTTCACAACTCATATTCTTTTTTTGAAATATTATTGAATTTCTATTACTTTATTTTTAGATTTATACGTAACTTAAAAGTAACTTTTACATTTCAATTAAGAAAAAGCAAATTAGATAAAGATTTGTGTTAACTTAAATTCTAATAGTGACACTCGCATAATCTTTTGCATAGCTTGATTCGTAATGATTATAGGATAAATATACAAAACAAATTATTAGCAGCACTATCAAAGAATTACATGGATGTTATGGAAATTGAATCCTTTCTGGACCTTTTAATAAAAATTAAAGTAGTATATTAATTATGTTTTTTTTGATGAAAGTATAATATTTTTATTAAATTTCTATAAATTACTAAATATTTAATATTTTAATAAAATATAAAGCGGTGACTTTACTTCTAATTTCTTTACTTTAATTTAGGCCTGGCTTATTTTCTTTTATCAGGAGTAATGTCCCATTTTTAAGCATGAAAGCTATTATCTCCAAATTCTCTATTTTTCTAATTATTTTTAAGTCTTACGGTTGATTTAAAAAGTACAAAAATGTCATAGTATGCTCAATTTCTAATTGTTAAGAATCCATAGTTGAATGTAAAACAGAGTGGATTTTTATTTGTTAAATATTACATCTATAAGCAGGTTTGTAGGCTAACAAATTTCTAATAGCATCAATTAAGAGTCGATGTTTAAACATCAAGGTATAATCCTTTAGATATTTTTGCGATTTTCTAATTAAATCTATTTCTATTAAATAAAGGGTACAATTTCCATGGAATATATGAGTGGATACCAATAATCATTTCGAAAAAGCAGAGTACCAAGGGACCATAGGTCTGTTTATAATTGTATTCATTTTTGGCAGCGATTCTGGAGATTTATGCAATAAATCCAATCTGAAATTCCATCTTTGTCTTAATGTTTGCTTAGCCAATCAGCCAGTCTAACTTCTCCATCATGGATTAGGATATTGGATGGCTTAATATAATCTCTAAATATCAAGAAGTAAAGGTTTACTTTTTGAATTTAAGTACTTTAATGTTCGACCAATTAGTAAAATATAAGTGATGAGGGTATTTTCAGGCAAACAACCTTATTATTTTATTATTTAAAGAATTTCTACAGATTATTGAATAGTGGATAACCTGTTTCACAAAATTCAGTAATTATATAATAATAGTTTGTTGTTTCATAATATGCGTGCATCTTTAGTATGTACTGAAAATTGAGTTGCTTAAGAATATTGATTTAGTTACTGAGCATCTGTTCAAAAATGCCTTTACTTTACTTTTTGTCAATCCTCTTGATCACCTCTTGCTTCTTGGTCTTCTCATTATATCTTTTGTAAACGTGCCTGAATAAACCAACTCCGACTTTGCATTCATCAGATACTTAATAAACATATTCTCCTATGACTTTTTCGTTAAGCATATTAAATTTAAAATAATTTAACAATGGATGAATATATAACAGTAACAATCGCTTATACTCTCAATAGTCGAATCGAGATTTGATCAAAGCTATAGATTGTATTCCAGTCCCAGATATTACAATAACTTCGCTATCTTAATAATCAGCAAGATTGACGAAAAAAGAGAGTTTCATCACTAAGGATTAAGTCATGAAAATCTTGAAAAAGACCTAACCTCAAGAATAAACTGCCATCTAAACCAGAGCAAATCTATACCTGAATGCTTTCAATTAACATGATCCTTAGGATTTGCTTAATAAGGACAAGATTAGCAAGCATACTTAATAAAAGAATCTACTTCATCAAATTTCCTAGTTGCAGTAGTAGGTTGATCATTAGAGAAGGGAAATCGAATCTTAAATCAATCAAATCGCACTTTTGAATAAGCAGACTGACAATTTAACCAATGAAATTCAGGAAAAGAATCTCTAATTATAACTGAATTCCCAGACGATTCAACAGTTGCAGACAATCAATATTCAATAACAATAGATTATAGAAAATTTGTCACTCGAAAACGAGTATAAAAAAAAATTCAATAAATTGTGTTATTAAAAAGAGTCAGAATCTATTACTGAATTAAAATCCAAAATATAAATTCTTGAATCTGAAATTAATAAAACAAGAGCCACATTCACTTTATTTTCACCAAAAAATGAAACATTTTAATCAGATACTTACTCTTTAAAAAATAAAACATTTGATCCTGAATTATTAAGTGAAGATGAAACATTGGGAATGCTATTAAGTTTACTCAATAGAGTTTCAAAAAGTACCAGGATGACTGCAATCTTACAAAAAAATACAGACTTTAAAAAATTAATCAAATTCAAAAGAAACCAACCAAGTGTCAATAGATTATCAATTGTCTAAAATAATAAATTTGTGGAACGCCAGTCATCCTGTAATTAAGAGTATTTCAATAAATTGATAAAAAATTAAGTAATAAAATTTAATTGATTATTAAATTCATGTTAATGTATTATCCAAAATCATTTATTGCAATCTCATCATCTTTATCAATCTTGTCAAAGAGATATATTTATTTACAAATTTTATTTATTTATTTAAAATTTTTGATATACAATATTTATATTGGTTATCTTAAGCATTTTAGTAGCGATAATATGATCACAAATAATTTTAATGATATAAGTATATACATAATATATATTTTTCATTTTTTAAAATAGTTTCCTCTGCTTGTTAGACAGGATTGAGGTTCTATTTTTAAAATGGATTGTGTCATCTTGATAGGAGATGTTTATATACGCAAATTCTCCTTATTATTGGATTTGCAATGATTGCACTATGTCAAACAAATGTTTTCAAAAGAACAAGTATTATTGAATAAATTAGCATAAAGTCTTGATTTTTGAGGTGTTTTTGGGGCATTATCAACTTTAGGTACTAGACTTCTATCCAATTAACTATTTTATAGAGGAGAAATAGATCTCCTCAATTTGCTCATATTGCTATTTGAATCTGTGATGATTGGTTAAATGTGCTTTTTAGTTTTAATACATTAAATGATGTTCTAATCGTTCAAATACTTCAGAGATAGCAATTGATCATCTAAGTCGTGCTTTAAATCGAAGTGTTTTTTTGTTCGTATCTAAGACTTTTGTTCAGGGGTAGTAGTTCTTAGCGATCCACTAAAAATCATTATCAGTTAATAAATTAATAATGTACTTATAAGAATATATTAAAATTCAAAATTTATGTAATATAGGTCAAACAAGCCTCCTTAAACAGTCAAGAATCAAGTGGTGTCGTTCTTTCCAAAATAAACCTTTTCTCCTGCAAAGTCACATATTGAACACTTTGTTTCTGAAAATCCAACTCCACATTATAAAAAATAATCGCAACCATACCCACCCAGATAACCATCATTTAATATTTCAAGTGGAGAAAGCTTGGAACATAATCTCAAAAAAAAGCAGAATTCAAACTTTAGTCAAGAAAAGAAGGCTCAAAAATAATTGTTTAATATTTTGTTTAATAGTACTAAGCGTAATGGAAGTTTTTGCAAAGAAATGTACATTTATATTATAATGATAGGAAGAAGTAAACTAAATAAAATAATCCAATCCAAAATTGGTACCTTCCGAATAAGTAAAAGCTCTCCTAAACAATGCAAAAAAAGTAATCAAAAATAAACAACAGCATGGAGGGATAATAGACAGTGGATATGAGTTTTGAGAACCACCTCATCAAAGGTCTTTAAGAACACAGTGGATTCTAGAGCGATACAACTAAACCTCTCGATGATTACAACCCTAGAGCTATAAAATTCTTGGAAAAGGGCAAATAATTATTAAGAGAAAAGCAAATTGAAGAAGCTATTGAGTATTCTACCTATATCATTTTAGATAATTAAAAAAATGCTTAGAAAGCGATATAAGAATATTAGAAGGACATTACTTTTTAGGTATCGGTTATCTTGGTAAATAACTCTATTCAAAAGCAATAACAGAATTTCAATATGTAATCTAATAGGATGCTGCACATAGAAAGAATATTTATTTATTATTAGCAATTTCTCATAAAAAAATGAATGAAATAGACTCAGCAATCTAAATTCTGAATAAAGTCATCTTAATGTTTCCAAGATATTATGATGCCTTTATTTATAGAGGCAAACTCTATACCAAACTTAATTAAATTGATAAAGCAGAATAAGACTTCAATATGGCCATTCAGTTAAGTCCTCAAAAAGGATTAGGATATTTGGGCAAAGCTGATTGTTTTAGAATGCAGAGCTAATATAAGGAAGCCATTAAATGTTATTAGAAGGCCATAAATTGTGAATAAGCAGTGGGCAATGCTGCTTTGCTGAAAAAAGCAATTACTCTTTTTGAAAGTCAAGAATACGATGAATGTGCAGTAGATCTAAGTAAACTATTAGAAACTGATCCTACGAATTCTGAAGCCTACTACTTTAAAGGACTTTGTAGATTAAAAACAAGTATTCAATATGAATATTCTAGAGAATCCTACCGAAGCATTATTATGTTTTGAATAAGCAATCAAACATAATAATTCTAAAAAAGCTGTTACTAAGTCACTTTATGAAATTGCGAAAATGAAGATTGAATAAAGAGACTTTTATGCCGCATTTCATACATTCAATAGATCGGCACTTTTAGATACTGATAAAACCTACTTAGAGAAATTTCGACTATTTACTGAAGTAATAGACTTATTGATTATAGGCTGTTATTCATTTGATGAAAAGAAAATTTCAGGAGAGTCTAAACAATTTTCAAGAAATTCAAAATCATCATTAGCTAAATGATTTTCTTAAGCCTTTATTCTATGCTTATAGAGCTTATGGTCATTTTTGTTTGTCCAAACATCAAAAAGCTTTGGAGGATTATAAATATTTATTGGAAATTCAACCAGCTGAACCCAGTGTTCACTATAATAAATTCTTATGTGAGGGCATCTTAAAAATTTAAGCTGGGCAATTCAATTCTGGCATGGAATTCTTTCAAAAAGCATAAAAGATTTTCCAAAAGAAAATGGAACCTTCCTTTTATTAAGGAGCAACATTGATAAATTAGGCCTTTAAAAAAAAAAGTGATTAATACAAAGATATAGTCAAAGGGTTAGAATTATTAGACAAGGCACAAAGTTTAAATGACTAGAATGCAAACATCTATTATGTGAGATCCATTGTGAAATGCTTTTTAGGATAAACTAATGAAGCTTTGGCAGATATTGAGTCAGCTATTCAAAAATCAGAAGACAATGTTGCTAAATATTTTTATTTTAGGGGAATGGTGTATGGAATTCTTAAATAATATCATCATTCATTAAATGATTTTAGCATCTGTTTAACATTGGATGAAACTCTTCCTGATGCTTATTTAAATAGAGCTAAATGTCATTTTTTAAGTGGAGATTCCAATTCTGCCTTCCAGGATTTATAATAATGTATTCATATATTATAAGATGATCCAAGAATGCATGTTTGGGCTGGCAATTTTTTATTTGCCAATGCTGCCATAGAAGATGCAATCAAAGCCTACTCCAACAATAAAGATTTCAAAAATAACCCTAAGTTGTTGCAATTAAGATCGGAATGCTACATGGTTTTAAGTGATTTGCGTAGTTGTTAAGAAGATATCAATAGACTTCATAAATTGACTAAAGATTAAACTGCAGAATTTGATAAGGATATATTATAAGCCTTGAGATTAGTGTTTAAGGATGATCAATAAATATATTTTAATGAAGAAAGCGAGAGTGAGCAACACGAATTAAAAAATAATTTAAATAGAGCTGTCAATAGTCTAAAGTAATTAACAAGAGGAAAAGGGAGGTTATTTTAGTAATTCCACGTGTTTATATTCAGAGGAGTGTTCTTGTTTCATTTGGAGAAATATGAAGAGGCTTTGAAGGATTTCTAAATGGCAAAAAGTCAAAAGGAACTTTCAATAACAGAAAAACGACTAAGATAGAGAGGAAGCTAGACTGATTTATTTAGTGATGAAGAATTTTTTGAACTTACTGAAGACGAGGAAGATGCAGATCTATTAGAAATCTTAGAGATCAAATTTAATGAATTGATTTGCTTAATAATTTTAAAATAATTTAAAAAAGCAAAAGAGAAATGTAAATAGCTGATTGAAAACATAAATGAGGCAAAATAGGAAGGTTTGTAAATTCTCTTAATGCACATTGAATAAATTCTTCTAAAGGATTAACAATCCATTGATTACTAACGAGTGATCTGCTTATATGATGAACCTAAAGAAAATATTATTTGTTTCTAGGTTCCTATAGTATATGTTGATGGATTTAAAATTAGATTATCGTTTAGCTTGCCCAAATTGTCTCCTCCATCATTATCAATAGTATTTGATAAATAGTTAATTTAAAATATCGGGGTAATTAATTAATATCCTATTTTTAGCCTTTGTCTGTTGAAAATAAACCTGAAGCTCCATGGATCAGAAGAGAACAATAAGATGATATGATTATATTTACTGATAATGTTCAAATAGTTGATGATATAAGATTGGAAACTGAAATAGAAGATGATGGTAAAACTTAAGCATAATCCTAAATGGTTGAAATTACTCAAATAAAAAATAATTTAATGTTGGATAAGGATATCGAAGAAAAGTTGTAACGATTTTTTTAAAACAAAAAACAAAAATGATGTTAATATTCTTATCATCACTATCTTTAGATATTAAATTAATTTTAATTTCTCTGATTTTTATATTACTTTTAATTTTTCGATTTGCAGCAAACTTTTCTTTCATCACCCAACAATGATAAGAAATGTTTTTTCCAATAATATCCAGATCTTTTTTTATAATAAAATTTAATACAAAACCATTGTCTTTTCATTTCTTCTTATAATTGATAAAAGATTTCATTTAAAGACTCTGTAATCATGAAATATTTAGATAAATTGCATTTTTTTATTTGTTAAAATAATATCTTAAAGTAATGATTATAATATTTGTTAATATTATGATTACGAGGTTTAGAATTATTCCATAAACAATATTGTATAGTAAAAATTATTATTAATTTGTTGAAATTTTGGAAAAGCAAATGATATGAAAATATTATTTATAAAAATATCATTTTTTAAATTAACAACTATCTAAACTTAAATTTAGTTTGTTATTGACTCTCTATTTTGGTGTGTTGGAAAATATTGATTATTTCATTTATTTAGTTGTCTCCTATTCTTATAAAAAGGAATCCAACTAATTTGTCTTCTTTTGAAGAGTTTATTATTTTGATGATGTAATTTATTAAGTAGCATAGTAACTTGCATTACTATTTTCTTCAATCTTATGAATACTCTTTTGTAAGGCATAGTATTTGATTAGTAATCTATCATACATAGTTCTGCATTCCTAGAGTTATTATTCTTTGTTTTCTCTTTATTCAATTTCTGATCCTAACTCATTTAATGATTTTCTAAATAATTCTTACTAAGTTTGATTAGTCAATTGGTCAATCATTTTAGACATCTTAATGTATAAAGGATGATTCAGTATAGATTTAATGTTGAGACAATCATTGCTTTTTAGATTATTAATAGATTCAGGCAATTAGATCTATTGCTTTAAGTTTTAATTTTCGTACTCCAATTCCATAAGTCTTGCTTGAAACTCTTTCATTTACTACTACTATTATGTATTCTATTTAAGATAAAATATAATACAATCTGGCTATTAATTCTATTTTACTCTTGTGAGATCTGATCTTGATTGATCATTGACTTCAATTGTTCATTTTCATTCTTCAAGTACTCACATTATTAGCATTCGTGTTTTTGTTACTAAGAAATATATTAATATTATTGTAATTTTGATTAAGCATCTCTTAATTCCTGATAGAGTGCTTGCATTTTTTAATGAATAGATTGCTTATACTCTTGATCACTTTATCTGATAATGGTTAATTCTAATTGATATTGAACTAGTTTCTCTTTAAGTGACTAACACTCTTCTTATTTGAGACTTAATTATTATTCTGTTGTTCTGGCACTTACCTTTTGAGTGGTGAATTATTTTAATTACATAGACACTCTCTACCATTTTTACTGGAATTGCATACTCTATTCCGTTAGTAATTTGACCTTCTGTTCAAGTTTTTGATTTTCTTAAATTTGATGATCCAATTTTTTTTGTATGGTGATAAAATTATAATTTGCATTATTTAGCTATTCTTCATTTTTTTTTGTTGATTATAATTTTTAGACCAATTCATTATTAAGTCTTTCTGCTTATTACATTTTAATAAAAGCTGTAACTAATTCTTCATCTTTTTCCAGAATCTTATCACTGTATTCATTGGTCAATTGCTATATGTGTTCTTACAGATAATCAATTTGCTCATGCAATTTTAATTTCTCTATCTCCATTATTTCAATTGCGTAATTTAGGTCTTTGTACATTCTCTATTATTTTTTGTCTGTTATATATAATTTATATATATAATCTATTTATCTGTTATTAATTAATAATGCAAATTAAACATCCTGTTTTGGTTCTAAAAAAGAAAGTAAAGGAAAGAATAGAATATAAAATAAAATGGAATACTGGTTCAATTACGTATGAACCAATGGTTGAACTCACACCAGAAATGCTTAGTTTAGTCAATCAATGGGAATTGAAGGAACATAGCAAAATGAATGTCAAGTCCATTGAAAAGAACAATACTAAAATAACAAAAATAATTGAAGAACAATTGAGGTACAAAATGGAAGTTGAAAAACCGAATCTTAGTCCTCATAAGGAGAGAAGCTCAGAAAAGGGATATGTAAAATCTTTAAGAAAGAATGATGGAAGAATAGAATTTTGGATATATATACATGACGAAGGTATAGAGAGATGGGTTACTTTGGAAGAAGTCAAAAATAGAATGCCAATAGCCTTGTGTGATTATCTTTTATAAAAGATTAAGTTTGGGGGAAAGTGAATATAGTATTTAAAAATGCATTTTAATAATTATCTCTTTTAAAATTTGTATCAATTTCTAAGTCATATCCCAAGTACTTCTTATGGAATAATTTAAAATAAAGTTTAATTAGGTATTATTGGAATAATTATACTCATTTATTTCATTATATTTTCTAAATGAAATGAAAACCAAAATACAAGTATGATCCTTCTTAATTAAGTTCCTTTTAGTTTTGAATTCATACTAATTAGAATGATTAAGATGAATGAAAATCAATGAAGAACAATTTATATATGGTTTTAGTTTATAAAAATTAGAATTATGAATGAGTTTCTGAGATGCAATATTTGCATGCAATCGAGCAGCCATTAAAATTTTAAATTAAATTAAATCTTTTATACAAATAAATGTCTTTGGTGTTGGAAAAGGCTGATTCATTCAGACACATTATTCGTATATTGAACACAAACGTTGATGGAAAATAAAGACTTGCTTATGGTATTAGAAGTATCAAGGGTATTGGCAGAAGATTTGCTATCTAAATTTGCAAGGTATTTGATGTGATTTTATTCATTCTATAGGTCCTCCGTCTTGATCTCACAAAGAGAGCTGGTGAATTGACTGATGATGAAGCTCACAAAATCACAGAAGTCATCAAATCACCAGAAGCTTACAACATTCCAAGATGGTTTTTGAATAGACAAAGAGATTTCAAGGATGGCAAAAACTATTAAGTTACTACAAACGAATTGGAAACCAAATTAAGAGAAGATTTAGAAAGAATGAAGAAAATCAAGTATTTGAATTAAATTAAGTTAAGGTGTAATCGTGGTTTGAGACATCATTGGGGATTGAGAGTTAGAGGACAACACACCAAAACCACTGGTAGAGGAGGATAAACACTCGGAGTCGAAAGAAAGAAGAAGTGATTAATAATTTATTAAAAGTACATTAAAAATAATAAATGGACAAATAACCATTATTGCCAAACATAACAATCACTATAATTCATAAGTTCTTTTAGCATTTCATACTCAGCATTTTTGATACAGAAACAATTCGACATCTATCTCTTATTTTGCTGACAATATAGACCTGATTTTTCAATACTTTCGATAGGTAAAAGTGAAGAAGCTCAAAAGACAAAATAATAATACAAACTCTACCATATTAAGTTTGAATGTAAGTAATATTTAGTCATGCAATCAATAATTGAATTAATCTATTTCGCTTGAACTCTAATTCAATTTCAATTAATAATCGTAATTAGTGATTCTAAAATTTATACTCATATTCTTTAAGGAAAGTGGGATGAAATAGATTGCAGTTTTATCCCTCATATGTTAAAATAAACTATTGTTTTTACATAAAGATATTATCCATTTTTTGCTCAAAAACAGAATTGTGCAATTTAATACTAAAATAACTATATATAATTGATTGATGGCAATATAAGAAAAGAAAATATATTTTTAGAAATAAATCTTAGCAATTAGAAATTAATAATTCTAAATATAATATATGGGCATCGATACAAACAATAAAATCAAGAGTAATTTTGCATTTTATTCTCAGATTAATTATGATTTACTTGCCCTGGTATTTATGCTATTATTCTATCAATTTAATAACCCTTTTAGAAAGTGATTAAATCATATTAACATTTCCAGATTATCATGGTTAACTCCTTACAATTTTTCAATCCTTCTAAAATAAACAATAATTATTATGACTAAAACTAATGAATACTTACTTCAGCATTTGTCTTATCAGAAAATCTGTCTGCTGTTGTTTGATTTAAATTCTAGGTTAACTTAATGAGGCTTAAATTCAAATAATGCAATACTAACTCATAAACAGTATTATTCTCATATAAGTAATTATTGCAAAGGTTACCAATAATTGGATCATTCTAAAAATCTTATTATGAGTATTAGATTTACTATTTTTTAATGCTAATTTCAAGATTTTCTAGAAATGGTTGATATACTTAATTTAATATTCAGAAACTGCTAAACAAATTCCATTAAATGATTAGCTTTGCTTGTACTTATCATAATCATAAAGTTAACATTGATTATCTCCCTTATTTTCTTTATCCAAAATTTTAGATAATTGGCTGATTTTAACAGCAATACATTTTCCTAATACAAATAGGATCTTATTTTTGAATTCAGTTTAAACAACTTAAGAATTGATTAAATATTAGGAAAACTTAAATAAGTATCGACAATAGTTTATCTGAAATATAAGAATTTGATTATTAGTTTTATATCCATCACTCTCTTAGTGAGAGAACGTTTACTACAAATTAATGCTATTAGTATTTTCAACTTAAATATTCAATGGATGTTTTATATTATGTTGTGGTAGTTAAAATTAATATTAACTTGATGACCTTTAAGGAACATCTAATTAGGCATAACATTGTTTATTCATTTAATTTGCATCATTTTCAAGATTACCTAAATCCTAATTGCAATTTCTTTTTAAATTTTGAGTTAAACTTCTTTTGCTCTTCTTTACTTAAGAATTGTTAATCAGTGTATTGACTTTCTTTAATTGTGAGAAACAATCATCTTGCAAATAACAATAAAAATTTTTTGATTAAATAATTTAATGCTCATACATAGCTTTAACATTGAATCGCTCATGATCATCAATTTACAAGCATTTTTTAATAAAATCTTTTGATAGCTCAGAAACAGATGGTGTTTAAGGTATAATTAAAGATTTATTAAGAATATTAGATAGTAGGGCTGCTTCTGATTAAGCATTAAAAGGTGTTCTACCTAACTAAATTTAATAAGGTTTTACCAAAAAGCATCTCAAAATATACGATTCCAACAGCCCAAACATCCCCTTTTTCAGAATAGTCTTAATGTTTCAAGGCTTATGGAGACATATATAGGGGAGTACCCACGTTGATGTTTTTCTGTTAAATTTTTGCCTACCATATAGGAACAGCAAATCCAAAATCTGCTAGTTTGGGATCATTTCCTTTTAACAGGATATTTGCTGGTTTAATATCTCTATGAATAAATCCTTTTAAGTTTATTTCATTTATTGCATTAACTAATGCTTATAATATCCTAATTGCTTCTGGTTCTTTTATTTTTAAATTTTTTCTTAAGTATTTATCTAGATCTCCCTTCATAAATCATGATTATACCGAATCGCAAAATTCAGTGATTATATAAGTGTTATTTGAGGTTTAACATACATCAATGAGCTTGAGAATGCTCTAGTGATTGAACGATCTCAATGCATTGATTTCATTTTTAAGCAATTGTTTATGTAATGTTTGCTTCAACTTCTTCATGTCAATCACCTAAACAAAAATATTTTCTTACTTTAACAGCAACATTCTCTAAAGTTCTTTCGTCTCTACCTTTATACACTCTACTACTGAATCCCTTTCCTATTTCTTAGTCAATAGCATAAGAATAATGGTCAATAGCTTTTCTTTTTTCAATTCCACCTCGACCCATAATGCTTTAAGTTTCTATATAAAAACTCAAATTTACATCTATGAGGACCTTAAGAATGAAGATATTGAGGTAAATAAGTGGAATTTTAGAACATTATTTTGATATTAATTAAATACCATATAAATGAGAGTTCAATAATTTAATCAATTCAAAATTTTTAAAATTAATTTAAATAAAATCTTCTTCACTAAATTTTTAGTTTAAAGTAACTATTTATCATTTCATAAATATTTTAAATTATATGTTGGTTAGAAAGAGGGATTAAATTAATTGAGTCTGATTATTAAAGAAAATCCAATAATAATTATTGATTTATTTAGTTTAAGTTTCAATTTATCATTCAAATTAAGAATACTTAATATTTATACTATCATTTAATTTTTGATTTATTTTAATGTATAATATCCTGTATCTAAATAAAATTAGTAGGTTAAAATTTAGACCTCAATCATATAATTAATGATCTAACTAAATATACTACATAAATACTTCCATTTTTCATCAAAAACTAAATATCTATTCGTATCCAAAGCCTATTATAAAATTGAGAAAAGTTATTCAATTGTATGAGTATTTGAAATAGTTAATAACAAGGATCTATATTCTTATAGCTTCTTGATAAATAAAAATGTTAACCTGTATACTACACTTAGTATAGAAGATTGAAATAGTTCTTCAAAATCTTTTGGGCCATAAAATCCCTTTTTTTTATGAATATTTTAATAAAATAATTCTTTAGCAAAAAGAACTAAATAAAGATAATAGTAAAAACACTTGGGTTAATAGAATTGCTATTTATATTGTATTAATATTAGACATTATTATAAGTTTTATCATAATTTGAAACAATCAAAGTTCTTCATTGATAATTGTATTCAAATATTAATCTTCTTGTTCACAAAATGAAATAATTTATTTATTAAGTAATTTCTCTTTATCATCTGAAGGCATATTTGTATGATATTCAAAATTGAAAATTATAGATTGAATAAAATATATTCCAAGTGAGTGATTGAATGAATTCAAAAAATTTTTAATCTTTTATATTTTTTTAAATAAAATGGGCAGAAGACCAGCAAGATGCTATAGAGTGAGTAATGGTAAACCATTCCCCAAATCCAGATATAACAGAGGTGTACCAGATGCTAAAATCAGAATCTATGATGTCGGAAGAAAGAAGGCCAACGTTGATGAATTCCCAGTATTGAATAATTAATATGATTTTAGGCTGCCATCCACATTGTATCAGATGAAAAGGAATAAATCTCATCAGAAGCTTTAGAAGCATGCAGAGTCGCCATCAATAAATATATGATTAAGAAAGTCGGAAAAGACGCATTCCATCTTAGATGCAGAGTCCACCCATGGCACGTACTCAGAATCAACAAAATGCTTTCATGTGCTGGTGCAGATAGACTTTAAACTGGTATGAGAGGTGCCTTTGGTAAACCAAATGGTTTGTGTGCCAGAGTCAAAATTGGCAGCATTCTCTACTCTTTGAGATGCAAGGATGCTTCAATCAATCACGCTATGGAAGCTTTGAGAAGAGGAAAGAATAAGTTCCCAGGAAGATAAAAGATTGTTGTCTCAGCCAAATGGGGATTCACTAACTATTTCAGATCTGACTATCTCAAATATAAGGCTAATGTAATACCATAAATTAATATTTTAGGATGAATTATAATACTATGGTACTCACGTTCATAAATTGAGATAACATGGTAAATTGGATAAATTAAAGATTTTCTAAGCCCTTAGAAAGTGATTTGTTAGTATAATCATATCATATATTAAATTAACGTATTTTAACATATTTTCTATTATAATTTATTATCTTCTAATCTATTTATAATTATTAAAATTGTCCTGCTAAAGATTTTATTGATTAATGCCTCATTAGAGATGCTTTTCAAATATAGATTTACAACAGACTATCCAAATCCTTCTCTAGGTGACTTTCACAAGAATTCAGAGTAATTTTTGAATTGAAATTAAAGAATCAATAATGTTATTTGAAATTTATTCAACCTAACAATTAAGTAGTTTTATAATTATATATGAATAACCTTATTAATTCCATTTGGTTTAATAATATCAGAAATAGATGAAATAAAATTATGATTAATTATAAAGTTTATCATATATTTAAATTAGTATATATATTATTCTATTATTTAAAAGAATCATTTGGATTGGGAAATAATATATCAGGAAGATAATGCTATCGAGTAGTTAAGTAATTTTATTGAAAGTACAGATAAGTATAATACTTATTCAATTATTATGGATTGTGATATCCATTTTACCTAGTTTTCTTTTTAAATATCAAACTCAGCTACATTAGGACATATTTAAAATATTGATTAAAAATCCAATTACTATTATTAAATTCATAAACTTTTTAATTTAACAAATGAATTAATATATATCACTTCAAGTACAAGGTTGATTCTTTTATCTTGAATTTTTGAATCTTACTTACTTTTTTGGGGGAGAATTAGTTTGAATTTCTAAATCTTTCCTTTTCAAAATCGAATTTGGAGTTAACGATCTAAAATTAGTAGGACACTCTAATCGAATAATATATGTGTGATCAACGCAAATATCGCTTATCTTTCTTCTTATTATTTAATTATTATCTTTTTTCTAAGGTAAATCTGAATATTTTCTATTCGTTACTATTTTGTCTTTCTGCACATGAATATAATTAAGAGATTCTCTTTTTTTATTTGATTTCTCGAAAGTAGCACCCTGTTTTTAAAGTGGGGACTAAGAATAGCTCTTTTCTTATTACTTTTTTTTTGGAGAGGCTGTATAGAATTTAGGACTTTATTATCTTTTTTATTAGTGTTTACGTAGATTTTAGTATTGTAAATTTATCTATACTTTAGGTTGGAGTATTTTCTAAGTATTAGAGGGGTTTTATTGTTTACATTCTTTGATTTCACAAAATTCTTTTTAAAATACACTCTCTTCAGTAGGAACTCTAACCACAGATTTAATTTCGTTGTATTTAGAGATGTGAGGTTTAACAGGTGATAGTAATTGAGCATTAGGTATTTCCATTTATGTTAATTAACTTGCTCCAAGAGTACTATCAATTAAAGGATTGAAAATTTGACTATTCTCAAGAATAGAATCTTATTAATTCATAATATTTCTCTCTGATGCTTAAGAATTATGCGAACAATTGCTTCCCATTTTCAGATTTATTATTTTAATAATATTTAAATAAAGTTAGATCTTGAGTGACAGTATTTCTTACTAAGATAGTAAGATGTAATAAAAAAGAAAGGTTGTATCTTTTGAACATTAGTTTTATGAATTTGAATCATCAATTGGTTTCACATAATAACAATTAGATAATTATTATTTATTTGAAAATTACGAAATATTATGAAATTTTAGAAATTTATCATTATATTTAATAACAATAATTATATTAAATTATTAAGTTTAAGCAATTAGTTACATTTAACACAATGATTATCGGTAGAAAAATATTGAAAAATAAATCAAGCTTGCCTGAGCTTTTCTATAACAGTATCCATAATCTTTCTTGGGTCATCTTCTTCAGCTTTCTCAGCATTTAATTAATCATAATCTATCTCCACACATCTTTGGACTTTCTTGTGAATTATAATAATATCCACTAGATTGTCTAATAATAACATGATAGGTCTAGAAGGAGCTCTCTTGTGTTCCTCAAGCATTTCTTAACTAAAAATAATGTATAAATTAATACCATAATTATTTAATTAATGTAGTTAAGGTTATATTTAACTTATCGCATTCACTTTCAGTGCAATTTTGATCCTTTGAATTGATATCTAATTCTCTATCACAATGCTGCAATTACCCATTTCTCGATAATGTTTCAATTAGATCTGAATGAAATTATACATACTAATCATGATCTTTCTTTATTGCTGGGACCATGATCTGATTAGCTAAGGTATATAAACTATTTTGCATTGCCATATTAGTTTTACTCAAGCAAATCATAAGTTTTTCTACAATACTATTTTTGTTAGAGGTGTATCTTGGGAATAATTCAGTAGTCAATACGAAGTTCCTAAAAATAATCTCATTTTTTAGACTCTTAATAGATGGAGTTTAAGGTTAGACTGAAATAGGTTAAACAGGAGCAGATGCTTAATGCATAGGGGATTATGATGGGCCTTAGAAGATAGATTTCTTTCTTTCCTTTTCATTATTTGATGAATTCTAATGATTATTTACTCTAATATTTAAATTAGGAGATGTTTGAATTCTCTGATCAGATGGGAGATTGACAACTTCAAACATTTCAAAGACTTTTTCCCATGAAATTCTATCATTTTCCTCAATCGTTAATGTTTTCCTCAAGAATTCTTCAGATTTAGAAGTCAGAAATCCTTTTTTGATTGAGACAGGAACACTTAAAATATTCTTCAATAAGTCTCTTTCATCTCTGCCTTTCCAAGGAACATCAGTAAAGACCATCTCATAAAATATGACACCAAGAGACCAAATATCACATTTGGTAGAATAGGGTTTTCTTGCTAAAATTTGAGGAGCCATGTAGAGTGGAGATCCAACACATGATCTTAGCAATTGATTACTAAAATTATCAACATATTTAGCGAATCCAAAGTCAGCAATTTTGAATACTCCTTCATGACTAAGAATATTTGCTGGTTTTAAGTCTCTATGAATGATAGCGTTGGATACAAGTTCACGGAATCCTTGGATGATTTATTTCATGATTTTCCAAGCATCTTATTCGTTGTATTTTTTTCTACTCATAATTTCTCTTAGATCTCCATCTTTACAAAATTCTGTTATGATGTAGAGACTTCTTTGAGTTGAAATCAAATCTATAAATTTGACTATATTTTTATGATTGAATTTCTTTAGAATTTCAATTTCTTATATGATTGATTGTTTAAGATAATTATCTCTTTCAAAATTACGTAAATCAAGTTTTTTGATGGCCACTTTTAAATTAGTTGTGGTATCAAGTCCCTAGTATACTTTACCATAAGCACCCTCTCCTAAGCAATGCTTTAGGTTGTAGCTGTAATTACCAATAACTTTGACTTAGCCTTATTACATATCAACGGTTAATATTTAAAATAAAAATCGAAAGAATAAATAATGTATTTAATAAATTAATTAAAAAATGCCCAAAATTGAAAATACTACGGGAATGGCAATAAATTTGATTATTGATGAACTAAAAAGTGATGACATACGAAAAAGGATTCATTCAGTCAAACATTTAGATTTAATTGCTAGTTAAATCGGTCCAGATAGAACAAAAAATGAACTCATTCCGTTCATTTAAGGTATGCAAATATCTAATTTAGAATTGCTGGATGATGATGATGAAGTACTGATAGAATTGGTAGATTCACTATCAAGAAATTTTGTGGAGCTTGTAGGAGGTTAAGCATAAGTCCTACTGCCTACATTCGAAGCATTGTGCAGAGTAGAAGATGCTTCAGTAAGAGAAAAAGTAAAATAATAATTAATAAAGGCTGCCAATCAAATCAAAAAATGTCTAACTCAACTTCCAGACTAAAAGAAAGTAGAAGAATTATCGATAGGAATTATAAAGAGATTAAATGATAGCGATTATTACATGGCTAAGAATGCAGTAGCAATTTTAATTCCAGCAATCTTTAATTAAGTTTCATAGAATAACTAGAACGACTTAATAAATATCATACTTAAAATGTCTTAGGATCAAATTCCTCAAGTCAGAAAATTCACATCAATGTATTTTCAAGTATTAATTTTTTCAAAATTTAGGATTTGGTTAAACATTTTCCATTAGTAAACGAAACCTTCATTCAAAACATATTGAATTCTTTCATTAAAGACGAACAAGACTTCATCAGAATGTACATAGTAGATGCATTAATACAATTAAGTAAAACTCCTTTCTTCCAAAAACAATAAAACTTTATTCTTAATATGTTTAAATAACTAGCTGAGGATCAATCATGGAGAGTCAGATTTTACTTTTGTGACAAATTGGCTGAGGTAACTCTATTCATCAATCTAAAGATAGGTGAAGCTGTAACCAAAGATGGATATAGAAAGAATTTCTAAAATTACCATCTCAAGTTCTTATAAGATGCTGAACCTGAAATGAAATCAATAGCAGCATTGAAAATTGAAAGAGTCAGCGGTCTCATGGATCCAGAAGACATTCTAAATAAACTAATCCCTCTTTTGAAAACAATACAGTCTGATACAAATGCATTTGTTAGAAGTAAAACTAATCAATAATTAAACTTAAAGACGCTTTGGCCTCTTCAGTCTTGGCATTATGTCCAATTATTGGTAAGAAGAATACAAGCGAACAAATCCTGCCAATTTTTTTGACTCTACTCAAAGACTAAGATTCAGAAGTCAGAATAACACTCTTCAAAAAATTAAGTCTTATCACTAACGTATTGGGAGTAGATTCTTTATCCCAAAGTGTCATTCCAGCTTTGACAGAATTAGCACAAGATAAGAATTGGAGAATTAGAGCTTCCACCATCGAAGTGTTGAGTTTCTTCGCCAGAGCTATTGGCCCAGAATTTTTATCTGACAAAGTTCTGAAATTATTATTAGATTGGATGGGCGACAAGGTCTTTTCAGTTAGACAAACAGCCATCTAATAAACAGCCTAATTGATTTCTATTCTTGGATTGGCTTGGGCAGACAAAAACCTATTAACAAAAATATGGGCATTTTAATCAATTTAAAATTACCTTCATCGATTAACTGTTTTATTCACAATCAATGTATTACACTCATTTTATTATAGCAAATTACTTCTTAATTAAACAATGATTACATTATAAAAACCATAGTCCCTATTTTATAAGCAATGGCCAAAGATTCAGTTGCCAATATTAGAAGCAATGTTTGTAGAACATCCATACAATTGGCTAAGGAAAAGGGAGGTAATATTACCGATCCTATGAAAAAAATTCTATAAACTCTTAGTGATGATTAAGATGCAGAAGTCAAATACTAAGCAAAAAGCGCATTAGAATCATTGTGACTTACATAATGGTTAATAAATTATAAAATATAAAATCCATTAAATATCATTTATCAATCATAAATAGAAATTAAAATCAGATATCCTTAATTACATATATTGAAGGGTCTTTGGCTAGATTTGTTCTTATGAAGTCTTTCAGATTTTCAATACTTTGATTACATTACTTTAATAAATCCATAAATTCTTAATCGTTTTGATATTCGTCAGTGACCTTATCTAAGAATTCTTTAAATTAGAATTAAGACACATCGACCTACTCTGTTTTCATGATATAAGTCATTATACATTGATTGAGTGATTATTAATATTTATCTTTCCATAACTAATTAAGAAACTATAATTACAAGCACTCTGTCTTTGATATTGGTTTAAGGAGGGTTTTTAGCAAAGTCTGATTTCATTTCATCCAAATAAAATAAAATATCTCCTGTTAGCTTCTTAAAAAAAGAGCAGACTGAATCTCTATCGTAATTTGGTATTTGCATTATAATAATAATAAAATATTATATTTTTAAAATGAATTCTCAATATTAGTTGATTATAATAAAATTAAAGGCATCTATTGAGCTGCTTAGTAATAAAAAATGTTTATTTACATCTCCATTTGCTCATGCTTCATTCTAAATAGTTTTTAACTTAAATAATTGAGTGTTCTCTGAGTTTTTATACATAAAACCGATTTTTAAAAAACAATCTTGTTCAAGTAAACTCTTTGATTGTTTGAATAGAGGTTGGTTGTGTGTATCTCAAGGAAACAGACAAGTTATTCATATTATAATAAGGCAACAGAAAAAATTTCAGTACGAAAACGAACACTATTTTGTGTTCAATTATAAATGTAAATGGGCTAAGAATCAACATGAGGATGTTTATCAAACAGTATATCGATATTTGAAAAGATATTTATAACATATTGCCGGGATCTAAGATGAATTAATTATAAAAAAATTTTATTTCATACATAATTTTTTTTTTTTTGTATTCTCATTTGTATTTATATCAGATTATATTAATTCTGGTGTTTATCTAATGAAATTTAATATGTATTATTTTAACATTTAAAAGTATGCAAATAAGAAATTCTGATAATAATAAATATATTTTTCAATTTTTATACAAATTCAGAAAATGGAAAATTCAGCCCTCATCATCGTTGATGTATAAAATGATTTTTGTGAAGGAGGATCCCTTCCTGTTTAAAAATCCTCTGAAATCATTCCAAAGATAAATTAAGTCAGAAAATACTTCAAACATGTTATTTTTACTAAAGATTGGCATCCTGAAAATCATGTCTCTTTCAAAATAAACCACTCTAACTTAGATGAATTGAAGAAGGAGGTGGTTGACAATCTTTGGCCAGTTCATTGTGTACAAAACACATACGGTGCCGAATTACACAAAGACATCCAAACTGAAGAAGGTGACATTTTTGTTCTTAAAGGGACAAATTATAAATATGACAGCTACAGCGGCTTTGGATGCAAAGAAGACTAAACCAACTTACACTAAATTGTATTCTATAATTCTAATTAACTTAGCTTCAATCCTTAAATGTGGACACTATATATGTGGGTGGACTTGCGTTAGATTACTGTGTTCTCTTCACTGTCATTGATGCTCTCAAATTAGGATACAAGGTTAAGGTTTTGAAGGATTGTACTTAAGCAATAGACCCAGAAAATGCCAAAAGCAAAATCAACTAATATTTTGCTGAAATCCGTCGATAAGACAACTCAATTTTGGAGAATTCACTACGAATTTTCACTTCTTATGAAGTAGAAGAATGACTAATATACTTCTATATTATTATATACAAGATTAATCGCTTTTCCTATGGAATTTTATATTTAGTCAAATTTTAAGATAAAATTTTATTCTTAATATTATTTTCCCAATACTAATTATTAAGACGAATTTAGTTTAAATTGTTTAATTACTAAGAAGGGCAGAACTTGTAAAAATTGAAAAAACAATAATTTATTATAATTTTTAATCATTTTTTTGTCCTATTTTATTCTATATTCTCGATTTAAGTTATCAAATCCTACTTTTCTAAGATGACTCTTTATAATTATTCTTTATATGATAATAATAAAATAGATGTTCTTTATATTATGTTTTGGAGTTAAGATATTGTTTACTTATCTTTTTCTCTAAAAGACATTGCATTATATAAATCAAATGATTTTTTCTACGCTGAGTCCTTAGCCTGATTTCTCATTCTTGGTTTTATGCTGCTTGAAGTAGTAGAGGGTGTTCTCACATCAGGTTTAAACAACACCTAAGATTACTAACAATTTGGAGTATAACCATTCAGATATTATTAAGAAAAACTGTCTTAATATGATAGTTATTGCTAGGACTTTTAGGATACTAATCTGGAATAAGGACTAGATTTAAGCAGTTACTATAATCCTTGACTAATTGCTTATTTTTTATGGCTTTATTTCACTGCTATTGGAGTAATTAAATCAGCTTATGAATAATTGATTCTTCTATGTAAAATATTTGATATCTGTTTCCCAGTTTCCGGACTAATTGTTGATTTCCTCTGTTATTCTAGATATGGTTATTCTCCCTTTAGAACAGTATTCATTTTATTATAAATTATAATTAATTACATATGAATCAATAGTCGAGATTGGCAGGGGATTTTATCAATCAAAGAACCAATTTATTGGCTTAAAAACTGAGAGAATCAGGAGAGGATTCAAGGTAATAAAAAATAATGTAGAATTAGATTGGAAGAATATTTGAGATAAAAACTAATTGAATGCAGATGGAGAGATGATCTGAAAGATTACTGTAAGGAAGTCATAAGATAAAAAGGACTTGAAAAAATAACTATTGAAGAATTGACAGATATGTTATATGTTAGAGGATAAGCAACTATTCCAAATAAAGTGAAGGAAGACTTATTATCACGACTGAGACAATTCTTTGATGAGAATCAAATATGATATGTAAACTGGTCATTATAACATTTATTAAATAGAATTTTTCAATTCTAATCGTATATTGGTCACATAATCAGGAGTGATATTCTTAAAATTCCATTCTTGTTTCTACATTATACATTCTGTTAATCTCTGTATGATTGCAATTGAATATACTCCACAATCATAAGAATTAGTTTGTTTTGGCACTCCATTGAATTTAATAACTGATATGTTTTTGTTGATCAAAGTCTCGTCATTTTTTATTATTGCCAACATTTTTTTAGCAATCATTTCAGCACTGCTCTAAATATCAAAATTAAAGTGTCACTTATAAATCTGAATTCGATCCTGAATCGAAGAGATAAAATTAAGATTCATAAAATAACAGCACTCCCCAATGTGTACCATTAGGATTCTAACAATCATTTATTGCTGTAATAATGCCATCTCTTCCAACTAATTCTTATTATACAGACATTAAATCTTCAAAATCATTTTCAAATATAAGAAAAGTGGCAATAGAAGGATCAAGCACTGAAATTCCATTTGGTATTTCCTTGATCAAGTATTGAGTTCCAAAATATATGGCTTCAGCTGTTAGCCATGATTTGTTATTCAAAGAATCTATATCTCTTTGGTGCAATTAGGCATTCTTGAATTTCAATGGATAATGGTTTTGATTCATTGATTATTATTAAAATGGAATATAAAATTGTTGAAATAAATAAATTAGGATTTCGATATTAATTAATATGATTTCAAATAATTTAGAACAAAAATTAATTATCCTTTAAGGAAGGAGTAAAACTATCCAAAAATTCGAAGCTAGCTTATTACATTTAGAAATTATGCTCAAATAATTATTACTTGACTGCAGCTATCTATTCAAATATTATCAACATAAGAAGTTTAATTATCAGAGATTTAGGAAGTATAAAGTCATATTACTTGAGGTTAGTTGATATATAATATTAATTTTTATTTACTTATATTATAATTATTGAAGATATTTAGATTAACTATAGAAAATCAAAAGATAATTGTGATTTAAGATATACTTTTTTTATCTCATGATATAATGGCTATTATTTTCTAGAATTCTAATTAAGAAATTGATTAATATAATTAAAATAAAATGGTGGAAAATACTCGCCAAATACAGGTTTTTATGCATGTAGCTAAGTATAGCCGTTATATGATACTAAACCTTAAGGATATTAATTATTTTTAATTTGAATTGATTATTAATCTCACTAGTTATATTTTTTCAAGAGTACTTTTAAAATAATGAAACCGAACTTCTAATTTATTTTAAGGGCTCGTATTTTATAAAATCAAAATTTAATTTACCAAAGAACGATGTTATTGGACATCACATTAGGTCTAATTAATACGGATTTAGATTCTGTTATTGAAGGATGAAATTCTGTAATTAATAAATATTTTAGGTTTATAAGGGAGGAATTTATTTACATAGTTAAACTATAATATTGTTTTAGGTAGTTTTAGTAATAAATAGGAATAGGGAGTTCATAGAAGATCTTAAAAAATTTTAGTTACAATATTTCCGTAAGAATGTATTTGGTTGTTAATGTTGATTTTTTAATGAATTGATACTATTAATTATGGACAAATATGTTAATGACGATTTTGAATCAATTTATTTGAATTTTATTTTTTTGAATCATAATATGATTAATAAAATTAACTTGATTGTTTAATTGCCATTAATTCTTTAGAATAATCAAATAAAACTAATTTAAATAAAGGTTACAAAGACAAAATACAATAGAGGATAGAGAAATGCTCTAAAAAGAAATTTTATTTATGAATGATTACTTGAAAAAGACATCGCTTCCAATTTAAGTAACAAATTTGTGAATTAAGGAAAATTATTCCGAAACTCCTGTTTAAACCGAAAATAACGTCAGAAATTAAATTTTACTAAGGTGGTAAACAATAAAAATTGATATCATGACCTTTAAATTGATTATTTCCTATGAAATTTCGAAATATTAAAAAAAAATAAAATTTATTCAAAAATCAATATTATCTTACTCACAATATTTTGAATAATATATTCACTTATGGCATATAATCAATTCTACTGTGAAAAATTTCCAAAAATTCATGCAGGTAAAAATAATACATAAAGCTGACTATGAGAAGATAATTTTGAATTAATTAGAATATAGTTTAGGCTAGATTATATATCATTCTATAAGATGGTATTTTTGAGAGAATTTTAATTTAAAGTTCATAAATAATTGTTAAATTCTATAATGTTGATGACATTAGATTTAATAATTGAATATGGTTATTGAATATGAGTATAAATATTGTTTATCATAAAAATATTAAATATTAATATAAATATAATTTCAACAATTTATGGCTTAACCCACTCCAAGAATTATCAAAGAGACATAAAACTTAGCCAAAGATAAAGTGTAAGGAATTGATGTGACTCCAGATCCCCAAAATTTCAAACATTTCTTTGTCATAATATCAGGACCTCCTAATACACCATATGAAGGAGGTGTTTTTGATGTTGAATTGCTTTTACCTGATGATTATCCCATGGTAATATTACTTAAATTAAGTGATTAGTCCCCACCCAAATGTGTTTTCAATACTAAGATTTATCATCCAAATATTGATAATTTGGGAAGAATTTGCTTGGATGTATTAAAAGATAAATGGTCACCAGCATTATAAATCAGATCTATTTTGCTATCAATTTAGGTGTTGTTGAGCTCACCAAACCCAGTATGATTTGTCATAAATAAAATTAAGGACGACCCATTAAATAATGAAGCAGCTAATTTATGGAAATCTAATGAAGGCTAAGCTTTGATGAAGGCAAGAGAATACACATAAAAATATGCTAAAAAACATTGATTAGTATAATCTATTGAAAAACAAGTATATATTTAATTTCTTTTTTCTTATATATCGATTGGAGTGGCAAAATATATTTCGCATAGTTTAACATCAAATACTTATAATTTAAGTTGATTTTTCTAAGAATTTCATTTATTATTTAATTTAATAATTATGATTTCATAAAATTTTCTATAAACTGCTCTAACCAGATTTAGAATGGCGGCAAATAATGAGAGAGTAAATTCAATCCAAGTTGAAAACATTTTGCAAAGTTTAAATTATAATGAGTCATAGATACGCTCAATAGTCTCTTAAATCATATCTGAAATAGGTGAGATGATTTACTATATAGACATTAATTAGTTCCAATAATTGCTTCAACCAGTTGAGTAAGAAATTCCAATTGAAAAATTGACATCTGAATAACTTTATGTAATTCATGGAGAATTTAAGCAAGCTTTGCATGTGCAACACATTGAGAAAGTAAAGCAGATCTTAAGTACGCAATTCCTTCTAAATTCTTAGATAAATATTAAGCAGAGGTTGATTTAGTAAACAGAATAGATCCATAGACAAGACAAATATCTACATTTATAGCAATTTAAGGGTCAGATGAGGAAGTTTCATTACAATTACTAAGGCTATTATGTGAGTTGGGGGCAAATGTCAACTATAAGGATAATCTTAAATAATCGATCTTATTTTATGTTTGCAGAGACGGCAAAACTAAACTCTTTGACTATTTGATTTCTTAAGGAATAAATATCTCTGATCCTGATTCCTATGGTTAGACTCCATTGTTCTATGCATCAAGAGAGAATAGGGTCGATATAATTTAAAAGTAAAAATAAGGAATAACCTTTTTAGATTCATAAGATTGGGTGTTGATGTGGCTCATTTAGATACATTATCATGTTAAACGGCTTTATTTTATGCTGCAAGTAAAGGACACTTCGAAGCTTGTAAATTATTGATTGAAGTAAGATCACAATCTAATATTAAGGCTGGATGTCCAGTTAATCATTAAGATAATAAGAAAAAGACTGCCTTGTATTTTGCAAAGTAATCTTAGAAAAAGGAAGTGATTGATTTAATTACAGCAAGTATGACAAAACAAAAGGAAGATGTTCACTAAAAAAAGGAAGAGGTCGTTAAAGTAAATGATTAATAAAAGCAAAACAGAAAAAAATAAAAAGATGTGCCAAAATAATAATACAAAATTTTACATACTGATGATAAAGGACAACAAAGAGAATTAACAAACGAAGATTTTTCAAGGTTCCAAAGATAATATCCTGAAATTGCTTAATTAATTTTAAATGCTGATGATGTCATTGACGACAATTTGATAAACTAATGCAAAGAAGATGAAACTTGGGAGAAATTAGCCAAAAAGTTAATTGGTATGTACTAATAAAAATTTAGCTTAAATATGGAAGTCAAAAGGCGCTTACTTCTTCCATAAACCAGTTGATTAAAAAGAATATCATATTAGTGATTATTTTGAAATTGTTAAAAGACCCATGGATTTCGGAACAATCAAAGTAATAATCAACTTATATTCAGAATAAATTGAATGTAAATGCTTACAAATCCTGCAGAGAATTTCATACAGACATGTTATTAGTCTTTGATAATTGTGCCCTTTACAATGGTACATAAAGTGCTATTGGACAAATTGGAGTCAATATAAGAAATGAATACTTGAGCCTTAAAGATCAATTTGGATTAAGCAAATATTTATGATTCAATTTTGCATTTCCATAATTATTAAAATATAAACCCCAAAAACTTGATATCAATTATTTATATAAAGTAAGATAAATTGATTTATTATATTATTATATATAATACTCATCAACTAATGTATTTGTCAGCTTATTGCTCTAGCACTTTTGAACTTTATTTGGCATGTAAGAATAATTCATGAACTTCTTGAATATCTTGTCTTCCGATTTCCTCTCTTCCTGAAGTCTAAGCAAGTATGTTTGCTGGAGTGAGCAAAAGAATAGCGAATCTAGTTTTGAGATTAACCATATAGATACCTAAGAGATGCTTCATTTCCTATTTAACTGAGATCTTGTAAAGCTTCTTCGGAAATTTTTATTCCTTCCGTTTAAGCTCTTATGGCCAATATTTTGATAATATCTTCTAGATTGTAAGGAGTAGTTCTGATGATCAGCAATCTGAAATGATAATATTTAAATAATATATTACCTATCTAACAAATCAACGGGTAATCCATGAGGACTTACTATGTCTGTTCCTCTGATTTAAGATTGGCCTCTATTTGTAGCCAAAATAACAATTGGGGCTAAAGTAGACTCCAAAGCTCTATTTAAGAATGTAAAAGCCTCTATGTCAAGCATGTGACATTCATCTATAAATAGTACTCCTGGAACTAATTCAGCAACCCCTTGATCGATATATTTGCTCACAACTTTGTTGATTTCACCTCTCAACTTGTCAGTGATATCAGTTTTCTTTTTTTTATTCAATTGATTCATTAATGACACAAAGTCATGACCTCCTTATGGTTTAGCATTGGCTACATCCAAATCATGTAATGTAACATCTTAAACAATTTCTTTCTTTTTGTGGACATCACCTTTAGGCAAAGGAACATACTCTTCTGCTTCTAAATCATATTCACTATTGTAGATGTCACATCTGCCTACTCTTTTCACATTACCACTATTGGCTTCAATATAGATGACATCTCCAATGGTTACTTTTTCTCTTGTTAGGTTTTCATGGATTGAAGGATCTAGTTTCAATGTCTTTGATCCCTTAGATGTTTTTAGTGTAATTACTACAGCTGATACTACTTTGCCATATCTATGTTACCAATTAAATATTCTAATACCCAGTTTAATCATCTTTTTCCTCTGTTTTCAAATCTGTAACTTCACCCTCCCAAACTTCTTTAGTTTCCTTTATTCTTAAACCTATTGCTCTCCTAAAATTCTCCATTAGTATTTCTGTCTTTTTCACTTCAGCTGAATAAACCTCTGAACCCACCATTGGATAGAATGGAACTTTTGATCCTAATTCTTATGCCACCGCCAAAGCAATTGCAGTTTTTCCTGTTCCTGGAGGTCCAGCCATTAACAATGCTCTTCCTGCAAGCTTTTTAGATTTGACTAAATCGACAAATATTCCAGCAGCCTATAAATATTACTACTTTGTTATTACCTCTCTGGCAATTTATTACCCAACCATTCCAGATGAATTTTCTAGAGCTGTGCCATCCTCTGCTAATCCTAATCCTTTTATATGACTGTGATGTGCAATTCTTTGAGTTTTTGTTGTCGATTTCACTTCTTCTATCTACTATAGGTCTTAATTTGTACTTTCATCATGTTTTTAAAAATTAATTTATTTTTTAATTAATCTCTAATTAATTTAAGAGAATTCAAAAGGTCCCTAAAATTTTGGTCTGATATTTTATGATAGAAAACAAAAATTAGTAGAACATTATAACTTAATCCTAAAAAGATTATGACTGGAATTGAATTATGCCTTTCGTTATAAATCTTTAAGATTTAACTAAAAATAAAATAGAATTTTCACTATATAAAATTGATTACATTTTTATTACCTGGAGATGGATAAAAATGTGTGCATAGAAAAGATGGTGCACCATTATCGCTTATATTTGATGGACTACATAATAGAGAGATGATCACTATAGCAATTCCTACAATCATGAAAGTCAGGGAGTTAAGAATGAATTATTAAATTGACTCTTTGAATATATCCACGTTAAAATGGAGAATATAATAATAAAAAAGCATGAATGCATGAAGATAGTGTATCGTAATGAAGAATCTCAGTTATATATTAATTAAATTGCAAATTTGAATTAATTATATCAACTCACTAAAGGAAGGCTTCAGCTATTCTTTGAGCTTCAAGGTTGATGTCAGCATCGGAATCTAAATCCAATTAATTAAGTATTGTGTCAAAGCCTTTTGAAATGAAAGCTGAAATGGCCTTATTGACATCACTTTACGTATTTTGGCCAATTCGATAGGCAAAATTATATACAATATCTAAACAAGTCAAAACTATAGCTTTTGATGTCTTTAATTTCAGCTGATTCATAACAATATCAACAAAATTTCTACTCATTAATACATACTCAAGTAAATCTGTATTTTGTAATTATGAAAGAGATCTAATAACTTCCAGAATATCTTTGATAATTTCAGTTTCATTTTCATCCATTTCCATAATTTTAATTAAGTTGTGTTAAATTATAGTTTATAAGACTTCTATATTTTTATTGGAGCATAAATTAGTCAATCCCCATAATATTATTTTTTTGAATTCTCTCTATTTGTTTCTGCCTTGTTAAATATAGATTTATAAAAAGAAATCCAAGATTTTGAACTCATTCACCAACTACGCAGTTATTTCATCATCTGCCAAAGCAAATGATGCTATAATTTCAATTGTCAACAATTACACATCTTCATCATCACTTATCAACTGCAAATTCATTAAATTGTTAAAGACCTTGAGTTCTTTGAGGATCATCGAATATACTTCTTCTTTGGCTTAACACATGTATTTTAGAGTCATTAATGAATATGATCTTATTTCCTTATCATTTTAATCAATACATTCTAATACGATTGGCACAACCTCTTTTACCTTTATTAATTAAATAAAATATACTTCACCCAAAGTAAAACCAGCCACATTGTTTGGGTCATACTTAAAAAAATTGCTCAAGAACCAACAGAAATCTTTTATATTTTCAACCTAATTATAAATAATTAAATAATACTTCGAAGTGAATTAGTTTCTATATCCACAATTTTCTGATAAAAGAGCAAAATCTATAATCTGCCAGTTATCTAGCTTTGACTCCATTATCCATACCAACTAGATTGGCTAATAAAAAGAATATTAGAGATTGAATCTTTTATGAAGCCATTTGTAATAAGTCGAACAATTTTCTCATAATAGATTCATTTTGTAAAAATTTCAAATCATCAAACACATTATAGAAATGCAAATCTGCAAATATAAAAAGCAACTTTTAAATGATACTGTAATCTAATTCTTGCTTATTCCAAATATTTAACAATAATGGATATATTTCATGTTTATTAATTAATGCTAAGTTAAACTAAAAATAAGTTAACTCCTAATTACTTCAGCATTTGAGGTCTTTACGTAATTTATAATTTCATCTAAAGTTTCCTCATAATTTTAGTTCACTAAATTCTTGTACCAAAGATGTACTTTTTCATCAGTCAACTCAGTTTGCTCATTATTAGTTAGCATTCTTCTTTTTTGCCTAAAAAGCTCTTCAGTTGCCTTCCTCCTTATTTCAACTCTAAAGTTGTCCCTTTTCTATTTTAATAAGTCTTCTAAGAGTTCCGCCATTTAGTTTTCAATTAATTATAATTATGAAAAATTAAAAATGAATTCCGAATCAAAAAAACCATCTCATTCTGTTTTTCATAATGTTAACTAAATCATTAGATTCTCCCAAGTCTTCTCTGATCTACTGAGTCTTCCTGATCGAATTATCTAAAATTATTGATTATGAGTGTAAATTAATAGATATTTAGTTTGCTTATTATTCAGCCAGATAACCAGTTTTTTTGGCTGCTTCTTATTCTAGAGTTTGTCGAATTAAGCGATCATCTTATTTTAATAAGGCTTTATTGATTTATATATCATTAAACAATCTGTCTCTGCTGGAATCCTCTTATTGGTCTAATTAGAATTGTTTAAAATCCTTTTTAACTTTAGCCATATCTCTTTTATATTATTTTATTGTCTCCATTAATTCTTTTTTATAACTACCAGGGAAAGTCGAAGCTTCTAACTCCATAAATTTTATCTGAAAAAGATAGATTGAAATTAGCTTACACATTATTCTATTTATTGAAGTTCATCACAAACTTTGGAGAACCTTTTATCAGTGTCATCTTTTCTGTCTTTACTTATTTTAAGGACCTCATATGTGACTGATTCCATGTGAACCTTATAGTCTTACTCATAGCTTCTGAACATTTCTGATACAGTAATTTTTGAATGCATATAATATAAAATATTTATTTATTAATTACATTACTTAGTATTAAAGATGAATTAATAATATTCACTATTAGATATTAATCAATTGGATTACAAACTAAAACCCCCTTCAAATTGGTGCAGAAATCAAGAAAAGATGATTTGAGAAGACCACCCAAATCCAATCAATAAAAATATTATTAAATAAATAAAAAATGATTATATTGATTTAGTCCAAATTCAGATAATCTATATTACTTGCACCATCTCACTACAGTATTCAGCTATAGTGAATGATATGGGAACGCAACTTAATGTTTTTTGTAAGTCAATTCAAACTGAGCATTAAGAATTGGACAAGTATATCAGCAAATGAATGTAAAAATAAATATTAATTGAAAGATTCAACGATTTTCTTGAAAAAAATAATGTAAAAAACCCTTCATTTTTTTGGTAAGAGAAATCTCTTTAATTTAAAGGCCATCTATTTAAATCAAGATCATAATTTTATTTGATAGACCTTAATATCTTTAGAATAAATTTGTTATTTATGATATGTGCAAATTTAAGTTTAAAAAATCCTAAAATTCAGTAGAAATAATATTAGTAGTTGTGATAATTTAATTATTTAAATATTAGCTGTTGATTCACATTAGTTAGATAAGTTCATACTTATTTCTAAGTTATCTAATGTAAATCAATTGATTCAGATATAGGAATTCACTTAAATAATTTTAAATATATAAAGATTCATTCGATGAGATGATTTTCTTTAATGCTTAGCTCAAGTTGTAAAAATGTCTACTAATTCTGATTAGCTAAATATTATAAATCAGGAAGTTCAATTGCCTTAGACGGTTGTTTAAAGGTAAGGTGGATAAATATAGAATTTTTTCAGTTTTGATTATTTTTAATTCCGATTTAATGGTATTTTGATTTCAATAAGAATGATTTTAGGATAATAATAATTTATTAATTTATAATTAATATTAGTTAGATGTTATCAAAAAGGAAAGTTTCTTAATAAAATCAGGAGGAGTCATCAAATTCAATAGAAAATTTATGCAACAAAATACGTAAGGTGATAGTTAGTGAAGTAGGGGAAAAATACATACAAAATACTTCAGATAAGGGTCTAAAGAAAAAAAGAACCAAATAAAAAAGTAAAATTTAGGATAATCAATAACATGTTGAGTAAATGGAAAATGAAGCAGTTGAAGTTGAGGAATAGTTATCTTCAATAAAAGCAATTTCTGAATCCCAATCTTGGGTATTCGAAGAACTATTTGATGAAATAAATAAGCTTAATGTACTTTAAGATATTGAATGAACTTCTTTCATAAAATAATGATTAAATTTTTAATTTTAATACTTGGGTTAGTTTTTGCTGGGACTCCTTACAATCAGAAGAAAGTGCTAGTGCTATCTGATAATCCAGCAATTTATGTTTCACATTCACAATTTTTTAATTTGTTGAGTAAATCCTTCAGAGTGGATTATAAAAACATCCAATCAAATACTTTCAATTTGTAGTTGTTTGGAGAATGGCAATACGATCACCTTATACTATTTAGCACTACAAATGACTTGAAAGTCAGCACCTAAGAATTATTGGACTTTTACGACTCTGGTAGAAATATTTTATTATTGGGATCAACTGACCAATCTAAGTATTTCAGAAAGTTCTTAAATAGTTTTGGTTTAGACATGCATGAATACGTAATATCAAAAGGCTATTGTAGGGCTCTTCTGTAGTGGATTATTTCAATAACATCAAAGGGAATCAAAATGTTGTTACCACCAGCAATGTGAATATTCTTAAAGTAGATAAGCCCATAGCCCATTAAGGAGCAGGATTAGCAATGACCCCATATGAAACATTTCAGGTGTATGGTTTAGTGAGAGGGTCAGAAACAGCCTTTTCAGGTCCTAATCTTAGTCATAACATTATTTATGTTGGAGCAACTTAAGGGCGAAACAATGCAAGATTTGTGGCAACAGGATCTTGGGAAATATTGAGTGATGAATTTTTGAACAATTCCAATTTGGGGAACTTTGAATTGGCTTAGGAAATCATTCTATGGGGTTTTGGATAATCGAAGATTTTAAAGGCAGAAAATCTAATTCATAGAAGATTAGATTCTGATGACATCAAACCTTATAACTATAGATTGAGAGAGGATTGCTATTTCTCAATTGACATCTTTGAATGGGATTATTAGAAGGATTAGTGGGTACCTTATGTTTCCACAGACAATGATGTCATTTTAGAATTCGTAATGTTAGACCCATATTACAGACTTCCCTTGAAAAAAGGAGATGGAGCAAAGTATGAATTGCAGTTTAAAGTAAATTTTGAATCTATAATTATTAGATACCAGATGTCTATGGTGTATTTTAATTTAAAATAAATTATTTAAAACCTGGATATACATTTTTAAAAATAGCCGAAAAAATAACTGTGCGACCGTTTAGACATGATGAATATGGAAGATATTTGGTCTAGGCCTTTCCGTATTATTTTTCTAGTTTTGGAACGATGGCTGGATTTGTTGTATTTCTAATTGCATTTTTATTAAATAAATGATATTAATTAAATTTCAAATAAAAAATACATGTCAAGCGAAGACGAAGTAATCTAGATTTAAATATTTATACTAGAGAATGAAGCAATTGCAATTACTTCCCATTAGAAATTATTTGGATTAAACTGTCGTTCCAGTCCTACTTTAAGCAATGACTGAAGTCGCTAAAGTGAGGTGAGTTAGTATAATATAATAAAGACCTCCTAACCCCATTGAATTCATTGCTAACTATTTGATGTAGAATAATCCAGAAAAAGCGTAGGCCAGATAATAATGAGGGTTTGCGAACTGAAACTGATTATTATATAAAAAAAATAAACATACTGAAAGATTTTATCACTATAATAAATATGAAACTTCACTTAATGATATCATCATATCCTACTTTGCAATATTACACTCTTGTAAATCCATTGGCAACCAATAATGTATGAGCTATCTTTGCTCTTTATCCAGTTCCACAATATATGCTAATATCTCTTAACTTATCTAATTTCTCTAAATTTTAAGGTAATTCACTAAGAGTGATTAATTGTGCATGTTTCAGAATACCTCTACCCCATTCTTCTTTGGTTCTAACATCAACAATTTATGCAAGTTTGCTCCTCTTTAGGAAATCTTACACCTCTAACTCTGTTGGTTTGCTGATAGAATTTCCAGCTGCCTTCCAATCCTCGAAATGTAAATAACCAACAATATTGTCATAACCAATTCTAGAAAGTCTCATGATAGTTTATTCTTCAGATCCAGGCTCACATACAATAACGATTTCTCTGTCATGAGGTAGGAGTGTGCCAACCCAAGTAGCAAATGGAATCTAAAGAGGCACATTGATTGATCCAGGAATGAAGCCATCGGATATAGAATTTCTAGAATCAATTATTTGTATTCCTTATTTTGAGACTACTTTTGCTGGAGTCAATTTAGTGTTTGCTTTCTTTAATATCAAGTTTAGGTCTTAGAATTGATTAGTTTTGTTTAAGCCTGCATTATAGAAAAAGTATTATGGGGGCTTCGGCAAATCACTAGCCACTAATTATACAAAGGTCTCTTAGTCCATCTCTTGTAAAGCGTAATTGTTCTTCTTTTGAGTACCGATATTGCAACTATAACCAGCTGAGATGTTCTTGCCACAAGCTGAACCTGCTCCATGACCAGGGAATACTATAACCTCGTCGGGAAGTCCCAATATTTTTTATCTAAGTGAAGCATAGAGCATTGAGGCTAAATCAAATTGGGTGACATCGCTTTTGACTGCCAAATCGGGTCTACCTACTTCACCTAAAAACAATGTATCTCCTGTGTAGATGCTAAATACTTGGGGAATTACAATACCTGTGCTATTTGCCTTCTTCATCATACAATAAAAAGCAGGTTGACTCTTGGGTGTGTCCTGGAGTATGTAGAGCTTGGATCTTGACTTTCCCGAGATTCAGAAATTCGTTGTCATTCAAAACTTTGTTGATGAATGGAGCAGTAGCCTTTGGACCCATGATTATCTATGCATCTGTTTCTCTCTATAAACTCAGATGTCCAGCTATGAAATCTGCATGGAAATGTGTTAATAAGACATATTTTATTTTTGCTCCTCTCTCTTTTGCAATGTTGCTAAAATTATATAAAGCGAATTTACAGATATGGTTGGATGTCTCTAAGAGGATCGATGATGATGGCCTCTTTGTTTGATTCAATGTAATAAGCATACTCAGCCAAGCATCCTGTAAATATTTGCTATTGATAAAATCCTTTGCCCAAAGTTTCACTTTGCTTTAGCTAAACTTCCTTGGAGAAATGAAAGAGTGTCCTATTGAATTTTTGCAGTATTTTAATCATATTTTAAAAATATCCAATTATTGATTAATGTCCTTTAAAAATCATAATAAATTAAGATACACAATGGCCACACTAAGATGTTCAGAAAATTAATATTATAATAATTATTCATACTTCACCATAATTAATTAAATAATAATTAATTTATGTTTAATAGTGTAAGAAGGTACTTGTTTAGCACAGGTTCTTTGTTTACTTGGGGCTAATCTAACGGGAGTTTGGGTTATGCAGTAGGAAGTCAACAACAAGTGAAAGGAGTTTAGATGCCATAATTAGTCAATGGATTCAATAATAATGTAGCATAAGTCTAAATGGGTTAAAACCACTCAGCTTTAATCACAAGCGATGGAGAGCTCTACACATGGGGAGCTGGTAATAGCGGCTAATTGGGACACAATAATGGTATTGATCTGATTGCAAATTAGATAAGGATTATAATACACCTCAATTGGTTGAATTCTTTACAAAGCATAATCTTAAAGTGAAATAAGTTGCACTGGGGGATTATCATACAGTTGCTTTAACTCAAGATGGAGATGTCTGGACTTGGGGATATGGAGGCAAAGAGTAAAACTTCTTGATGGATTTATTATTTTTATAAGTCGGAGCCTTAGGTCATGGCGATTCGAAAAATAGATATACACCTACCCCAGTCAAGGCATTAAGATCACTCAAGAAAATCAAATACATCCAATCGGGATTGAGATTCACAAATGCCATCAATGAAAACAACGAGTTATATGTGTGGGGCAAAGGTGATTACGGTGTCTTTGGAGATGGAAATAATAAGTCTTTCAATATTCCATAAAGAAACGAGTTCTTTGAGGGTTACCTAAAGAAAGAATTAAATCTTTCCATTCTTAAATTAAAGTCTTGCAATAATTATTCTGTGGCTTTGATGAGCGATGGAAATCTCTACGGATGGGGAAGCAATGATTTTGGACAAATGGGTATCAAGAATGAGATTGGAGTTGAAATTTACGAGACAGCCAATTTTCCAACATAGGTAGTGAGAGAAAAGTTTGGAGATAACAAGATTGTAGATTTTGTTGTTGCAGAAGATCTCGTGGCAGTACTCCTAGATAATAATGAAGTCTATTGGTCTGGCAGCAAAGCGGAATATTCTCCAGTTAGGTAAATTCATATTTAATTTATTCAGATTTCCTCTGCCTAGTGGAATTGGCAAAATCACCAATATAGGATGTTGTTATAGATGCATCGTTGTTGCAACAGAGGATGGAAAGCTTTATTACAGAAAGAAGTTCTTTGGGGATGGAGTTGAGGATCTTTCAACTGGAATTATCACCAACGATGTTGCTACTGTGTTTTAAAATCAAAATGCTAAAGTCCTTGAATTTGGAGGAGCATATCGTAATCGCTATGCCATTGTCTAAATTTGATCCATTATTTTATTAATAATACAATAGATATTGTTAAAATGTAGACATTTCTTCCAGATTGAAACTTTATAGTTGACAATAACTATATATAGAATTTCAAAATATCGTGTATTTCTCTTTTATTATTTATGCTCCGCAGTATGTACAAAATATTCGTTTATCTCTGAATTTGTTTGTTGTCATTGCAATTAGACCAGGCACGATGAAACAGAGGAATAATAAGAAGTAACAAAGGTTGGTCATTTCACTTTTCGTATACAACTCTTCCCCCTCTGTGTCCTTATTACAAAACTTACAATAATAAAAGAGATTTCTCCTTAACATCCTATTTATTTTAATTTTATATTTAATCATCTTGATTATTTATTCAAGTAATAAACACTATCTTTAACAACAAGACAATAAATTAGTATTAAAGTTGTTTATAAATACGGGAATAATAAATATTAAAATTAACGAATTACTGTTAGTTATGGATTTTGCATAAACCGAAGAAAGATATTAAAAATTAGAAAAAATAGGAGAAGGCACTTACGGACTAGTTTATAAAGCAAGGGATAATCAAACTGGTGAAATCGTGGCTCTAAAAAAAATCAGAATGGATCATGAGGATGAAGGTGTTCCATCAACGGCGATTAGAGAAATTTCATTATTGAAAGAGGTAATAATCAATTAAACATAATAGGTTCAACATCCAAACATTGTTCCCTTAAAAGACGTAGTTTATGACGAATCAAGATTATATTTAATCTTTGATTTCGTAGATTTGGATCTGAAGAAATATATGGAAAGCGTGCCTTAGTTAGATAGAATGTAAGTGAAGAAGTTCATCTACCAAATGTTGCAAGCCCTGAATTATTGTCATCAAAACAGAGTCATTCACAGAGACCTAAAACCATAGAACATATTAGTAGATATCAAATAACAAAATACTTAAATTGCAGACTTCGGATTAGCCAGAGCATTTGGTTTACCACTTAAAACCTATACTCACGAAGTCATTACCTTGTGGTACAGAGCCCCTGAGATTTTGCTAGGGTAACGATAATACTCGACTCCAGTCGACATCTGGTCATTAGGATGCATCTTTGCTGAAATGGCTCAAAAGAGACCCTTATTTTGTGGAGATTCAGAAATCGATTAGTTATTTAAGATATTTAAGATTATGGGCACTCCTAAAGAATCTACTTGGCCTGGTGTCAGCACTTTACCAGACTTTAAAAGTACTTTCCCAAGATGGCCAACTCCCACTAATTCGGCTGCTACTTTAGGCAAGGACATCAATAATTTATGTCCCTTGGGTTTAGATCTCCTTTCAAAGATGATTGTTTATGACCCTTATGCTAGAATCACTGCTGAGGAAGCCTTAAAACATGCTTATTTTGATGATTTAAATAACTGATATCACATTTATACTAAATTATAAACAATTAGATTTCAATTCTTTCAAATCCAATAAGTAGATTTAGTTTTTAGTCAAAATGCTAAATCAATATGATAATCATTTAGTTTCATACCTTTTCTTTTCTGGTTGAAATTTTCTATTGCAGAAATTAGAAATTATGAAATAAATTTATTACACTTTTATAATAAATGTTACCTAAAGAGACAATCATAGAAGTAAGTTATGTTGATTAAGTTGCTAGTAAGCTAAAATTATTATACTTCAGAAAAAGCCCAATTTAAATATTGAAAAGTTCATGAAATTGGATTTTAGTTTGCTTTGTTGGTAAACAGTAGTAATCAAGCTTACTATCCACTAATTCGAAGATGGCTTGAGTATTACTATTATTAACTAAAGGATAATATATTGGATCGTATATTACTTTGGTAGAAGGGAAAGCAAAACTGTAAAGAATATAGATTGAAAATCAATAAGTAATATAAGAATTAGAACTTTTGACAGATTAACCATTCTATTATGGTCTAGAGTATTTGGCAAACGATAAGGAATTTTATTAGATCTTGGCATAGTCTCATTGTACTCTAACCATAATTAAGGATGTTCGTATACAATAGATAATAAGTATAGTAAATTTTATTTAATCAAGAAAATTATTATAGTTTATGCGAATATTAAGTGCTAGAATCCTTGAGCAAAGTTTATTTTTTGTAACAAGAACCATCAGTTCTTATATCAATGCTGATCCATGAATCATCTCGAATAAAATTATAAAAGGCACAACCAGTATACAAAATTGGTGACTCTGTAAAAGGATTCTATTTGGTACTAGAAGGGGAGATATGCCTTAAGAAATTAGTAGAAATGCAGACACAATCCCAGGATGAAATATCAAATTCAAAAAAGTCTCGAAAGAAATTAGTCATTCAAAATATTCTATCCAAGGATCAATAATTTGGGGAAATGGAATTGTTTACCAGAGTCACCCATAGAAATGAATTAGCGGAATGCTATTCATTGGAATGCGATCTTTTATTTGTGCCAACTCATTCATTAGTGGAAGCATATTAAACTAAATTATAAGATCCTCATTTCTCATTAGAAAAGCTGTTTGAGCAATTTCAAGAATACATCAACTTAAAGAATTCCAAGTAGAGTGAAGCAATAACTAAATACATTCAAGTTAATAAACCTCGAGTTCCACCGAAACCAGAAATGAAACCCACTTATCCTTTATTTATGAATTTACAACCGATTCAAAATTTAAAGAACCCAGCTGAAAAAGCTTAACCTTCTCTTTAAATAATAAGAACTAGTTCAATGTACACATAATCTTAATCTCAAATAAAGAAGGTAAATAAATAACCTGAAAGTGTTTTTGTTAACTATTCATTGGCTAAATTAAATAGACAGGATGGGTTGATGACTGTATCTTAATATATTGAAAACATCAAATTACAATAAAGTGGCAAGTCTGGAATAAGTGCTTATTAATAAAAGAAAAAGCTAAAATAGAATGCGTTATCAGTGGTCACTGAAGATCAATAAAAATTAATAGACTATGTGAGACAATTGACTCCATTGTATATATCGAAAAAAAGGAATAGTGTTGGCCTGAGAAAAAGTCTACCTACTTCAATTTATTAATCTGCAGGCAAACAAAGTTACATGATGTTAAAACCAGATTTTAGTAAGATATGAATTCAATATATATATAATAATATTCATAATGGTCACAAAGTTTCTAAGGGTAATCCATGTTACCTCTCTAGGTAATCCATTATGGGAGTTGTAAGTAGGGCTTAAAATAAGAATTAGCAAAATCTCATTTGCCAACCAGCATAAAAGCCAGATATGCCTTTCTCTTGATAGACTTTTTTAAATGCATTCCAAATAGTGAGATTTTTAAATTACTGATTGTTTTCCATCTAAAATTAGGTTTTTATTGCATCGAAAGGTTGAACTATTAGGATGTTTGGAATAGCAGTTAGAACAGAGCAAAATATAATTTGCTCAATTCTAAGTTGGGATTAAGGATGTTGTTTAAAGTAATATCTTACTTTATGATCCCAATATAAATAATTTGTCCAAGAAACAACTTATTTCAGCATCATTATTTCCATCCCTGTGAATAGATCTCTGGTAAATCCCTTCAAACCTCCGTCATGCTACCACATATACTTGAGAACTAACTCATAAATGATCGTCCTACCAGATTTTGACTCAGTTTGAGTCATCAATTAACATTTCACTCTTTCGAATGGACAGGTTATAAAGGATTCAAACAATGCAATTGTTACTCCTGTTAAAGCTTTATGCAAAGTTGGAGCTCTGTCCATAATTGGCTGAGGTAGTTACTCCTTAAAGAATTTTGGTATGAAGATCATCATTGGCCATCTAGATATTGTTTACAATTTGAACCTATAATACTATTTAAATATTTAAATAGTGATTTGCGAAGAGAACCCAGCAAATATGCCACGAAAGATTCCATTCCTTCTGTAACTCTCGAGAAACAACTGCTTTCAAGATTGAATTCATACCTATCTGAAACTATTATTCTATTATGCTTGGATTAGAGTCTTAAAGCGATCAAAAATATGATCCATTGGTAAACCTATGACAGCACGTGACATCCCCACTAGTTAAGTTTCAAACACGGGCTTTAAAATTTCTTTGCCTTTGTAAATCCATTATGTTGTTTCAGACATATTATTTACATCATTTAATCCCATTAAAATTACAGCATAAGTTCATCGAAGTGCGCACTAAATCTGTTAATCATGAAAGAACTAATAAATTAAATGTAAATTATGATGCAATATTTTAATTACAAATTATATTATTATAATTATAAATTATGGGCAAAAATATTGAATAAGAAGAATTGGAAAACAATAAGACAAAAGAGCAGGTTTTAACAATCAAAAAGAACAGAATCACTAAAATTGCCAAATCCATAAGAAAACTTGTTGTTTTAGACTAAAAACAAATCAAAAAGGCAATAAATGCTTTATTGAAATACAGAGAATCCACTGCCACTGACAACATCCTAGACATTAAAGATGATTTTATCTATCTAGAAATTGTATTAAACAAACTGCCAATCAATTATTCATTGAGACCTGTTTAGATGTAAAACCTATGATCTATTTCAATTAGTAAATTACCAAATGCCATCTACAATTAGGAGATGAATTCCAAATTTTGTATAATCAGTACAAATCCCCAAAGATAATTCAAAGACTAAATTTCTGATTTCGATATACCACTGATCTAAAAAGTAATTGGTTATGGTAAATTGAATAAAAAATATCCAACTTATACAGACAAAAGAAAGCTCTTTTATGAATACGATTAATTCTTTTGTGATCAAAGAATATATGGAAATCTAGCAAAGGGATTAGGAAAGGTCTTCTATTACAGAAAAAAGTAATTGAATTTCCATATTTAGAATACCATTTCCCATCAATTGCGAGAACATCACCTAAGAAACATTGAATGATTTATCCAACTACACTTATTTTATCTAAGGAAACGGCCCTGTATAGTAAATAAACATAATATATGTTAGTACTCTTAAAATTGGCAGAGTTGCATAGACTCCAGATTAAATCACATAAAATGTTTTGGCAGCTGCTTATGAAGTCTTACCTTAAATTTTATAAGAAAAAGGAATGAGCTTAAGTTGCTTAAGATAATTAAATGTCAAGTTGTCAAGTTCAATATCCTTGCCATTCTTTTCAAGACTTAGTGTTAGAGAGATAGAAGCATGGAAAAATCAATGATAATTTTTTTATTTATGTTAAATAAACATTAAGTATATTTAGGAGATAAACAAGAGGTTAACAAGGAAATCTAAAAACTATCTCAATCATCAAAGGCATAATAATTAGTTTCATCTAATTTAATAGAGGATCCATCATTATATGATTATGATGGATTTGTCTCAAAAAAGAACAAAAGCGAAAAAGCAATTGTTATACAAAAGCAGACTGAAGACAAAAAATAAAAGCAGCCACAATTCTTAAATTCTATACTTGAATAATCAAAAAGAAGAGAATTTGAAAGAGAGGCAATAAAATCTAGAATGAATGCTAAAGAAGTTATTAAATCAGGAAAAGAAGTCTACATTTCTGAATCGTATTAAATTATGTTATTCTTAGATTTAAAAAGCAACATGAACAAATTAAGAGATTTGAGCAAATTGAATAAATTTAAGAGAAAATAAATGATGAAAGTAGGAAGAGAAGCAACCTAGGAATTTACAAATCTCTGTATGAAAGTGAAACTTAAAAGGGATAACACTCAAAAACATAGGAAGCCTAAGTTGATTCGTATAAGATAATAGAGAATATTTTAATAGGGAATGAGAAATAGAAAAATAATTCTTAAGCTATTGCTAAGCAATAAGAAGATCTGTAAGACAAGTCAGAAAAAGAAGAGATATAGGAAAACAAGGAACCCATCAATAATGAATTGAAAAATGCTCAAATTTCTAAGTCTAGATCAAGATCCAGATCAAAATCAATTAAAGAGTCAAAGCAATAAGAAAATGAGGCTTTGACAAAAGAGGATAAACTCAAATAATACAAGGAACGTTACTTATAAAGAAAATAATTATGAGATTTACATATATAAATTTAATTTATTAAATATAGTGATGTCTTAATAGCAAGATCAGCCAAGTGCTAAGAAACGTATCAGAAGATGTACAAAACATGATCAAGATCCACGACCATATAAATGTGGTTGTGGACGTGGCTATTATAGTTATCCAGCATTATATACTCACTTGAAGTATTTAATTTTTCGATGTCAGAATTAAACATGAAGGCCAACCTCCTACTGGCACATAGATACCAAGTGATAAGCATTATGGTAGTAGAGGAAGACCGAGAGAAAAGAATACAAAATGTGATGAAGAAAGCAAGCATCAAGTGTTTATTGATGAAGAAAAAAGGGAAGATAATAAGAAGGATGAAAAAATTACACCAAATTAATGAAATCTGAAGAGAGCATTGGACTTTTTTCTTTATTAATAATTTATATCTAATACTTAAAATTACTGCTTTCTACCGGAGAATTTTCATCAAATTCAATCACTTTCAGCACGCTGAACATTAAAAAATTACTTATTATGTTGAATTTAGATTACCTATAAAATTTGTAAGCTAAAGCACAGAAAATCTAAAACCCATACACCTGGAGGAGTGAAATTTAATATAATAGACATATAACATTTTTATAAAGACGCTATCATTGGATTAGAAAAGAATAAAAAAGAACTTTGGCAGAACCCTTTATAATGAGGTGAATGTAAATTTACAAAGTTCCTTAGAAAGTATCAAAGTTAATTGTTGAAGAAAAGAGGAGGAGTTACTAAAGGTCATGCTGCGTAATTTTACATAGTGTATGACTTAAGGGGAGATAATTGTGATGCTATAAAGTTGCTTAATGAGGTATATATTCATTTGACAGTAATTCTTCACAGTTCATTTTAGAGGAAAATATGAATTTAGCCAATTAAATAAAATTAAATGATTTTTACTTAAGAAAATTATCAATAAAGTGCGGATGGATTTTAATTAAACAGAATATGAATATGGAAGCGAAGTATTGAGAAAAGATCTTAAAACATCAAAAACAATATAGAATTATTCATATCAACAAGAATTTAGATTTTTATTGATTCCTTTGAAGCAATTATACTTTTAACTTATTTCTTATAGTTCTTAATGATTTATAATTTAAATCTCTAAAAATTTTGGCTAAATGATTTCGTTCGGTTTTCCTCATATTGAATAATGGAAATCATTAATTTTCTGTCAAAATTATTTAAGTTTATACGTTAAAATGCTCTTTATTTATATTTAAAGCAACAATCTTATCATAATTTCTACCTAACCTCTGATTTATACAATCTTAAGTTTAAGTGTATTTGCACAAATACCTATAATTAATCAATTTATTTATTAATATGAATTAATCTGATGAGGCTGAGGTAATTTCAAATATTATTAGAGATAACTCTTTAAGTGTGTGATCCAAAGATAATTTCAGGAATAAATAAATACATCGTTTACACTATAAAAGGAATGGATAAAAATGGATAATTTGACATTTAGAGAAGATTTAGCGACTTTAAGACTATTAGATAATTTCTTTTGACTAAATGGCCCGGGTGCTATATACCACCTGTTCCACCAAAAAAAGCGTTTGTATTAGATTATTTCAAAACTCTTTAGGGTAATATGGAATAGTAATTTATTGATGAGAGAAGGGAGATGTTAGAAGATTTTTTAAAGAGAATAGCAACTCTTAAGTTTTTATGGTATTCAGAAGAGTTTTAAATTTTCTTGAAAACTCCTGGCGAGATTGAAAAAGTAATTTTTGACCTCATAAAAGGCTTTGTTATCTATTCCTAAAGTAACAAATGATGAGATTATCAATAAATATCAAGATACATTTTCAGAATTATCAGGAGTAAACTATAAATAATTAATCTTGTTAGAGGGAAATTAATAGAGAGATTATTTAGAAAATAAATGATTTTAAAGCATTCATTAAAAAAGTCTAGCCAATGGTCTAAAATTTTAAGTAAATTGCAAAAAATATCGCAGAAGCCAAACAATCTCATTAAATCATTTTAATTGATTTCATAATAAGAGGTATTCCTTAATATGAAAATACTCTTTTATTGGAATACGTAGAATAAAAAGAAAAACTTCCTTTTACTAATATAATATAAAATGAAGAAGTTAAAGAGTTGATCGATTAATATGTAATTTTTGTGGTATATTTTAGTGTGAATTATTAAAGGATCCTAAGTTGAATCAACTATATTAAGAAGTAAGAAAGGAAGGAAAATAGTTGAAGGTAATTTAAGTATAATAAACAAAGGCGTTTCTGGAAACATTTTCAGAACGAGAGAAGTATGAGTATTAAAAGGCAAATGCAGAATCGCGTTAAAAAGAACTAGAGTTGGCATTATAAGAGGTTTTAGCTGGCAAGACTACTATCAGAACCTTATTTAGCAAAGGGAAAAAGGATGACAATATTGCTAAGCTATAATATCAAATTACTGAGGTAGGAAAGGAAATAGAAAGTTATCAATTCATTTGTGACATCCTTACTGTACTAGTTGGGTATGTAGAGATTGATAAGTTTAAAGTTGAAAAGTAGTATCAATATTATAGCATGATAAAGAATATTATTTCTTATTAAAGCAGGTTTTCAGAAATTGAGGAAAAGTTATGGAGCAAAGTATTGGAAAGTGAATATCTGTAATAATAATAATAATGACATAATCACATTTATTATTAGCCTATTAGGCGATATGACTATTATTTTATTGTTTCTAAACGTAAGGAGCTTTCCTAATACATTTATTATGTGACTTTGATTCTTTCTAGTAATTATTGCTCTAATTTTTCTAATTATTCTAATTCATCTTGTTTCGACATTGTGGCTTGGAATTCGTCTTCGACTTTTTTTTGATAATTTTTCTAAGCAAAAACTTATTTATCTAGCAAAAACTTTTATATTTTCTCTGTTTAGATTTATTCCATTTTTTTGATTCTTTAATAAGATCTCTAATTTTCAGCTTCTACTTGTCTTATAGTTCTATGGAAGTCTTATTAGATTCTGGTTTTAAATTCTCTAGTCTAAAGAATCCTCTATTAAACACTTAAAATAGATTTGTATAATACATTTTTCCTTATCTCCCTTTGCTTTAATCTATAATTTATAAATGTAATTCTCTTTGCTTTTATATCTCTATTTTTCTTTTTTCAATTTGCTCTCTCTATATGCGAGCATACCTATCCTTTTGAGTCTCCTTTTCAAATTTGTTTTATTTACAAATGATGATTTTTTGTGTATTTTTTTCAAGGCTTTTAGTCTGATTATAAAAATTAGTTTACTTTCAAAATGTTTCTTTGTTCAGTTAGTTGCAATAACTGAACTCTAGCACGTATTTTTTATATGTTATCATCTAACAATTTATTTGTTTAATGAACTTCTGGATATCTTTAATTTATTAATTCTGCATTTAACTCATAAAGTTCTGATTATTTCTATTCATTAATATTATTTTAATAATTTTGGATCATAGAATTTGCCCAATCAATTTGGCTTTTAACTCCTGAATCAACTTCTTTATATTCATCTGAATTAGTAACTTACTCAAATATTTTTAACAAATATTCTTGTTGTCCATCCTCTAATTACTATTCGATTGTGTTTAGATTAACTAAGATTTGTAAACCGCTTTATTCATGGTCCAAAAATTAAAATCTTTGGTCTTAACCTTTGCAAATAAGAATCATTATTTTAATATAAATAATACACAATAAATATTTTGATGGTAAAGTATTTATCAAATTTCAATAATTGAGCATATGAAATCAAAATTCTTTAGAGTTTCATTTAATTAAAAACTTATAGTTGTTTGCTTGAAGTAATATATCCTAGAAATAATCATAAATTCTTGAATAATAAATATTAAGTAATAATATTGATGGGAAGTGATAATTCAAAGGCTAAAGCTTAAAAAAAATAAAATCCTCCTTAAAATTCTGCTCCAAAGCCTCCTCCAAAGAAAAAAACACAAGAGGAGAATGTATGAAATATTATTTATGCTACAGAATTGGATGTATGATTTGATTTTACAATATTTGGCATCGCCTGTCTGGAGAAACCCAATATCAGACTTTCTGGATGAGCATTGTATCATTTTTGATGATGAAGAAGAGAACAAAATTGTTTACCAAGAAATTCATAAAGTACTAATGTATAAAAAGAAAAATAGAAATTCAAAAATATGATTGAAGCTATGATGGAATAGTTAATGTAGGATATTGGCGTTGATGATGAAGAATACTTGAGAAAAGTAATAGAGATTGGATTGAAAAATAAAAAACATAGAAAGTATTTTGAATAGCTGCTGGTTGTTGAAAATTTCTTAGTTTTCAAGAAATTAATGTTAAAGAGAAATAAGGAGTTAGAATATGAAGCATTGAAAGAGTTATAAAAAATTGATGTAAAGATATATCACTAAAATTTTTAAGGGAGGAAAAAATCTTGAAATGGATCTCAAGGTTAAATAAGCTGAATTGGAAAAAGAGAGAATGGAAATAGAGCATGCTGTTGCCATGTCCATCGCTGTAGAATAAGAAAAGAGCAAACTTTAAATTCAAGAAGAGGAAGAACTTTAAGAAGCAATTAAAATGAGTTAAAAATTATTTGAACAATAATGTATTTAATTCGCAGCTTTATATAGAATCTGAATTATTGAAAAGTAATATGGAATAGCAAAAGTAATTGCACCAGTAGCCTTAAGCCTCTTAATAATAATAACCAATAGTACCAGATCAAAAGGTGGAATCTATTTTGATATTTGAAGATGATGGATTACCAGATAAGAATCCATCAAATGTTGTTGAATAATAATAGTAACAAGTAGAAGTGAAAAACGAACCAAAATAATAAAGAGTTAGAGAACCTCTGCCTTAGATTGTTTAAGAAAAAAAAGAAGTACTGAGTTTGGCTTAGGAGAGAGAAGCATTGATGAATCAGGGAAATCAATTAAAAGAGAACCTCAAAGAAATAGTATGATAAATTATCAAGTATTTTAGGAAGAAACGTTTAAACAAAATATGAAGAATTAATAAGACTAAGAGACCTTGGAATAAAGGAAATTAAGATTGTAATAATAAAGAGAACTAATCAAATAAAAGAAAATGAAAGAAAGAAAAGATGAAATTGAGTAATACAAAGCTGTAATTTTAATATCTAAAATAAGGGTTCTGAATAAGATAAACCAGCCTAAGATTTGCACGATAAAGAAAAAGGACCTCTTGTTGTTGATATGGTTAATATATACATTTATGATAGAATGATTTTGTGGCTGATTAAAAGCGAGCATAAGAACTTGAACTTAAAAAACAAGAGTTACGAAAGAGAGCAGAACTATTACGAAAGATTAAATAAGACGCATAATAATAAGAACAAAATTGAATAGTAGATTTATAATAATAAATAGCAATTATGTTCATTGTTGTAACTACATTTTTTATAATCATTTATTAACATATTGATTTATTATGCTCTCCAATTACAATACGTAATGGTATGGAAATAAAGAAATTCATTTTGGTACTCTCTTATTCTGTAGAAATATCTCTGAATTTTAAGTTGTCTCCCATATACTCAGAAAAATATGACTTAATTTACCCAGAAGACTTTGAAAATATTGAATAATTTATATTATTTTTCATATTTACAAATTTTCAAATTGCACTTTATAATTCAATATCCTCCCATGTTTTTTCCATTTCATTAGATAATTCATTATCAACTTCTTTGTTTAGGTTTTCATTTTTATCTACCAAAACCTCTTCTTTCAATACTTTTGTGTATTCTTTAACGACATAATATACAAGCAACATAATACTAAGTCCTGCAAACATTATTATTCCAATTTCAACATACAAAACGCCTTCATTATTAATTGATCTATTAGAATCGAATATATCTAATATTGTATACTATTCAAATACCTTTAATTTTATGGAATTGTTTCCCAATAAAAACAGCTAATAAAGTGCTGGGGAATCCAACAACTGATTGAACAATAACAAATGATTTAAAGCTCACTGTTCTTAATACTCCCATTCCATAGTTCATGATTAGCTAGGGTGTAACACCAGACATTCTCATTAAAAATTGTGTTTTATAAGGCATACGTTGAGTTAACTTTTCGATTGCATTAAAAAATTTGAATTCTTTAAGTAATTCTTTGAGGAAAAATGATAATTCCTTGCCTATGAAAAAGCTTGCATATTCTCCTATCATTTTTGCTGCTGTAACGATCAAAATGGGAGTGATATAATCAGTACAGGTATACGCAATCGCAAATTCAAATAGAGCAAATGGCATCATCAATAATATCATACCAACTCCCAACATCGTTAGATTTAATCCACCTAGTAAACTTATTTATTTGCACTACATCAATTATAATACTTACTTAATCAAACAATGACAAAAACAGTAATTATACTCCAGATATATAATAGATGCAACAAATCATGAATCCTACTAAGATTAATGGGAATGCTAATAAAAAATAATAGATTTTCTTTGTATTGACTTGGAAACTTGGATTATTTTATTGTAACATTTTTATTTATATATAAATAATTGAATATCATAATTAAACAATCTATCATATTCGCTTTAGAAGAATTTTATTCAAGAGAATAAACACACAAATAGTTCGAGAAATTAGAAGGAGGAAATAAGTGTGCTGACTATCACTGAAATTAAACCAAAAAAAATAAAAAAATAAAGGTATATTGTATTGAATTGATTATTGTTAATAAAAACTCATCTTCACAATTACATGATTGATGCTCCATCGCCTATTAGGTTTAAATAGATTAGATATCTTAAATAGTTTATTTATGGCTATGAAATTTCAAAGCAATTCTTTTTAATCATTTATTCTATTGTTAAATGTTGATTTTTTATTATTTAACTTACATAAAATATTGTGTAAGCTCCACAGTCAAATGAGTTTTGTTGCTAACTTACCCTAAAATTCTCATTTAATCCTTAAACCTTTAATCCAAAAAATTATAAGAACTATGTAATTTAGTGTACAACCGCTTTTCGATTATCTTTTAAAGAATCAATTAAATATAACTGTTCACTTTCATATAAAGCTGATAAAAAATGACTTCTATCTAAGTTAAAGTAAAATACTATTCGAATATTTTGAAAATTATCATTATTGCCATTTAATTTATCGTGCATCATAATACTTTATTTTATATCATTCAATTCACTAAAAATAAAAGAATATCATACGTATTTATTTTTTCACCTTTTGTTACCATGCTTCCAAAAATATCTTAAAATTGACTGCAATTGATAAAAATTGTTTTAATTTTTGAAATGCCATTATTTTGATTTGTAAGATTTGAGTTATTTACCAAAGTTAACAATTACTTCAGCAAAATATCAATTATACTTGAATTTATCCATCCTCCTGGTCGAAGTGAAGCTAGTTAAAAATTATTTATTCCATATTCATAAAAATTCAATAATTGGCAACTTGGATTTTAACTGGGCTTATATTATTAAATTTCAATCTCACTTTTTTATCCATGCTTATAATATTCTTATATATTGCCCAATCTCTAAAATATTTTTTCCCTTTTTGTAGAGTCAACAAGTATGTGATTAACAAATAAACCTTGTTTCTAATTTGACTCAAAATGACCTTTCATATATATTGGCTAATTTGGTTAAGAAGGATATTCCAAAATATATCCTTCTCCATGTTTTTACCCATTTTTATGTCCTCCATAATATTATAATACGTTAGGTTTATAGTAGACTCTATTCGTTCCATCAATAAGCCCATTTTTAAACCCTCCTTTATAAGTCGTATCATTTGAAATTGCTTCCATTACCCCTTCTATTTCATTGTCAAACTCATATGTATGAGGTTCAAAATAATCATTAACAGGACCTTTATATGATATTAAACCACAATATTTTCTTAAATCTGCATTTAAGTTATTGTTAAAGTATAATGATAGGATTTCAAAATTGGAACTCAACCATAAAGGACAAAGATGAGGAGTATGTTATGGAAACCAAACCTTGCCCTTAACTCTAAAAAATAATTTATGATAAATACATATTTCCATTAGGTTATAGAAAAATTGATTGGGATCCTTCCTTGTGAACAATTTTTACTATTTTCAAAAAATGTATTTGTTCTTTCCTCAATTAACTCTAAAACAATCTCTAAGCTTGTTTTTCCTTCTCTAATTCCATCATTTATGTTATTTATTTTTCTTTCTCCCTTTTTTTTGCCGCTATTTTATTGTTTTAGGATATAGTTAAACAGGCATGTACTCTTGCAAAATCAACTAAAAATTCACAATCAGACTTAGGTAATGTTAATGTTGAACCATCCAACTTTTCATCCTTTAGATCTGACCAAATATCAAGTAGGACTTGAAAGTTTCTTTCCTATTCAGTTCCTTATTGTAATATTGAATCCAGGGAATATTATTATTCCAAAATATCTAGTCTAGGGTCTGCTAGGAATAATTAGAGAATTTTCTTATCCTATAAAATACTTATTGAATTCATCAAAGTTGTTATTCTTGTGGCATCTATTTTTTTGTTAACAAATAATAATAGAAATAAAAAAATTGATCTGATCATGCGATAAAATTATAGAAATACATTATCTTATTTTGTTTGTTCTCTCTCATTGTGACATTTTCGAAACAACCATGTAAGGTTTTAAATTTAATCATCATGTATTGCAGTTATTACTAAGTTTGTTTGCGTTGGAATCAATTGATTACGATCAGACATATAAGTATCTTAATTTTCTTCAAATACCCAATCGATGTATTGTTGGAAATTAAAATACTATTGCTCTTTCTTGCTCTGATTGGATTGATTGATCATTATTGAAATAAATTAATGATAATTTAAATTGTGCTTCGTAACATTTTAATATAATTTATTCTACTTTATAACTATTGTTTCAAGAAGTCTTTTTTTGCATTACACAATATGTGTTTTATCACAATTCAATTGTAGAATTGCTTAATATCAAATTCATATTAAAATTTCTATTCCATTATTTGTTTTATATTAAATTGCTTTATATTTTCTTAGTATTTCTTTAACACCATTCTAAGCGACTGATGCTCCAAAAACAATCAAAGTAAAAAAGCCATAATCTCTTTTTCATCTCTTAAATTTAAAAAATGAGAGAATAGGATTTGAAAGTATTTAGGGGAATTCATATTGCAAATATGTTTTCTATAACCTGAAATTCAACATATGTATATTTGTCCTAGAATAAAATATTAAGTAGAGGAGATAATTTCAATAAATTTTTTAGAAATAGGAGCATAAAATTTTATTTTTTGAATATGATTAGAAAATGGCCTATAGTTGCACTGGTCGTTAAAGGTTAATATTGTTTCATAACGTATTTGAAAGGACAGTATTTGGGCTAAGATCATCGTTTTTAGAAACTTTTCGGTTGACTTGATTTACAACTTATACATTACAATAAAAAGATTGGTTGCATTGATGGTCTCGTATTTGGCATCAACTTTAAAGTTTGATTAGACTATAATATCAAGAGCTCTAAAAAAATTGGTTTCATATGATAAATTTCATTTTATTAGTTGTTTTATTCACTTATCATTTCAGTCAAAATGGTGGACAGGAGTAATTATCAATTTTTCAAATTACAATTTTTGCTTTTGAGCATGAAATTTATAAAAAAATTTGATCCTAGCCATAGAAAATCTATAGATTAAGTCCATTTGTGAGAGGATGTGTTTTTTAAGATGCCAATAATGCCATATAAATTTTACATCTTAAGCAACAGTACTATTCGTTTGATTGGTGTTCTATTCATCATTTCTCTGTATTTCTAAATTAGATCAAATATTTGAGCAAATGTCTATCAAAAGTGTATTTATTCATAAGGATGTTAGGTTAATCCACACAAGTTATGACAGATTTAGCTACACTTGAAAGGGACTATGAGGAATTCGAAAACAAGAGAACTAGAAGAAATAGGGGAAACCAGTCAGATTAAATTGATTTACTATATCAAAATCCTTACATAAATTAAAGAATTTTTTTATTTAAATGAGAGAAATCATTTCATTTCATTTTGGATAATCTGGAGCCCAACTAGCAAGTCCAATTTGGGAGCTATATTGTTTAGAACATGGTATCAATTTGGATGGATCAGTTTCAAATACTTCTGAAATTTAAGAGAATGACACAAATCGAAAAATATTATTTTCTGAAACTCAAAATAGTGGTTATGTACCATTAGCTTATATAGCTGATGATGATGATTAAAGTATTGATCAAATTAAAGATGGTTAACTTAAAAAATTGTTTTCAACTAAATTTTTATAAGAATTTAAAGGAGATTCAGGAAGTATTTGGGCTTCAAGTTATAAAAATGCTCAAGCTTCAGAAATTTTTAGAAATCAAATTCAATAATTATTAGATAAATGTGATTCATTATAAGGCATCATGATATATCATTCTGTTAGTGGTGGTTTTGGGGGAAGCTATGCATCCTATTTATTAAATGAGTTCGAGGATGACTTTTCCAAGGTAATAAAATCAACCGTTTCTTTGCTTTCATCAGATTAGAGTTCAACATCAACAATTGTGGAGCCATATAACTCAGTTTTCACTATAAATTAATTAAAGTAATACTCTAATTTTAACATATTTATTGATAACTCAGCACTCTCTCAGGTATGTGAGCGATAATTGGATATTGATTGGGCTAATTTTGGCATTTTAAATAAAATGATTGCTTAGATGATAGCATCCATTACATCTACATAAAGACTTAATTCTGAAAATTTCGTAGATCTATAAGACATGTATTAAAATCTTGTTACACTACCAGAATTGCAATTTTTACACACGTCTTATGCTCCTTTTATTCAAAGAGACAAATAAAATTCATAAAGTTTTAATTTACTTTAAATCTCTTAAGCCCTGTTTAATGAAGCAGGGTCATTTATTAAATTTACTCCTAGTCCATCGTAATATTTTGGAGTGAATTTATTTTATCGAGGAGATTGTTCTTACTCAGATCTACAAGGCACTATAAATGAACTTAAGAATTCTAGATGCATTAATTTCGCAGATTGGGTACCAATCAATTATCAAGTTGCTTTGAGTTCTAAAAGCACAATTCAATTCCATAATACCGAACTAGGAAGAGTAAATAAAACTGCTAGTTTAGTGGCTAATTCAACACGTATATTAAATCCCTTAAAGAATATTTAATCAAGATTTAAGAATTTGTATCAAAAGAAGTGCTTTATTCATTGGTTTTTAAAGAATTCTTAGATGGAGGAGTCATAATTTGTAAATGGTTTAGACTTCTTTTCATCCTTAATATCAAATTATGAATAATCAATCTCACAATATATAAATCAAGAAAAATAAAATGTAGAAGATGAATCTTCAATCGAGGATGTTGAGGAGATAAATAAATGATAATGAACAAAAATTAATCTGTTGTTTTAATTATTATTTAGTCATTATTTTTAAGTAAATATTGTGAATTCTCAAATAAATTGTTATTTTGTATTCCAAGTTTATAAATGGAATTCTTAAGGTAATTTTAGTAAAGGTTTAGAAAAATTAGTTTTGATTTATATAACAGGATGCGAGTACTTCTAATTGAATTTATTTTAGAAAGTAGATTTCAATTAATTACCATTCGAAGGTGCTACTTACCATTATTGATTTTATTTTTCTTCAATCTTTTCATCATCAAAATTTAACTATTTTCCAAAGCTCCAATTTTACTAGTTGATTGCATGTGGAGAAAAACATTGAAACAATTTAGTAGATTCATCTTGAGATTGTTCAGTTTCTTTAGCTTCAATTCTATGCTTTAAATTAGGTTAAGGAGTTTTAATCTACGGTAATCTCGAAACTTGTGATGTTACTTTTTTTGTTTCTACTGATTTTGGAGGCTATTAGAGTGATAATTATTAAAGTCTTGGGGAATTTAAATTTGATATCTTTTATGGTTGAGTTTGGGATTCTAAAAGCTAATTAATTATTTTCTGTTTTATTTCATTTTCTTCCAACAATTTTTCGTTTTATTTTGATAAAAACTCTATCCAATCTCTCTAATCATAAGGAGACTGAACCCTTGGGGAAATCAATTGTTAAAACCCTTAAGGAACTAGTTTCCTACGAAATGAATAGTTTTATTTTAATCCAATTTTATGTTGACCTTCAATTTCCTCTTATGGTAACAATTTTTAATTTTAATATGAGGGTACTTTTTTTAATTTATTTTCTAAAGGTTTTTCTTGAGTTTGCAAACCTTAATCCACATCTGGTTTTTCAAACAATAGTAGTTTCTATCGATGATTGTTGTTATTTTATTTTTGCCCTTAACAATTTAACAGTTCCTATATCGTACAAAATTATTACATTTTTGTTATTGCTTTATGCTAATTTAAACTGCCTATGATGTAATTTCATTAATTTTGAAGAAATTTTATTGTTAATATAATTTAATATTAATCAAACTAGTAAAAATGAGAAATAAACAGAAAAACTTGAATTAAAATAAATAGCATTTTGAAAAGGTTCATTATATTTAGAACATGTAATCATTTAAGTTTGAACTATTTTTTATACATCAAAGTAGTCTCTATTAGTTGAATAACTTTTAGTTTTTGATTTTCCAAATTTTGAAGAATAGTTATAACTTCCCCAAACTCTCCTTTTAATAAGTCTTCTCTTAACCAATGTATGATCGCTAAGGCGATATAATTCAATAATTCATTCTTGTCATCTAGTTCACACAAAATGTGATCCCATAAAATTATTGTGTCATATAGCTTAAATTCTTTTGTAAAAACAGTCATAAACCATTTGGACATAAATAATTTTGGGTCGATTTTAATTTTCTAATATTATACTAAATAAATTACAAGCATATGATCATATAGTCGAAAGTCATGTTTTTTTATTATTTCCTAAACAACTCTTATCTTGTTTTAAATGAATCCATTGCAAATGCTAGCCTCATCTTTTGAAAAAAAATTGTATCTAAATTAGCTCAATAAAATTGTAAAGCAAAAAAATGTGTCTACTTCTGCTTAAGATCTTAATAGAGTGCTGTCATCATTTACAAAACAATAGTATAATATTGCAACAAGTTCATTCATCCCCTAAATGTATTACCCATTTAATTTTGTATAAATAAATAAAATTCTAGTCAAAACATCATAATTATATTCTATATCAACTCTCTTTAGTCTCAGGATAGCAACTTAATCCTATATATAAAGTTTTTTTACATCTTCGAATAAAGAGGCTTCTTAATTTTCTATGTGAAAAAAGCCTTCTCTTTATCGAGTTCTTTTAGTATCGTTTTCAATTGTTTACCACAGATTAAAATCTTCGAAACGATTGTTGTAAGAGGAATCTTTTGACCTATTTAGAGGATGATCATTTTAAGCTGGCTATTTACTATTTCTTAACGTGGATAAAATGTGCTCATCAACTAATGCTATGTAATTTTTTTTATTTGTTTCTAATCGATTAATCCATTACTTTTTTGAAGGTGTCAGGTATCTCTTGATATATCTTTATTAAATACCCTAGCAAGATTCTCCAAGTTACTCCTCTTAATGCTTTGCATTCATCGTTAATTCCATTAATAATCAATTAAGAAAGTTTATTGAGATCGATTAAATCTGCTTGCATTATTTTTAACCATTCGCTAAAGATTGAAATAGACCCTTCACTGACGCTTTTCATAGAGGAGTAGATGTATTCAAATTGACAGAGATCCATATAAGGGTCCACTTTTCTTTAAACTTATTCTCCTTATCCAATTGTTTATTGATTTGCTTTTTAATTTGACTAAATTAATCAAGACCTTACCATAAATGGAAATATTGTTTCAATAATTTTTTTTCCGATCTTGTCTTTTTTTTTCTTTTTTTAATCCATGATTTCTAATTAAATTAATTTATATCTTCTGATTTCATTTAACTAAAATAAATAACTAAGGGATGAAATACACCCATACTTAAAGCTCTGCTTGAAAAAAAAATATATTATTAATCACTCATAAATCATTTTGCAATTTCTTTTTTAAACTTTTTCAATCCTTGGTGATGATGATTAATATGAAACATTTAGTTTTTAGAACTACTTGTTTAATCCAAAATTTATGTTAAAAACAATGTAACAAATAAAATATGATATTGTCTTGCATCTATACTAATTATCAATATTAATTTTATTTTATTTTTAATGGGTAACCAACAAGAGAAGGAATAGTCAAGAGAATTCTTAGAAAGGAAACTTGATCCGAATTATGGAGAGGTTGCTGTCTATTTAGATAAAAATAATAACCTCACATTCACTGAAATTAAACATGTTTTATCATCTGATATAGATGCAAAAGCTTTGGAATAAAGTATTACCAATAGGTATTATTGAAACTATATTGATAGATAATTACTGAATCATAGATGCTTAATAAAAATAAAAAAACACGAAAAGGGAGAGATAGATGACTTGTGTAGTTCATTTATGGTTTTATCAATAACAGTTGAATATTACAGCGAGTCATTATACAATGATTTCAAACAAAGAAAAATACATAGAACAACTTATACAGAATAAGAGCTTTTATATATTATTTTTGAGATTTCAAATATTTGTTAATATATGAAGGATTCGAAATATGAAATATAGGACATTCATCCTCAAAAGGTTTTGCTTAACGAAAATCGAAATATCAAATATTTTGATCAATTTTTGGAAACACAAAAGATCAATAATTATTTTAAGGTTCTCTTTGGTTTAAGGGATTTGGAATATATTGCCCCTGAATAATTAGTATTATTAAAAGGAGAAATCCGAACGGACAATACAGATTAAGAGCTTGTGAATGTGTTTTGTTTAGGTCTAATGATTGTTAATTTAATGAGTGGCATTAGATGCGGTGATTTTTATAATTAGGATACGTTAGAATATAAAAGAGATTTTGTAACTTAACAAATAGATAAATTTTGCTTGAAACATTAATTTTCCAACTTTTTTAAATAGCTACTGATTTCAATGTTAAAGTTTCACCCTTAAGATCGTCTAAATTACTTGTTAATTTTAGATTAGCTTCAACCTTATTAGGACAATATTGCACATTTTTTGAATCCTCCTGGAAGATAAAAAGGTTATAATTATTTTATTTTTAGAGTTTTTAGAATCACAATTTAATTCCTTTCATACACAGGGATCAGCTATAAAATCTTAAGTTTATTCTGCTACTGCTTGTGATTTTAATGAAATAGATTAATTGATTAAATCAGCAAGATAGAGGGCATAAACAACTTTAGATGATGTTGGACTAGATCTAAAACTTAATGCTTTCAAAGGTAGCCAAATTACAATTATTGATCAGACGGACTGAATTTTATTATATCATCAAAAATATAGAGAAAATATTATAATTTTGTTTTTTTTTGCATAGTAAATTTATTTTATTTGACTAACAACAATCTTTTTGGATGAATTAATGTAACTGGAATTCAGGATGTTAACGTTATAATTTGCTTTTATAATAATTTTAGAATTATGAACTTAATTAGTAGTGTAATACTTAAGCTACAAATAACAATTAATTTTAACTTAATATTTTTAACTATTATCAACATTATGATATACCTAGTCGAGATGGGACTAGTCTGGAATTGAAAGGGGATGTTGTAAAGTGATTGAAGACAAGACCTTGTCTACTCAAATTATTAGACATAAATCAAATGATAATCACTCCCTATTATCAATGTCCAAAATACAATTTTATTCAATTGTAAAATCCAAAAATTTTAATAATTACTTCAAGGTGAATACCCTTTTTATAATATTTATAGCGATAGTCGATGCTTTATCATTTCGAAAGAACGAGATAGTCATAAATTCAACCAACAATATTTTAAATTAAGAAAGGCATGAACGAGTAACATAAGAACACCCAATTTATGATTATATTTTTAGATGAATAAAATATTATAGATTCTTAAAAATTTTTAATTACAAAATTTCATCCCATTTCAAAATATTATCATTCAAATTCATGTCAACATTTGAGTTTCAAATACAAAAAATATCATTGTTATTTAAATATTATCTAAAATTATAATTATGTATACTAAGCAGATTTGAAAATTAAGACAATAAATTAAATTGTAAAGTGAGAAATATTGATTAAAAAATCAAGTTTTAGGCATCTCACAAATTTTCATATTAACGAATGGCTATTACTTTATTAGAATATCAAATTGAATACATTTTAAATGAATCAACTTACATAAAACAACATTATCTTCCTTTCATATGATATGAAAAACAATTTGTCGACGAAATTAATTCATACTTTTCACTAAGATTCTTTCTTATATACAATTAATTTAATTCACTATACTACTATTTCGTGACTTTTAGTTAGTTTAACATAAGAAGTGTAGATTTAGCGCATTTTGCAAAAAGTTGTTTTGCCTAAACATGTCAATCTATGTAAGCTAAGATTAATAATTGAATTGTAAATTGCATGAATTAATAATTTTTATTCTGAATAGTTGAAATTCCAATAAGAAAAAAAACTTGATTAATTGGATAAGTATTATAGTTTTTATTTTATCATATCTCATTCCATTCCTTTATTATTGCATTTAAAGCTTATTTTTTCCCTTCGTTTCCAATAGAATATTCATCTATCATCTTGACAATATAATCGATTTCAGTCATTTTTTCAGGAATGTAATTTAGGTTTTTAAACTATATTATTAACTATTTTATTAATTATTTGCTTTTGAATTTAATGTTTTTATCTTTTTCCTATTGTTTTTTTATTTATTCAATTTTGGAATCATTTGTGGATATAATTTCTTTAATTATGTATTCGGGTAGATATCGAAAACTATCAGATTTATGAGCCTTCCAATCACATTTCTTTGGACATTTTGTACAAATGCCATCCTGCATTGCATCACAATTTGCTTTTTCAGATTCTTCACTAATACCGCATGGGTAATGGCAAGTTTGTTTGCAAACTATGCAATTAGAAACATATTCTCCTGGATTTAAATTTTCGGTTATGATTTTTTCATATGTAATGGTTTTTTATTCATTATTTAGAGCTTAAATAGTTTTATTTATTTTATCAATTTTATTTAGCAAATCTTCCAATTATTTATTGTAATTAAAAACATTATTCTTAATTTATTTATGTAGAAGAATATCTAAATTCTTCAATTTTTCTTCTAATTCATGCTTCTCTTGTTTATGGTTTTGTTTCAATTTTTCAATCCATTCCTCTTATTAAGTTTGAGTTTTTTTGAGTAATCGAATTTCATTATACAATTTGCTACTTTCATTTTTTAAATTTTATTCCTATTAAGAAAGGATTTTTAATTAATCAGTTTGCGCCAATAGGTGTAGTTGAATGGTAGATTTATTACTTTTTAATTATTATTCCATTTTATTTATCGACTCTTGCAATTATTAATTCTAAGACTTTTCTTCTTTATATACTTTATTCAATTAATCATACTGTTATTAGAGTAATTTAAATTCTTCATCCTTATTTTTGTTAATTTTGTCTTCTAATTAATGCTATTATCTAATAAGCTCTTAATTTGTAAATTCTTCCATAATTTTTAATTGACTGTTGATAGTTTTCTCCATAGCTAATGTTAGAGAATGACTGAAATCATCACTACATAAATTGATTTAATTTGTAAAACAAATGATATTTGTTTAAGTATCAATTTAATCTTATTTGTTTGAAAATTTTTTTTACCCCTTCGCTTCCATTTCATGAATTATTTGATCAAGTGAATTTTCCATTTTAATCAAAGTAGACTAAATCCCAATAACAAAATTACCTGAATTTCTGGTATACATTTTTTTATAGCTATCTCCATTTCAATAGATTAGCAATATTCTTGATACAAATTATCTATATAAAATAAACTGAAATTCTATTAAATAAAATGTTGTAGACAAATACATAAAAGCCTTTAAAAAACTTGTATTTTTTATTAAAGATTAATTGATCTAAATTTTGGGTTGATAATCTACAATTGGTATCAATATGCACAAAGTTTAATGGCTTTAGGCTTAGAGTATTTGAAACGTATATATATACTCATAGAATGATTAGAGCTCTGCGGTGGTTAATGATATACTTCTAAACTATAGCTTTACTCTTAACATCGCACCATCTCTTTCTTCTAGTTTCAATGCTTGAATGAAATTTGAAAATTCTTGTATGAAGAATTTGTGGATAAGAAATACTTATTCTTAATTTATATCCATTATAATACTATCAACATAGTAATATGAGCACTGGTTATTGCAACAAAAAGAGTAAAACTATAGAATTCAAAATCATTCTTATCAATATGGCCTACAAAAATTAAATTTGCAGCTACAACTGAAATACAAATCAAGCAACAAAAAGGTCATTATAGTATACAACATTATAAACACATGGAATAATACAGTTGGAGCTAATTTAAATGTTTTACTGGTAATATATATTGTGAATGTAAGATAAGCAAATGGTACATAACACAAGGATTATAACCGTTGGTATAATTGGTCTAATTTTGGATAGAAAGCAAAATAAATATGAAATAAATAACTGAAAAACAATTATATTATCAAAACGAGCGTGAGAAGATTTAGAACCTTCGCCATTTTTAAAAGTATGAGAGAGTTGTTGCATTAAATGATATGCCAGGATTATGCTCAATTTAAGTATCACTTCATATTTATAAGTAAAGCTGTGCATTATATTGTATTTAAGAAAATTTTTTACAATCTAAAAGTCAAATTTGATACCATAAGCATTGTTAAAAATAGAATGAGTACAAAGAGTGACATATTTAGGCATTCAGCGATACTGGTGGAATAACTTAATCAACTTTTACTTTTGTCACAAGCATCCACAAATTTTTTAAAAGGTTTTATTAATTCTACATAAAAATTATATTAAGAAACTACAAGCAGAATTGCCATATTATAGAATCCAAGTAAGTAGGCAGTGAAGTAAATGATTTTCTCAAGATGCTCCATGAAGGAGACGATTACCACTGAATCGAGAATATCCTCTTTAAATGTAGAAGATAACTTAAATGTTGTGGAAGTGATAAAAACATTGAGTTTAACTTAAATTAAAATTTAATACCAATAACAATAATCACAGCCAACAGATGGTGATGTGTATGTGAGGCAAATTTTCAAAAAAATAAACAAGCATCACATAATGTCCAATATAATAATTATAATAATAATAATAAAGAAATAATTTCAATAGAGAGATATATACCTTGGACTAAGGATCAATTGAGTAGCGGCGTCACTTTTGAAGAATTAGGAGATATACGGTGGGAGTTCGCTCA